ACCAACACTCACACACTCACACCAACACTCACACACACACAACACACACTCACACACACACTCACACACTCACACACACACACACACACTCACATACACTCACACAAACACTCTCACACACACACCAACACTCACACACACACCAACACACACTCACACACACACTCACACACTCACACACACACACACACTCACATACACTCACACAAACACTCTCACACACACACCAACACTCACACACACACCAACACACACACACGCTCACACACACGCTCACACACATGCTCACACACACACCACACACACACACTCACACAACACACACACACACTCACACCAACACACACACCAACACACACTCACACACACACTCACACACACACACACACACACACACACACACACTCACACACACTCACATACACTCACACAAACACTCTCACACACACACCAACACTCACACACACACACACACACTCACACACTCACACACACGCTCACACACACACCAACTCACACCAACACACACTCACACCAACACCAACACTCACACACTCACACACACACACACACACACACACACACACACACACACACACACACACACACACTCACACACACATCTGTCTGGATGTTAGTGATGAACTCTGGGATGTCCCCCCCCCCCTGCAGGAGAGACTCTGATGGAGGTGCAGCAGCGTCTGCTGAAGGAGAGAGAGATGAAGATCCGATTGGCTCTGGAGAAACTCCGCAGGAAGAGGAAGCTGCTGCGCTCTCAGCGGAAACACAAAGAGTTCCCCGTCGTCTCCGTGCTCGGATACACCAACTGTGGTGAGAGGATGTACAAAGGGAGGCTCTGTTTGGGAATACATTACAGAATACAGGAGAAATATGGACGCGGGGAAACACCAAAATAAATACATAAATAAACATCTGACAGCACAGGTTCTCAAATATCGGTTAAACGCAATGACATAATTAGAATTATTGCTCAAAGATAATGGCACTAGAATAAATATAATTATTGCATTACATATAATAAACATAATTATTGCACTTGAATGACAGTTTTTAATGCTCTAAAATAAACTGCCAAAAATAAATGTAATAATTTCTATAGACTAAATGTAATCAATGCACTAGAATACATATAATAATGTTATTTAAGGCACAAGGAAAAAACTATAATTATAGCACATAAATTGATTATGTATTATTGATTCACTAGAATAAATAATAATTAGAATAGAATACATGTAAATAATGTACTTAAATAAATACATGTAATTAATCTTGTAAAATAAATGTAGTTAATGCAGTAGAATTACAGGTTTAAATATCCTAATTCTGGGAATTGAAAAGAAAACAACTCTTACTACTTTTACTGCACTGTAACTTGTATTCATGTACCCGTGTTATTCGTGTTTTATTATCTTTGCTTTTTAATGTTTCTAATGTGTTTTATGCTCTTAATGTCTTTCTTTTTTGTAAAGCACTTTGAATTGCCTTGTGTTGAAAAGTGCTATATAAATACACTTTTTCCCTCCATGGTGTGTGCAGGAAAGACGACCCTGATCAAGGCGCTGACGGGGGACCGGGGTCTGCAGCCCAGAGACCAGCTGTTCGCCACGCTGGACGTGACGGTGCACGGCGGCCTGCTGCCCTGCAGGATGCCCGTCCTCTACGTGGACACCATCGGCTTCCTGTCGCAGCTGCCCCACCTGCTCATCGACTCCTTCTCCGCCACGCTGGACGACATCAAGCACTCGGTGAGAGTCCGCTGCACCCAGCCAGGGGTCAGAGGAGAAGAAGCAGTGTGATTTATTTTATTTTAAAGGTCATCTATTATGCAAAATCCACTTTTTCATGTCTCTTCTACATCAACATGTGTCCCCTCTTCTTCATGTCTCTTCTACATCACCATGTGTCCCCTCTGTGGAAAGAGATTCTGGAAGTTTCAGGAAGAAAGATTCTCTCTCTTTTTGTCCTGATCCATTTATATAAAAACCTGTCTGAAAATGAGCTGATCAGATTTTGGCCACTTTGTGATGTCATAACGATGTTTTGGCTTGTGTAACCATTAGCCAATCACCAACCAAGGTAACCCCCCCCCCCCACCTTATCACCTGAATCTCCTCCTAGAGCACCATTGTGTTCTTTTTAACCAAATATCTCTCAGAGGGGCGTGGGGAGGGGCTCCTTATTTTCATCCAAAGTAACAGACAGAGAATCAGCACTTTTGAAACAGGGCTGAAACAGAGGGGATTATGGGTAATGCTGCAATGATCTGTTTGGTGTTTGGAGCCAAACACTTCAGAGACATGTTTTGTATATATCTGAGACCTATAATATATTGATGTAAAAACAGTATAATAGGGGACCTTTAAATGTCTCCTGCAGGATCTGTTGGTGCACGTCAGAGACATCAGTCACCCGGAGACGGAGAACCAGAAGCAGAACGTTCTGAGCGTCCTGAAGAACCTGCAGACCCCCGAGCGGCTGATGAGCTCCATGATCGAAGTGCACAATAAAATCGACCTTGTTGACGAGTAAGAGAATAAAACTGATATCCAAACACTTTTTTAAGATCTTTTAAGAATTGAAAATAAGATGCAAAATAGTTTTTTTTAAAAGCAAAAAAAAAGGAAAGGAAATATAACCGTCTAATTGTAAGCCAATAAGATCTAAGTACTAAAGTTTCCTTGCATCACAAACTGGACATTAAATGCCATCTTTACAGAAAATATACCAAAAACTATATAAGACAAGGATAACTATTGGAGACATAACAATTAGTTGTCATAAGTTTACATTCATGTGGGTATACATCGGTTTATTGCCCCTTTGTTCGTGTGTGTTCTGAGTGAATATGGTTACCTTGAGGATAATACTGTCTCTAATAATAAAGTATTTTCCGTCAGTTATGAGTGCCTGGAGCCCGACGTGCTGCCCATCTCCGCTCTGACGCAGCGAGGCCTCGACCAGCTGAGTGCAGTGGTGGAGGAGGAGATCCTGAAGTCCACGGGAAAACACATTTTAGATCTGAAAGTCGACCTCAGCTCTCCTCAGTTAAGGTGAGAGATGATTATTTAAGAATAGTGTAAAGAGGACATATTCTGCTCATTTTCAGGTGTATATCAGTATTTAGTGTCTCTCCTTTAAAGAGTCCTCTCCTGCTGATGTTCAGGTGTATATCAGTATGTAGTGTCTCTACTTTAAAGAGTCCTCTCCTGCTGATGTTCAGGTGTATATCAGTATGTAGTGTCTCTACTTTAAAGAGTCCTCTCCTGCTGATGTTCAGGTGTATATCAGTATGTAGTGTCTCTACTTTAAAGAGTCCTCTCCTGCTGATGTTCAGGTGTACATCAGTATGTAGTGTCTCTACTTTAAAGAGTCCTCTCCTGCTGATGTTCAGGTGTATATCAGTATGTAGTGTCTCTACTTTAAAGAGTCCTCTCCTGCTGATGTTCAGGTTCATATCAGTATGTAGTGTCTCTACTTTAAAGAGTCCTCTCCTGCTGATGTTCAGGTGTATATCAGTATGTAGTGTCTCTACTTTAAAGAGTCCTCTCCTGCTGATGTTCAGGTTCATATCAGTATGTAGTGTCTCTACTTTAAAGAGTCCTCTCCTGCTGATGTTCAGGTGTATATCAGTATGTAGTGTCTCTACTCTGACATGTCTCCATGATTTAATGTTCAAAAAGTTCTTTATTTTTCTCATACTGCCTGTGCTGCAGCACCTCTTTTCACCCTCTGTCTGAAACCAGAGCCCAGTCTGCTCTGATTGGTTAGCTGGCCGGCTCTGTTGTGATTGGTCAACCGCTTAGAGATGTCGTACGAGATCACGTACAATGTGTTGGAGCGCTAGCTGTGAGGTGTTTTTTAGCTAGTAAATGTTTCCGTATAATACATTTGCTCTCTCCAATTCTTCAAGTGTTAGTAAGATACATTTTTCGACTTAGTGTCTGGGCCCCTAATATTAAGCTTCAGATTACATTGTCCTATTTCACATATCTAATGTGAATTAGATTCTTAATTTGTGAATTCAACATGTATATTTTCTACTTTCTTGTTTATTTCTTGTATTTTAATTTGTATTGTATAATGCCATGTCTTTTTTTGCTTCTGCAACACAAACATTTCCCAAATTGGGATCAATAAAGTACTATCTTATCTCTTATCTTATCTCTAACTTCCGTCTTAGGATTGTATTTCTAACTGTATCTGGATAAATGAGTTGAATATCTGATGCTTGTTGTCCTCAGCTGGCTGTATAAGGAGTCCGCGGTGCAGGACGTGGCGGTGGATGCAGACGACGGCTCGGCTGTAGTGAACGTCATCATCAGCGCCGCGGCTTATGGACGCTACAAGAAACTGTTCACTGATAAAGGCAGATAAAAGAGGGGAGGGGGGGGGGGGGGGACTTCCAGCTCCCAGCTCCCAGCTCCAACAAAAATGCAAAAGAAGCAAGAGAGGGAAACAAGAAAGGGAGAGTGAGCTTCAGGACAGTATTTGGCGCTGACCCTTTCCCTCATAGGACCGCCGTAACTTATTGACTTTTCATTTGTGAAACAGGTGGGGGGAAAAGTCATCAGGATCATGTTTCGTTATCATTTTGGTCACCAGAGTGCACCACTACCCTATGTGTTAAATACTAAGAGTTCATGTTTTCTTCCAGGTAATAGAAGAATACATGAATACACTGTTTTAACCGGAAAGAAAGTGGTAGCGGCTCTGGGAGCAAAACAATTTTTTACGGATTTAATATCCTGGTTCCATTTGATAGTTTACCTGTTCCTAAGACATAAAGACAGGAGAGACAACCATCCAGATCAGACTTGCCTCTCAAGAGCTTCTGTAGAAGATTGTACTTGAATGTGTTTTTTCTGTATGTATTGTACAGTATAATAAAATATTTAACAATATAATTGTGTTAAAGAATGTATTTTGTAAAAATAGTGCATGTTAGAGCTGTAGCCTTTAAAAAAACTGGACAAATCTTTTGTCTCAGACTCAGAAAATGGATCCTAAGAATTTATTTTTCTCACCTGCCTGTGCTGGCTTCCATGGAAAACTTTATTTAAATATTTTTGTAATGCAGTACATCAAAACAGTATAATAAAAATATTCACTACTATGTTTCTGTAAAAGAAGGACATACGCTCTAGTAGATATATTGCACATTAGAGCTGTATAGTAAAAACATACATAATGTTTTCTAGTAACAGATACAGAAATATGATATTACAGATATTATTCTTAACATTTCCTTCACTTAGATGCAGTATAAATAGTATAAAAAGAGGAAGTTAGGTATTCAGGATCAGTTCACGTGGAATACAAAGGTTTTTTTTCTTAAGTTTATGTGTATTTTACAGTATAATAAAATATTTAATAATAACATTTTCTAAAAGAATGATTTTGTAAACATATATTGGAGCTGTTGTATATCCAAAACGAGATCTTTCTGTCAAAAGAAACCCTCCTTAAATTAAAGTAACAGATACAGAAGTTTAAAAAAAATACAGTTCCTACTCTTAATGCAGACAAAGTGAGGTAAGCTGTACATCATAAAGGATCCGTTTCCAGTCGAATAAAAACGTTTTTTTATCTGGAGCTTTTCTTCCGTAGAAGTTTTTGGTTGAGAGCGATGATGAGGGAGCAGAGAGGCAGGGGCCCCACGAAGTCTCCTGCGATGATGTTGAGGCTTTGGGGGCCCGAGCCGGGGGTCTGCTCCTCCACCCAGCCCCGCAAACACTCCCAGTTACTGAAGGTGATCGTCCGGAGGGACTGCCGCAGGTTCTCCGTGATGAAGCACCGATCTGCCGTCAGGTTCAGGCCGCAGACGAAGAAACCCTCTGCAAGAAAAACAAAAAAACATCATTAAAGAGGTCCTGTTGTGTTTTGGGGGGTTTCCCTTTCCTGCACACAATGTACACAATATCTGTTTTCTTTTTGTATTACTGCTGAATTTTATTCCATATTTTATTCCATTCTATTTCTATACTAATAATACTGCTATATTTTTTATTATTTTTTAAATATTTTGTAATGTTATTACATTAATTTCTATGTAAATACTGCTATATTTTACTATATTTTCTATTATTTTAAATATGTTTTAATGTTATTACAGTTTTCTTAAAATAGTTCTCTATCTGTGTTTTTTATTTTTGTTTTACTTTTAAGTCAAATTCCTCGTACGTGTCAACCTACCTGGTAATAAACCTGTTCTGATTCTGTAGTGTGTAATATAGGTTTTAGTGCATGTAAATGGTCTGCAAAGGCTAAAATCCCTGTGTTCTCTCCCAGCCTCACCTGGGCGGCCCTGCTCTTTGTTCCAGTCCAGGTAACTGATGACCTCCTTCGCTGTGCGCTGATTGGCCCACCAGTACGGGATGTCCGGCCACAGCTCCGGGTGCCGCAATGGATGCTGGGAGTCGTAGGAGAGGATGACCTGCTGCCCCGCGGCCCAGAGGCTGCGCAGTGTGGGGGCCGAAACCTGAGGAGGAGACACTACAGGTGAATACAAAATAAAATAACAGATATCATCATGCAACTTCCCCGGTTCATTACTGACTTTAAGAAGAATTCTATTTTCTATAATGAGTTTTCTGAAATGCTATGTTTGAATATGCAAATTAGGCATTCTCTTAATAAATATGTGCTCATTTGCATACCTTCCCATAACTGAACTGTGAGTTCAACATTCTGGTTTTAATGTGTTGACATAAGATAAGATAAGATTGACCTTTATATATCACCGTGGGGAAAAAACAGGACAGTGTAGATTCACACAAGGTGACATATTGGACTCAAAGGTTTTTACAAAGGAGATTCTGGATTTCTCTTCGTAACACTCCATATATGTATTAAAAAATGTTCTCCCATTTTCCCCTCTACAGCACATACACTGTGTGGTGTTTTCTCATCACTCAAGGTCTTTCTGCGTCTCTTAGTGGTCGTTTTTTATGTGTTTGTGTTGGTTTTGCTTCTACTGTTAGTCGTTAGACCCTGAAATGATCCATTAGCCTGATCAATTATCCATCCATGCTGAAATGAATGACATGCTCTGAGCTGGTTATTGATCTGATCTCTGATACACTGTATAATATTAAGACAGTCCAACACTGACCATGTTTACTTGGTTTGCTTCTCATTTACTTTCGGAGTTATAAAGTGCTTTAAAATGTGTTTCCAGGTGCTTTCTCTGCACATTTGAGAGGCACCGTAGAAAGGGAAGCTCACCTTGTGGGGGCAGAGCTTCGACCCGAACATCTTCTTCAAGGAGAAGATAAAAGACTGATGCAGTTCGTCGCTGATTCCCTCAAAGTGGCTGCAGGCGAGAATAACGACCTCCTTCGGGTGAGACTTCAGCCACAAGGCAACAGAGGACAGCGTTTCCTGAAAAGAGAAACTTTTAATGTGGATCTGGAATTAAAACCCAAACTGAGAGTTTAACCAATAAGATAATTAAACTCACCAGGACGGTTAGATGTGTGTAAATGACGTGTGTGAAGTAAAGGTCGCTGGAGGGGTCTTTGAGTTTGTGTGCAACGCGGAGATCGAAGTATCGGATCCCCATGGAGAGCTGCTCCTCGATGCTTTTGTCCTGCAAAGAGGAACAAATCATAAAACATCGAAATACATTTTAAATTATATTTTACTTCATGCATTTCAGTTCATTTAGGTTTTATCCAAAGCGACTTACAATATGTGAATACTTTGAAGAAACAAACTAAAAAAAGAAAGGATAAGGTAAGTAAATTAGCTTAAATGTAGAGAAGTGACATTTTGTATGTATTATTTTTGTTATTATTATTATTTTGTTATTTTATTATTTTAATTATGTTATTATTGTATAACTGTATTATTATTATTTTTGTATTTTATTATTTTATAACTGTATTATTATTATGTTTGTTATTATTATTATCATATTTTTCTATTATTGTGTATTATTATTATATGTTTTATTATTATTTGTATAATTATTTGTATTCATCTGTATGTTTATTGTTCATTTATGTATTTTTTATTATTTTGTATAGTTTTATTATTATTATAGTTTTTGTACTTATTTTGACTTCCCAGCATTAACCCACGTTATACAGTACCTGTGTTGTGGCCCATTTGAAGATGGTGGGTCTGGTGAAACAGTAGAACAGTCCGTCGAGGATCCTGAAGCAGTCGGACTCAGACGGGACCAGCGGAGAGTTGATGTCGAGGCAGTAACTCATCGCATCATGGCTCCCTGCAGAAACACATTTTAATCATCGTTTAAGATTTAAAAGTCCCTTGTGTCAACTCTGAAATAAAAAATGAAATGTGTCCTCTGATAGGATACGCCTACAGAATAGGAAAAGGTTGCCTACATTTAAACCAAAAAGAATAATCAAGCTCTATGTCTCCCAATAATATTTACATTTTTACTTTAAAATGTACTGTTACATTGTAATCCTGGTTGTAATCCCTATTTCAAAACATTTAAAAGTAATCTGATTAAACATTTTATTTTATGTAACTGCAAGGGAATAGGTCTATTTTTTTAAATCCTGATTACAAAATCCAGTTACATGTAATCCATTACTCCCCAAACCAGTACAAGTCCCTCAAAAAGGTACCTAAGTACCGTACTTGAGTAAATGTACTAAGTTACTATCCACCACTGGCTACAGTACTTGAGTAAATGTACTTAGTTACTATCCACCACTGGCTACAGTATTTAAGTAAATGTACTTAGTTACTATCCACCACTGGCTACAGTACTTGAGTAAATGTACTTAGTTACTATCCACCACTGGCTACAGTATTTAAGTAAATGTACTTAGTTACTGTCCACCACTGGCTACAGTACTTGAGTAAATGTACTAAGTTACTATCCACCACTGGCTACAGTATTTGAGTAAATGTACTTCGTAACTATCCACCACTGGCTACAGTATTTAAGTAAATGTACTTAGTTACTATCCACCACTGGCTACAGTACTTGAGTAAATGTACTAAGTTACTATCCACCACTGGCTACAGTATTTAAGTAAATGTACTTAGTTACTATCCACCACTGGCTACAGTACTTGAGTAAATGTACTTCGTAACTATCCACCACTGGCTACAGTATTTAAGTAAATGTACTTAGTTACTATCCACCACTGGCTACAGTTCTTGAGTAAATGTACTTAGTTACTATCCACCACTGGCTACAGTACTTGAGTAAATGTACTTCGTAACTATCCACCACTGGCTACAGTATTTAAGTAAATGTACTTAGTTACTATCCACCACTGGCTACAGTTCTTGAGTAAATGTACTTAGTTACTATCCACCACTGGCAACAGTACATGAGTAAATGTACTTAGTTACTGTCCACCACTGGCTACAGTACTTGAGTAAATGTACTTAGTTACAGTACTTGAGTAAATGTACTTCGTAACTATCCACCACTGGCTACAGTATTTAAGTAAATGTACTTAGTTACTATCCACCACTGGCTACAGTACTTGAGTAAATGTACTTAGTTACTATCCACCACTGGCAACAGTACTTGAGTAAATGTACTTCGTAACTATCCACCACTGGCCACAATTGAGTAAATGTACTTAGTTACTATCCACCACTGGCTACAGTACTTGAGTAAATGTACTTAGTTACTATCCACCACTGGCAACAGTACATGAGTAAATGTACTGCTTTAACTTGAATACAATATCTAAATACTTTCAAGATTCAAACTCAAAGGTTGTATTGTCATTAGCACAGTAGCTACAGTGTAGTTATGGCAACGAAACCCCTTCAACAATGCAACAGTAATATAAGACACAAAACAATAAAAACAGTGATATACTTGTATTATTACTAACCCCTGCATAATGTGAAATATTTACCCGGTATGGCGAGCTCCGTGAGCGGCGTGTCCCACAGCTCCTCCGGGAGAGAGGACATCCAGTCCTGGCTGCAGCTCATCTTACTCATGACTGCAGGAGAAACTCAAAAACCGGGAATAAACAAGTTATAACTTCCTTTATCTGATCCCTTTAACCCATCCACCTCGCTCTCACACATACACCCCACACACGCACACACGCACACACACACACACACACACACACACACACACACACACACACACACACACACACACACACACACGCACACACGCACACACACACACACACACACACACGCACACACACACACACACTGTAGGGGGAGGAGGTTCCTCATTCCTGCAGTCAGTGGTATTTCAGGTATTATGAGAATCGTCTGCAGGTGAAACACGTGACTTTCTGTTCTGTTTCTGTGGAATATTAATACGTGCCTTTGAACACTGTTTACACTTCCGCAAACTCGTGGCCATGTCGTCAGGAAGGGGCGGGGCTAACATCATGCAGCATGTTCAGATTTATATATACAGTCTATGGTTCAGATAGATAACATTGAAATTAGAAAAGAAGAAATTCGAGAAAATAGAAAATAAAATAGAGAGGAATTAAATATAGAATAAAAAAAGTACTAGTACATAACCAAACAGAGGGTAAAAAAGTGAGTAGAAGTTATAAAATAAAGAATAAAAAAGAGAATAAGGGAATATAATGCAATAAAATAGGTATTAAAAATAGAGTAGAAAAGAATAACATAAAATAGAGAATAGATTAAAGCACTTTGTTGCTTTTCAGGAAGGTGGTTAGACCTGAAAGACTCATGTGTACTTAAACCAGCTGACTGAAACTCAGCTACACAAAGCGCTGTGAACCTGTTGTATATGCATGTCCTCTGAAGCTTGGTATATCTACAGTTTATATATGCTGGTAATTCTCATTATATCTATTGTATACTGATATGATTCGAATAGCAGAAGCAAGTACAGGAACAGAGAAACGTTGCCAATGCAACTCAAGTATTTCCTGACTGTCTTAAATCACCAGCAGGAAGCGTTCACTTATTTAATTCATGCTCTACTACATAACTGCTGTTGTTACGTCCTAACATGTGACTAATGTGCTTATGTGGACATTATTAAAGAATCTTTATTAATCCCCAAGGGGAATTTTTGACGGCTGATTGTCATGAAATAAAACAAAAGGACTCGATTAAAAAACGCTCATGTTTATTTGAAAAGCTCATCTCCACAGGCACAGCGGCGCCGCGCAGCATTATTTAAAACAAGGCCTCACCTGTTGAGTCAGCTTGTGAGTAAAACAGTCAGAGGTTGGGTTCATGCAAATAAGTTTCCCATGCATTTTGCATGAGTGTAAAGTCTACTCTACGTTCTCGGAGGATAAATACAGTACACCTAGCTGCTGCAGTGCTGACACGTCAGAGTTATAAAAGTGTGTGACCTACGTTACAATCACATGTGCTGCTTGAATACATCGCTTGTGCTTACTTAAAAAGTAAAAGGTGAGATTAGTTGCGTTGTTGCTGTTATTACTATTATTGCTCTGGTAACATAAAACTCTGCCGACTCGTGAAATCTGATACAGGACATTTGCATAAATAGTGAATGTAAACAAAAGTGGAAATATTAAAAAGTCTAAAATATACATCCTACTTATCAGTGCATTTTATATTGAAAAGAATAAATCAAGTCCGTTCCCTAGCCACCAAACATGCCGTGGTTCTTCCAGTGTGTGTGTGTGTGTGTGTGTGTGTGTGTGTGTGTGTGTGTGTGTGTTTAATTATTGGAGAGCAGTCATGAGGAGTGTTTCAGCAGTTTCTCGTTCAGAGAGACGACGGTGGGCACAAAGCCCCTCTCGGTGACGAAGTCTCCGGCGATGATGTTGAGCGAGCCCCCCTCACAGCCGGGGCTCTGCTGCTGCACCCAGCTGAGCAGGGGGGGGTAGGTGGACACCACCAGGTCCTTCAGGGACTCTGTGGGGTGGGTGCAGATGTACTTCAGGTCCTCCGTCAGGTTCATGCCTGTGACGAAGAAACCCCCTGAAACATACAGTATGGAAATCAAAATGACACATTTGTGGGCCAAGTTGGCACATACAAAACACATACATACCACATGAAAAGTGGACAGTTCCCTTACAAAACAAACAAAAATAAAATTAAAAAAAACACCCTCCACACAAGTTAATTGTTATTATAAAATGTGCAAATTACTTGTTGTTTTTTAAATGAAAATATAAATACTTCAAGGATATTTTAATTATTAATATAAAAGAAATACAGTAATAATAATAACCATAGAAATAATGATAAAATATAAGTCTATTTTATTGTATTAATTATTGTTGTTTTTGCTTATAATTTTAGTTTTCTATTTATTGTATTTTAAAAAGAGCAATTTTTATAAAACCCCATAAAGAAATGAGTGTGATTAATTTCCACTCTTAATTACCCTGGCATAGTTTGTTAACAGTAGGAAATCCACAGTTTAATGAACCTTAACCTTAGCCGTTACCCCAGAGTAATACATCTTTCCAGCGTGTTTTTATTTACCTGGCCTGCCGCTCTGCTTGCGGCTCTCGAACACCTGGATGAGCTCCTCGGCTCGGCACTTGTTGGCCCACCAGTACGGGATGTGAGGCCAGAGGTCGGCGCTGCTGCAGGAGAGCACGTGTTCATAGGACACGATCACACTGAGGCCCCGGGTCCACAGGTTACGCAGGGTCAACACCTCCTGAAATATTATTAATGAATATAAGATAATAAGATTGTTGTTATTCTATTTTTATTTTTATTAATAGACCAGATTATCCTTTCTTCTCTTCCTTTCCTTTTTCCCCCTTTTGTTATTTTATTATATTGTCATTATTATCCTTTTTTTTTCATGATGTATATGTATTTCTTAACTGTATTGTACATATTTTAATTTTAATTTTCGGTATGCACTGTGCAAACAAAGTTCTCTTTACCCGACGACAATCGCAAAAGATCTATAAGATATTATTGTTTAAAATAACAAACACTTCACATATGACCTCAAATCAGCTTAATGGGTATACAAAATGTCCTCTATAGACCACAAGGTATTCAAATATATTTATTAAATAGTAACCAAAAGAGCGAGTACTTGTTTTATGCATTTACAGCACCACGAGTGTTGTCTCCTCTCAGAGAAACATGCAAATTAATTTTGCATCCTTTCTTTATGGGTCTATTTGCAACCGTGCATTGACTTTGTAGGTCATTGACAGAAGAAGCATGCAGATTTCATGATTAACCTCTGCAGGAGGGGTCTCACCGTTTTGGGGCAGAGTTTGGAGGCGAACACGCTGCGAATGGTGCTGATCAGCAGCATGTGCAGCTCCGGGCTCAGGCCCAGGAAGTGACTGAAGGAGAGGATGAGCACCTCCCGGGGGTGAGCGTCCATCCACTGCCTGATCTCCAGCAGCACCGCCTGCAGATAGGACACACACGATGAAGAGACACACGGTGAAGAGACACACGGTAAAGAAACACACGGTAAAGAAACACACGTCAAAGAAACACACGGTAAAGAGACACACGGTAAAGAAACACACGTCGAAGAAACACACGGTAAAGAAACACACGGTAAAGAAACACACGTTGAAGAAACACACGGTAAAGAAAACACACGTAGAAGAAACACACGTCGAAGATTAAGCGAGAGCTAGGAAATATTTAACATTCATTTCCACATCTGTGTAGTAATCCTGACACACCACCATACAGACTAAAGTGGGAACTATTAAGGAAGAAGGTTAAGTTATCCTCTTGCCTTGTAAATGTACAACATGTATTCGTACAGAATACATACACGTTTTGAAAATGCACTGAATGTCTTCTCTGTCATTTTTACACCTTGCAAAGTCATTCCACGGGCCGGATTGGACCCTATGGTGGGACGGTTTTTGCTGTATGTTTGACACCCCGGATTTAGTATGTTCTATAGGTTTTAGTGCATGTAAATGGTCTGCAAAGGCTAAAATCTCCTTCAGAGGGAGTTTCTCTGCTTTCATTAGACTCCTTTGTTTACTTCCGGAACATAGATGTTAAGAAACTTTGGGAGCAAGGACTCAGAAGACAAGGAGGACACTGAAGAGCTCGAACTGATTTTTGACGTTGGAGATTTAGAAGACATTTCACTGCAGCAACAAGGTGATACATTTCCTGCCCAACCAACTCTGAAGCTCTCTTGCTCATTCCTCAATATTTAATTAATCCTAACAGAATAATCAGCATTTGATAACATGTCAAAGCAAATTCTGTTCGTAGCAGAGAGTGATTATCCACCTGATAAGATGGACTCCTGGTTGTCTTTTCTGTCTGACACAGTGCGTCAGCTTTGTCCTGTTATTATCTGAAGAAGAGATTGTTTTATGAATGTTTTGGGCAAGACGCATCAACTTCTTAGGTCATACTAATACACTGCAGAGGGGAAAGATTGATAAAGCTCCAAGGCTGTTTGCCTGCAGGAGACAAGGGAGTGAGAGGAGACGCAGTAGATCAAAGGACTAGGACTAAACTGAAGGGCCATTCAGAAAAACCTGTATCAACAGTTACATCATTATGTAACACTTCTATTGGCTAGCGCTCCAACACATTGTATGCGAAGGCAAAGGGGCGGGACGTCTCTAAGCGGTTATCCAATCACAACAGAGCCGGCCAGCTAACCAATCAGAGCAAACTGGGGTCTGGTTTCAGACACTGATAATAAATATATCCATGTTACATATATATATATATATATATATATATATATATATATATATATATATATATATATATATATATATATATATCTATATATATATATATATATATATATATATATATATATGTGTGTGTGTGTGTGTGTGTGTGTGTGTGTGTGTTACCTCCACAGTGAGCGCGGTGTACACTCCGTGGTAGAAGTAGAGGTCCGTGGACGTGTCGTTGGGTCGGTGAGCGATCCTCAGGTCACAGTATCTGACCCCCGAGTCCAGCTGCTGCTTTATGCCGACCTCCTGCAGCACACGAGAGAGGAAGAAAAATAAGAATTAACTTCATATTCATCATGTAAACAAATACCCAGTGTAATTATATTTATATGAATGCAGAAAAATTGTTAGGTCTTAGCCTGAAATTATAATTAAGACACACAATAATGATTTACATGTGTAGTGTGATACCAAATGATGCCAAAGCAGTGAGAGTAATGCATAACTTAATAATTTGACGGGTTATTTTTTGCACAGTTTATTCCCTGTGAGTCTCACCTGTGTGATGGCCCACTTGTAGACAAAGGGCCGGATGAGAGGCTTCATGAATTTGTCGAGTTTCTGCAGCAGGTCGGGCTGCGTGAGGTCCACCGGAGAGCGGTCGTTCATATCCAGACAGTACGTGATCGCATTGTGGCTTCCTGCACCAGAGGAAACATAACAAACAGAAATGATATGTTTCAGAGTTTCATGAAGTAGATTTGAGGCTATTGCATATCATGATTATGCTGTTCATGTCATAAATTACAATAGTATCCCTATAATGAACACAATAAGCATACATTTTGGTAAGATGCAAGTATTTCCATTGCATCTCAGATAGGACATCTTTCGGGGGATCTATTTTTTTAGTTAAAACAAAAAATCTTAAGTAGGCGTTTAAATGCAAGGTAAGATATATTAAAATGTAAAAATAAAATAAAATATTGAAAAATAAATGAGAAATAATAATAAGAAAATGCATTGAGAATACATTTAAGTACTGTGAAAACATATTTTTTTAAATATGGAAAAATAACATACACTGTTGTGTTGCTACTAGGTTAGTGTGGGAGAGAAACTCCCTCTGGGATTTTAGCCTCTGCAGACCATTTACATGCACTCAAATATATAGAACACACTACAGGAAAAAGAAAACAAAAAAGCATAACAAGGCCTCTTCAAATGGGGCGAAGAATGCGAGCTAGTTCAGGCAGTCAACGCGAGCACCAATGATACATTAACACGTGACGCACCTCGTCCCATTTACCACCAACCAATCACATTCTCCTAAACTTGCCGCTCTATTTAAGCTGCCAGGTCTGCCTGCCTCTGCCTCGCTTATGCTGCTGTTGCTGCTGCTCGCCTGCCCCACCACCACCCCAGCATCCACCTGTAGGCTCGGGGGGATAGTTATCTAATCATCACTCAATGATCTTTGTAAATCTGTGGAGTGATGAGGCCTGAGCCTAAACACCAAACTCAAACTATATGCTGCTTCTTATAAACATATCAAAGAAACATGTGAGTTGTCAGACTGAAATAGTGAATTATTCTTCCACCTCCTGTGTGTGTGTGTGTGTGTGTGTGTGTGTGTGTGTGTGTGTGTGTGTGTGTGTGTGTGTGTGTTGTGTGTGTGTGTGTGTGTGTGTGTGTGTGTGTGTGTGTGTGTGTGTGTGTGTGTGTGTGTGTGTGTGTGTGAGAGAGCGTACCGGGGATGGCCAGCTGGTTTAGGGGGGTGTCCCAGAGAGGGGGGGGCAGCAGGGACATCCAGCTCTCCATCGGCAGCTCCCCCAGGCTCGACTCCCTCTTCGGGGGGGAGAACATGCTGACCTCCAGGGTCTGAAAACATGAGTAGTGAGGAAGGGGTTAATGATGTTTCCTGGCATTTGGAAAAAAACTTTGAATGATGAAATGTTTTTTTTAAATGTTGTGAATAAATTCTAACATTTCAGAATAAATCCAAACTTTAGACGGTTAGGCCAAATACCAATTGTCCAACTAATATTCCAAAATTCAAATAATGATCCTCTAATACCATACATTCTGCAAAGGTACTCATTGCATTATTCAAAAAAGTTTAGAACAAATCTAAACTTTTGAAAGTTAGTCCAAAATAGAAAATAAAGGTAGAAATTAAGAGAATAAAGTTAAATTGTTGAAAGTCAGAATTTCCAAATGTTAAAAATAACAGGATAATAAAATATGACTTTGTTATTATTGTAGTTTGATTTGCTCTCAAACCTTCTTATACAATTCAATAAAAAAATCCTATAAAATCAAAGACTTCGAAAATGTTTTTTATGTAGATTATTTCTCAAAATGCATTTAAATTTGTTTTTAGAAAACCTCAAATACCATGAAATTCTGAAAATGTATTCTAGAAGTTTCAACTTTGCACTCAAATGTTCTACTTTATTTTCAAAATGCCAAAATTAATTAATAAAATAATCCTCAAATAACGAAAATATAGAAAATGTAACTTGGAAATGTCTTCTTTATTCTCATCATTTTAACTTTATTCTCCTCATGCAAATTAAACCCTCCCTCCTCTCTGTGTATTCATCATGCATGGCCCTCACACTCTTCCGTACTTGCAGCACAGTCAGTTTCTCTTTCACCTCTTTATCCTGCTTCCTCTCTCAGAACCTGCAGAACCGGACCGACCAGCACTCAGACACACAGACACTAAAGGAGGTCCATCCCACACAACATGTCATGGCTGAGCAGAACAAAACCTGCAGGACAGACGCTCCGCAGCTCAGCCTGGAAACACCTGCTCAGCCCCGGGGAGGAGGCGCACAGCGGGCCCGGTGCATCGTACCTCCGGTTACCGGGGATCCATAATGACGGTGTAATGTCCCGGTTATTGTGCTGCAGGTGATCCTCATGCACCGGCTGTTTGTCGGTGCTGAGGCAGAGCTGTGGAGCATGCGGGCCGGGGAGAGGAGGAGGAGGGAGGGAGGAGGAGGAGGAACCACGGATCAGCAGATGCAGAGCGGCTTCCTCCTCTTAAAGAGCCCGCGGAGAGGAGGGCAGGGGCGGACTCAGGCTGTCTGAGGACCGGGGAGATACAGCGGTGCGGGAATCAGTCCTAAAACACAAGCATGAGTCAGCATTTTAGCACTAGCATGTATAGCAGCCGATTTATTATATATATTTATTATTTTAACCATAACCTGTGGGATCTTTATCTACACTGCTGTAAGAGGGGTCCATTAGCTACTATGCTATATCAATGGAATTGGAAAGGAACAGTATGAAGTTGACTTTTGACTTTTGATTGTGTTCTGGTCTCATGTTTCAGTATGTGTCTGTGACTGAAAGAATATTGCTTTTATTTTACTTTTTTATGGGTGGTTGGTTCATTTTTTTTCCTTCTTTTTTTTAAGAAGGGGCAGGTACAATAAGATTTTAGTCTCCCTGCTCCTTTCCACCATGCGCTATAAAAGTGTACATGTTTTGTTTTAAAATAACTGCCATGTGTGGAATAAACAAATAAATTAATAAATAAATTATCAATGGATTTTTTTAAATCTTTGCATGAATTTACATATTTCTTATTATGTTTTACACAATGTTCATAATGTAAAAAATGGTCATTAATCTATTTATGTATTGATTTTTATTATTATTATTATAACATTTGCACAAAATGTAGAATTATTTTTAAATATTTTTACAAAAATAAGAGTTTATTTTTATTTTACAAAATATATATGAGATCAAGTTTTTATTTTTCATTACTTTTTTTATTTAGCCTCTATGGCATTCTGTCAGCAGGTTCAGATATTTTTAATTTAAATGACCATTTAACCCTTGTGTTGTGTTCGAAAGCTGTTACCGTTCATGGTGTTCGCAGGTCAATTTTGACCCATGATTTATCTCAGTCCAAAACACAAAAAAAAAAGACTATTATCCAATATTGTTTTAACTACATCATAACTAACTTATTATGCATTCATAACCGTACAATCCTGTTTTTTATTTTATGGCCCCAAAACACATCATACCACATATTTGGCAGTGGCTCAGTCAGTAGGGGCTTTGACTGTGAGCTGTAGGGTCGCCGCTTCAAGTCCCTGACCAGACCTAAAATATGGACTGTGGACTGCTACTTGGAGAGATCCCAGTTCACCTCCTGCCCTTCCGTGGTGCCCTTGAGCAAGGCACCGGACATCCCCCTTCTCCCCTCACTCAGATTGCTCCCCGGGCGCTGTACAATAGCTGCCCACTGCTCCTAGTACTACTCCTGGCACTAGGATGGGTTAAAAGCAGAGAACAAATGTCACGCTGTGTGCTCTGCATGTGTGACCATTAAAGACGGGTTTCATCCCTCCCAATTCTTCTTCTATTGCACACGTGCATGTGTGAGTTCAGGTTCAAGAGTTAGTGTACATATTCTTTGTGAAAGGTCGAGTTCCCATGGGGGGAGGGGGGCCAGAGGGATGGGAGACCAGGTGCATGTTGCGAAAACAATTATTGTTACAGTGGATGAAGGGGGTGGGGTGTCTAAAGTCAAAGATGAATTTTGATTGGGCAAAATTTGACCCCGAGTGACCCCCAACAATTATGCTGGGTCTCCCCAGACCCGAACACCAAATTATACACTTTTTTTTTAGAGACCTTCAGACTTGGCTAAAATTATCAAAATCGGTTTTGTAGTGTTTATATATCTGTTGTGGAGGATATCATGAAGCCTTGTTCCGATACAAAAAACTAGAGCGTAGTTATTATATAATTTTAACTTGAAACTGGTCACGGGAGACCCGAACACAACATAAGGGTTAGGAACATTCATGAGGGGGTCCCCAGGGTATTCTCCAATCAGCGAATATGAAAAAGCCAAATTAAAGATTTTGTACGGGCTGAAAATCACACAAAAACCTTGATCTAGAGCTGTTTCATTAACATTCATACAGTACATTTAATTTTTGGAGAGAATCTGAGTCACACGCTGATTATTCTTCACTTGTTCGGCCTCTTTAGTATTTCTCCTTGTTGATTTTGCAGAGGGAGCTGGAAACATGTCAGGCTAACAATGTATTATGGTGTTAGGAAAAATATCACTCGTCACCGGCTTGAGCTTCAATATCAGGATACATGTATTTATTATCATTGCAAGAATGGAAGTAGTACAGACAAAATAGTTCCCCGAATAGTGTCCTTGACATGCCTTATATACAAGAGACGGTGTTACAGTCACACGATGCAAAAATACTGGTTCAAAGCAGTATTCAGGCCTTAGTTCAGATTAGCTAAGGCCTGCGTAAGCGTAAACAGTAGGGAGGCGTGTGGCGCAGTGGTTTGTGTGTTTGTGTTCGGATCAGGGGGGCACAGGTTCAAACCCCACTGCAGTCAGCATGTCGTTGTGTCCCTGAGACACTTCACCCCAAATTGCTCCTGTGGGGATTGTCCACAGTATTGAGTATGTAAGTCGCTTTGGATAAAAGCATCTAACAAGTGACATGTAATGTATTCAATTATTTTCATTGTCTGATTCTTCTCTAATATTGGCTTTTAAATGTGTAGTTTTGGATGTCTCTATGTGTCACATACATCACAGTTTTTGTTTTTTTTCAATCTTGAAATGTACCTAAAGCAGTAAACATGTCCCTGACCTTTGCACAGAAACAGATAATAGATGAAGTCGTTCTGTTTGTTTGTGATTGTGTCAGCAGCTCAATAATCCTGAAGCAGCAGTAACGGTGTGTGGAAACCAGGAAAACAACGCTGCTGATTTCTCATTAATCTCTTTTCCTTCTCTGCCTCTCTGTTAGATGCAGCACTCAGCTCAGGTTTCACTGAACAGTAATTATCATTGTACATGCTGGCTCACAGACAAACCTAGTCATCATTATTTCATTGCATTATTAATAACAGCTAACACTTAATGCATCACTTTCAAACCAACTCCTATAGAATATTGTATTAGATTTTTACACAAACAAGATGAAATATTCTGATGTATTTATTGTTTCACACTGATATTTTATTTATGAACAACATTTATTTTGAGGCTCAAAAAACGACCACTTATTAACTAAATGCACAAAAATGTCATTGATGTATATTTGTACATATTTTCATGAATTGAAATCTTGTTTATTTTCACAAAATGTTTATGATATACAATATTTTAATGTATTTTTTTTCCCCACTGCATTTTTAAATAAAACTGCAACACAATTTCTGAAAAACATTTACACATTTTCAAAAATGCACTATTCAAATCTGCTATTCAAATGCTATATATATATATATATATATATATATATATATATATATATATATATATATATATATATTAATAAATAGTGTTCTTTGACTGAGTTTAGTCTGATCTGAATATATTCATTAATTGTCCAAATTTTAGCCTTTTAACCCATAAGGACCCACCGGGTGTCACATGAACTTTAAATGTTCTGGAAAGTTGCTCATACAGCTTTAGCCTTTATCTTATCTCATGAAGTCCCTCAGTGACAAACACTGAACAGTCTGGTGGGTCATGGTCCAGGACATTTGATTGTGTGTTCCCATAACAACATGTCCAAGATGTCCATGTGCCAGGCTAACACATGTGACAGAACAAGCTACATTTCAAAAAGCTTGTTTTTTGTTGCTAAAGGTAAAATTCAAGCCATTTAAGAATTAAAATGCTTACATAACAAGTCCTTTATTACATTTAACCTGTTGTGGAAACATTTCTTGATCAAATAGAGAGGCGAAGTCCCGCCCATATACTTCCGACCCATGGGACCTTATTTCGGAAAAAGTTTGTATTGAAGTCAATGGAGAGAGAAAGATTATCTTTCGATCCCGTTTGAATTGTGCCATGAATTACACATATGATGTTTGTCAATCTTAAAGAAAATGTCCATGTCAAAAAAGTCACAGTTTGTCGTAAAACTGTTGAAATATAAGACTATGAAAAATACGCAACTAGAAAGACTACAAATCCCAGAGTCCCGGTCCCGCATGCTGGCTCTTAGGAACCGACTAACTCCCCTTGTGTGTGTGTACAGCTCTCAACATGCCCAGACTTGGAGTGATTTTCACCTCTTTTAATACTTTCCGCCTCATTCTGAAAGAAAGAAGTGAAATGTGCCAACGTGACGGCCGTCTTGGTGTGTGGTGCGAGACGGGAGATGTAGTTCATTGAGCGGTTTCACACAAAAAAAGTGTTACTTCACAGTTTTACGCCACCTTTAAATTTTTTGACTTGTAAAATGATCTTTTAAATTGACAAACATCATGTGTGTAATTTGTGGCACAATTCAAACGGGATCGAAAGATAACTTTTCTCTCCCCATTGACTTCAATACATAATTTTTCCGAAATAAGGTCCCATGGAGCTCAACCGGAAGGGGAGGGACTTCGCCTCTCTATTGATATGAAACAAATGAGACAAACATCGCTGTGACACTGGGACTTTAACCCTAAACTTTCACAGTAAACCCGGAGTGACATATGCACAATTAGAAATATTATCTGCTCAGTTAATTTAGCTGATTCAATTATATTGAGTTAATATGTTCTTTATTCTTCAATTCAAACTAATTTAAACCAAAAAATCATCCTCGTTAATGAAGTTATAAATGAGAGTTATTTTACCATTAAAGCCCAATGTGACATATGTCACTTTTCAGATATTTGACACTAGGGGGGGTTACTTGTCAGAAATGAGTTCTTGGTGGTCTATTAGTCTAAATTATGTTCCCCTTAAATTTCCCAAAAGTAGAAATGGGTCCGGGTTCTTATCCAATTTTCTTTTTAAAGATAATGCATTATTAAAACTGTGTGCATGATGTTGAAATGTGGCGCTGCTGCCATCTAGCCTTTCTCACAGGTAACTCAAATGTCAAACCTGTATCCTGCTGTTTTTAATGTCCTTCTCATAAACTAAAACCATTATTCATTAAACAACAAAATAAAGCTTTTGTTGTCAAAATGAGTCCACATAAAAATACTATATCGCCTCCTTTGACAGAATAATCCAAACACTGTAAACCAGTTATTCCAGGTCTTTTATTACAACAACAAAAAAGGTAACAAGAAACAGAAAAAGACAAATATAGAGGAAGTGAGTGACAGTGAAGGCTGATCATGTGATGAGCTGAGGGAAGAACATCTGAACTCTAACTAATGAACATGTACTTGATTATTTGTTGAAAACATTGTCTTTAAATGTCTTCGTTTTGATATAAAACCGAAAGAAAATCTCAACTGTTGAGAGGCTGGAAACTGCATGAAAAATTACCAAAATAGCTTGCGAATATTTTCTGTCGTTCGATTTATAAATGCTGCTTTGAGTCAGGGAATGTCATTTTTCTTTCTTACACACATTTCTTTTCACTTTGACACAAGAACTTCCATGTTTTTCATGCTCCTTTTGTTCTACAAATGGTGTAAAACTGCACACACACACACACACACATTTCTGTTTATAAAACGACCCCCCAATACTTGACCAATATAAAAGTCAGTGTATCACCTGTGTGAAAACAAACTGTAACAGACAAGTGTGTGAGAAACAAGTGCAGGAGATGCTGGATTTCACTTTCTGGTGATGATTTGCTTTGATAGTGGAACATGTGAGATTCACAGTATTTACATCCCAATTTGAACATGTCTCATACAGCAGTTTGAGTCAGAAATGCAAATTGAACGTGTGCGTTTCATACAAAGATGTGCAGAGTACAAGATGTTACTGTAGTCAGGATAAGGCAGTCGTGAAAATCCGACAGATTAACACAGGGCTATTTTTGTGATTTAATTAACAAATGGATGATGATGTTGCTGAAAATTCCCTTAATGCATCTTCATCTTCGCGTACGTACAGTAGAGCTGCAACTAGCAATTATATTTATTGCGGTATAATATAGCATCTCTCTGGTTCCCTCCACAAAAAGCCAATGGGATTTTACAATTGGATTTTGGAGTATTGAAGAAAATTGTTTATGACATTTTATTCAGAAGGATTAGCTCCACCACCGCTAAGCTAAAGGCGGCTAATGGTGGACGTGATGATGTTTATTCTTACTTTTTAAATTCACCAGCGGGATATTTACTGATAAAAATATGTTCACCTTGTTTTAACCACTGACCGTATTTCAGGCTTCTAACCAAAAGCACATTCAGAAAACCATTGACTTTAAGATGAGGGAACAGGAAGTGCTAAAATGCTGAGTCATGGCATGGTTTTAGGACTCATTCCTGCACCACCTATTAGCTTTTTGGTCCATAAAATGGTGAAAAATGAAGTTTTGTTTGGTCAACAACTCAAATATATTCAGTTTATTGTCAAAGAGGAGAAAAGAAAACGAGAAAATATTCACATTTAAGAAGCTGGAGTTACAGAATTTTGTCTTTTTTTTCTAAAAAATGAAATCTATCAAAATAGTTTTAACAGTTTTGAGGATGAATCTCTGCAGCTGTAGTGTATAGGCGTGTTCACAAAGACACTTAGGAAGACTAAACTGAAAAACGGAACCGTTGACTTTAATTAAATGTATCATATCAACAGATTTCACAAACATGTATTAGGTTAGCAACAATATTAAAGTTAGACCGAATTGCTTTCAACTAACCTAATACAATGATGTGAAATCTGTTGAGATCATTTATATAATTAAACTCAACATTTCAGGTTTTTCAGTGTGGAGGGGGGGGGTGCACACTGCCGTCACCTTTGCACCGGGTGTCTGGAGCCCTGTTTCTTTTGGGGGTCGGCCGGCGGCGCCCCCCCCTGTCGCCGCCGGTGCCTCCCTTTGGCCTCGGGCTCCGAGTCGCTGAGCTCCAGGTCGGGACAGTACCCGTCGCTGTCCTGCCTCCCGCTCGCCACCGGGGTTTCCGACACCGGCTTGGCCCACAGTCTCTCTTTGCGGCTCAGTTTGTCGGAGGCCCTCAGGTCCTCCGTGGTCCTCACCAGGTTGATGGTGGCCTCTTTAAAGGAGCGGCCAAAGTGCTCCATGGCGGACTTACGGAAGCTGCTTTTTGTAGCTTCCTGCTCGCTGGGAGTCTGGCAGGAACTGTCCTTCTTCTGCGACACCAGCTTCTCCAGCAGGCCGTTGGATTTGCCGTTGCTGTGGGAGGCGTGTCCGTGCAGCGCCGCCTGCAGAGCCAGAGGCTTCCCGCCGGGCTTCGTGACGGGGAGCATCGGGCGGCTAGAGGAAGAGGAGGAGGACGAAATACGCCCGTTTGAACGTTCGTCTCTCCGGTTGTGTCCGTGCATCTGAGGCTTCCCCAGACCCAACCCTTCCCCTGAATGATCCGTCACATTCACGCTATTGTCCGGGCACAGCGGCCCATTCCCGGATTTAGAACCACCGTTTCCCAGGCTGGAGGATTTGGGCATTTTTAGCTTCAGAGTTATTCTCGGAGGAGGACGAAACAGCACGCTCTCAGCGGAAGAGGAAGAAGGAAGACCTGGGGAGGAAGGAACACAACAAAAGGCTTCAGATTGGATTGTATGGTAAATGGATGTATTTATATAGCGCTTTATAAGATAAGACAAGACTTTATTTATCCCTAAAAGTGCAGTAACAAGAGCAATTAAATATCTACAGGAAACATGAAACATAGACGGTCACATTATTAATGTAAATATTACCAGTATTTTGTAGTGCAAAAAATCGTAGTGGCAGATACTTAATTGCACGTTATCATAGCATCATAACAGGGTTGCCAACTCTCACGCATCTGGCGTGTGACACACGCTTTCACTCTCACTCTCACACTCTCACGCTGCCCAAACTATTCTCACGCCAAAAACAAGATGAACTGGCGATCGTTTTTGGTTGGTTATTTACAATGTTGAGTTGACAGCTGCTCAAGCTGTTGATCTGCTCCCTCCCCGCCCCCACCACTCTTAACAACGTTAACAGACAGCAGAGCAGTGGGAGCCGGTTGGTCAATCCCCGACCCGCAATGCGCATGCACAGATCTAAGATCCAGTAGAAATGATAAAAAAGTAAAAGTCTGCTGCTTATTGTTCTAGTAGGCCAAAATAGAGTCAAAGAGTATATGAGAGTGAGAGTGTGTTAATTAATATATTTGGCAGTTTGGAGTAAGTCTGTAGATTTGTTTGTGTGTGTGTGTTTCATGTATAGGCCTCTCACGATAATTAATTTTGTTGGATACATTTTCCCGGAAATTATTGCGATAAACGATAATATTGTCGGCACCGTTGTATGACCATTTTAGACCACTGACATAATGATAATATATAATAATAATTCAAGTACATCCTTTCAAACTGCTAGTCACATCCTCATGTAAATGGCAATTTATCGAGTTCATTTTTATTTATCGTACGATAAGTCAATTAATTGCTTATTGCGACAGGCACACAATAAAACAGTGGAAACGAACATGTGTTTGACTTTCATTAGTGAATGAAACTTTGTGCCCTTTATAGTCTGTGTCCAATATTGTGTATTTGTATACATCCTATATATATATGCTAAGGTCTCGCTGCTGACACGATAGCAGTCATTTAGTGCGCATATGTGTAATTAAACCCATGATATCAAAATCTCACTCCAGCCAGGTACCCAAAGTTGGCAACCCTGTCATAATAATAATAATAATAATAATAATAATAATAATAATAATAATAATATAGTCTTTGCATCTCCTCAAAGTCATCACTCACCCATTCACACCTCGTTCATACAGAGCAATGTGACACTTTTTACTCAAGGAATCCAACATTCACACACATTTCATGCCATCGGGAGCATCTAGTATCTAGTATCTAGTATCTAGTATCTAGTATCTTGCCCAAGGTAATATCACAGCATATTATTGGCAGTAACATCAAAATGGCGGCAGATGGCTCACCAGCAGAGAGCTCCTGGTTCAGCAGCTTCATGTGGAGGTTGAACATCTGCTCCTGGGCTTTGCTCTGCAGAACCTTCAGCTTCTCACGACGACTCACCATGTAGCACAGATTCCTCACCTGCAGGACGAGAGGTGGAGACAATAAGAACAAGACCTGCACACTTTTACAACTGCATTATCTGCTACCTTTAAGTAAGGAATTCGGATCGGATTATTGCAGAAAAATTATCTGTGGCAAAAAAACGTTTATGATGCTTACACGTTTTGTTCAGCAGGAAAATCTCAATATATTAACACGATTTTATGATCTCTCAAGTAAAAATCTAACATTAGGCTATAAAGGAACTACAGCTATAGGCGGCTAATGTTGGGCTATAAAGGAACTACAGCACGGTCACATGACTTCACGTCACCACCTCTAAGCTAAAGGCGGCTAATGTTGGACTATAAAGGAACTACAGCGCGGTCACATGACTTCACATCACCACCGCTAAGCTAAAGGTGGCTAATGTTGGGCTATAAAGGAACTACAGCGCGGTCACATGACTTCACGTCACCACCGCTAAGCTAAAGGTGGCTAATGTTGGGCTATAAAGGAACTACAGCACGGTCACATGACTTCACATCACCACCGCTAAGCTATAGGCGGCTAATGTTGAGCTATAAAGGAACTACAGCACGGTCACATGACTTCACGTCACCACCGCTAAGCTAAAGGCGGCTAATGTTGGGCTATAAAGGAACTACAGCGCGGTCACATGACTTCACATCACCACCGCTAAGCTAAAGGCGGCTAATGTTGGGCTATAAAGGAACTACAGCGCGGTCACATGACTTCACATCACCACCGCTAAGCTAAAGGCGGCTAATGTTGGGCTATAAAGGAACTACAGCACAGTCACATGACTTCACATCACCACCGCTAAGCTAAAGGAGGCTAATGTTGGGTGTGATGACGTTTAATCGTCTCATTTAGACACTTATTAGCAACTGCTGTTTTTTTTTTTTTTAATCCACCAGTGGGGTATATTTACTGACATATTTTATGACGAGAACAAAATGTTAAAATCTCTTCATCTTGTGTGAACCAGACCTTATTTCAGGATAACGATGAAAACACACATTCAGAAAACCATTGAAACAGGAACAGGAAGTGGTAAGATGCTAAATATTTTCAAGGTTTTAGGATTGATTCCTGCCCCACTATTAGAATAATGATGTAAATCCCCCACCAATACAGTCAAAATTAAGTATCAGTCAAAAAGGATGACAATTCTTTCCAAATCGTGCAGCCTAGCGCCTAGCATATATATATATATATATATATATATATACTTCTGAAAGAACATCCATAACATTCATCTGTTTGCAACTCATATATATCAATATTCCAATTACTGTATATAGACTATTCTGCACTGTTTTATTGTGTTGCACTGTTGGAGGAGCCTGTGACCTAAGATTTTCATTATCACAACTACTTTCTGTCCCCAGAGTCAGAACTAAACATGGAGAAGTTCAGTTACCTGCCGGTCCGCTGCAACTCTTACTACTTTTAAATCCAGGCTGAAGACTTTTCTTTTTGACGCTGCTTTTAATTGAACTAATTACATCTTAAACTGCACTGTAACTTTTATTCATGTATTTTGTCTTTTAATGTATATTTTATTATCTTTGCTTTTTAATAACTGTTTTTAAATGCCATTTTCTTCCTGTCTTTCATTTTTGTAAAGCACTTTGAATTGCCTTGTGTTGAAAGGGGCTATATAAAGAAACTTGCCTTGCCTTACACTGTAGCTATGAACACATGACAATAGAAGCCTTGAAACTATAAAGCAGGCAGCAGCGGCACCCACCCTCTCCAGGTCCTGCCTCAGGTGCATGAACATCCTCATGCGGGTGTGGATGCTGTCCTCCTGCGGCTGCAGCTCCAGGCCCTCCTCGCCCTGTCGGGGGGGCAGCAGGGCTCGGTTGAAGTTGGCCTTCCTCTTCAGCATCCAGTACTGGAAGATGAAGTCCACGAGGCGCAGCGACAGCCCCACGACCCCCACCAGGTCCTCCTGCTGCACCCGGGTGAAGAACTCCTCCTCCAGCTCCTGCAGCCTCTGAGCGCGCTGCCCCCCCTTCTGCGCCTCGGGGGGGGCTTTGGATCGGGCGGGGCTCAGGCCGGGCTCTTTGGACTTGCTGTGCTTCAGGCAGTAGGATTTGAACTTGACTTCGTCGCCCTCGTCCAGGATGGTCTTCATCTCCAGGCTGTGCTCGAAGGCGCAGGTCACGTGGAAGGGGGTGGTGCAGTTCTTCACCGAGCACTGAGGGGAGAACACAGATGATGTTGTTTATATGGAGGGAAAAACACTGAATAACATGGAAGCAGGGTATAAGCAGGAATCCTGAAGTCACATTTAATACCTTTTAAGACCCTTTCCATACATTTTAAGACCTCATCGCCACTTCAAGTTTTAACCGGTTGAAATTGGCCCATTGTGATATTTCTTTTTAAGGACCCTCACCTGGATACAGGCCCCTGTCTTCCACTTGCACAGACTGCAGATGAGGGACCACCGGCTGGGGGGGATGTGCGACACTTTGGTGATCGGCTCCATCCTCTCCGGACAGGCGATGCTCACCTGCAGAGAGAGAAGAGGACAAGTTCATATTTAAAGTTTATACTTTAAACTTCACAGTTTGAACATTTAAACATTAGTAATGAACAGGTGATGAGATGTGTAATAATGTTGTATCTAGCTATACCTTATAAGTTATGATTCATTTGTGTTTTCCCTTCCTCATTTGTGAATCGTTATGTAGTTATTTTATGTATCAAAGTGAATGTTGTTATGCATTTCTTTTAATCGAATCATTTCTTAAATTTGCACATGAACTAAATTCAAATCATTATCAGGTTTTCTGGCTCTGCCCTGTTAAGGTCTTTTGGAGAGAGATACATAAAGCCTTACAATATACTTTCAAATGTCATGCCCATGGAGAGTAAGACTTTGTTCTTTGGACTCACACCTCAAGAATGGACTAAAAAAACACAAATATTTATTAAATCTGTTGCTGGTAGCGAGTAAAAAAGCTCTTACAAAGAAGTGGTTATCACCAGAAAGTAGGGCTGTGCAATTAATCGTATTTTAATCGCAATTACGATTTTGGCCTGCCACAATTACGAAAACAACATAATCGAAAAAAACAATTATTTAGCTTTGCTTGGTTGTGACAGCACTGCAACATATTTGATCTAATTAATGTTGGTCTCATTTATTTGTATTTATCATATTTATATATGTTTAGTAGCTTGTTGAAGTGCGCTCCAAAATATTTGTTGATCTTGTTTATTGGTATTTATTATTTTGATATTATTTATTTAAATGTATCATTTATTTAAGTATTGGTTTTTCAGTTGAATTATACGTTCAGGGTAATCAACAGTTAAAAAGATACTGTTCAAATTATTATTTGTTTTAAAGTTCAATAAATGGATGTTTTCAAAGTCAATGAATAATCGTATTTAATAATCGTGATATCAATTATTGACCCAAACAAATCGTGATTATGATTTTTGCCATAATCGCACAGCCCTACCAGATAGCCCAACTTTAAAACGCATGAATGGATATCCATGCTCTGCATCAGCCAAACGGCTCGCTGCACCCGCACTGCGAGGGGGACCCAAGTTCCCACCAGCAAAAACACGTGGGTTTGCTATCCTGGCTCCAAAATGGTGGAATGAGCTCCCCATTGACATCAGGACAGCAGAAAGCTCACACATCTTCCGCCGCAGACTGAAAACTCATCTCTTTCGACTCCACTTCGAGCAATAACATTACTAACAAAGCACTTACATACAAAGCACTTATATGATTCTGTTTTCTTCTAGTTTGTATCTTCTTGGTCGAATGCACTTATTGTAAGTCGCTTTGGATAAAAGCGTCAGCTAAATGCAATGTAATGTAATGTAATCTATTACAATGGACATTTACAAAATGGAGAGGATAACATCATCTGTCAATCACAAACTGGAACTATTTGTGTCACGATGGAGAAAGTGGACTGATTTCGTAAAACCTCATAGGTCAGATTTTATTTTTACAAATGTATGATTTTACTGTGAAGTCCTGATCACTCCCTAATGTTCGTATTGTTCGTACTTTTTACTGTTTTCATTTGATCTTTGTGTAAAAAAAGAAAAAGGCATTTCGGACAGACAAACTTAAGATGTACAATTACTTTGTCTTCAAAAAACGCTGTGTAATGGTTTGCTGCCAAATGTCAATACAAAAATAAATCAACTTCACTGTAGAATCACAAAGAGGTTGGATTTGTACCTCTGGGATCCACAGGGCGCAGCTCACGTGGGCCCACTTGGTCCCGGCCCGTGTTGCCTTCATGGCCCCTCCCTTCTGAGGACAGAGGATACACTGCGGGTCGATGCCGAGGACACAGGTCCTGCAGAGCCAGTTCCCCACGGGCACTTTGACGATGCCATAACACGCCTGGGAGAGAGAAGCATTTAAGATATTAGAGACTCAATGTTTTCAGCAACATCAACGAGGACAAATTATATTCTGCTTGTTGTGGGTTTCCCCTTCCCTGTAGTGTGCTCTAAAGGTTTCTGTGCATGTAAACGGTCTGCAAAGGCTACAATCTGCGTATCGTATTAATACAAATTAAAAAGACTATAAATAAACAAGAAAGTAGAAAATATACATGTTGAATTTACAACTTAACAGGAACAAAAACTAAATATAAAGCAAGTTATTATATATACATAAGTATGTGAGGGATGGAGGATATTCCCTCCAGGTGGAGTTTCTCCCAGACACTCAAACAAAATCTACAATCAGCAGAATAAGTCGAACGTTGAATTGACCGACATGTATGCTGCGTGTGTTTACCTGGTGGACGCAGATGTTGCACTTGTCGCAGAACACCATGTCGTTGCCCTCCTCGCTGTCGGGGGAGCGGCACACGTCGCAGATCACGTCCTCGTCGTACTCGATGCCGAGCCCCTCCACCGTCTCCATGGCGTGCTTCATGTTCTCGTGGCACTGCGTCTCCAGCGCCTCCATCACGCGCTCCATCGTCAGCTCGTCGATGGATTCCTCGCCTGAAGAACAGAGATCATCGGATCGTTTTTAGTGTGTTTAATATATCTTAGATCTCCAGCTTTAGGGAGGCAGCTGCTGATTCTGTGGATGTAATAACTATGCATTCTGACGTAGTAATACATTTGATTTGAAGAGCGCTTTTTTTGGTACTCAGAGACACTTTACATGCTAAAATTCATAAAAACAACACTTAAAATATATAAAACACAACAATAACTATTTTTGCCGTTGCTTTTAATTTACCTATTCATATCTTACACTGCACTGCAACTTGTATTCATGTATTTTATATCGGTGTTATTCTATATTAGCTTGTTTATGATTTGGAAAGCACTTTGAATTGCCTTGTGTTGAAGGTGCTATATAAATAAAATTGCCTTGCTCGAAAAACACCATAATTCGCTAATTTCTTTGACAACTAGTGAAGTTACTATACTACGCTGTTGCAAAGCTATTCTCTATTCAATTATAACTAATATTAAACGTGTCACATGTCCAAACTGCACAACTTGGGTTACCAGAAATACACTCAGATGGTGTGAACAGCCCTCCAGATTGTACATGTTCGCACAATATTTTCAGAACATTTGTAACAAATGATCCTAATGCAAAGTGGTGGAGACAAAGTCGCCCGTTTCCAAAAGTAGTGGGAACATGTTCTGTAATGTAATGGATGCTCCAGCGTCAGGGAGCAGCCTCTCTCCTCACCCATGCGCTGCAGCTGCGTGTTGAGGCCGTGCAGCCAGTGCAGGTCCATGTCGTCCAGGTCGTAGCGGCACATGTTCTCCGACAGCTCCTTGATGTTCACGTATCCCGGCTCAGCGGACTCCTGACCGGAGCTCTGGATGAACTTCCTCTGGAGCGTGAACAGCAGCTCTTTGGGACTCTCCAGCACCGCTCTGAAACACAGGAAACAGAAGCATTCAGTGCTGCAGAGCCAACAGGGATTCCAGTTGATATGTTGTAGGTGAATTAAGTTGTAGCAGCACAATACTAGGGATGCTCCGATGAATCTGCAAGACATCAGCATTGGCTAGGAGCCCGAGATGCAAGAAGAAGTGCGATGTCCTGTTCAGATGACGTCAAACCCAACGGGATGCCATAAATAAACTACACAGAATCACACTACACACCTACGCAATGATTACATTCAGGCAGACTGTAGAATACAACCTCTGTGGACCATTTATATACTTATTGAAATCAAGCTACATATAAAGCCATGTTAGGGAAACTTCCATCCTACATCTGCTCCCTGATCTCACGGCGAATTGTAAGTGGCTACTGCCTGAGATCGCATGCTGTGGTTTTATTAAATGTGCCAACTGCTAGGACTGTCTTAGGGAAAATAGCATTTAGATGCGCAGCTCCACTGTCCTGGAATAGTCTGCAATTAAAATGGAAACTGAGCAATCTGGTGCCACTAAATGTTTTTAAAGCTCGGTTGGATGCTACTGAATCGGAAGCTGTTGGTACCTGTGCATGTGGATAGTTATGTAAATTGTAATCCCTGTAATGCTACTGTATGATGTCCTTTTGTTGTTCTGTTATGTTTTTAATGTTTCATGTGGAACCTACTTGAGCAGGTCTCCCTTGAAAAAGAGATCAATGATCTCAATGGGATACAACCTGGATAAATAAAGGTGTGAAATTAAATGAAATGAAGCTACAAAATGTAATACCTTGGAAAATGCCGTTTAATACTTTTTAATAGCCTTCATTTTCGCTAAATTGATTGACCAACTTTTAATACTTTTTAAGACCCCGCGGACACCCTGTATTAAATGTGTCTTATTACTATAAAAATAATTGGGCCATAATGAATTAGTGGAGCTAGGACACGAGCAAAAGAAGCAAAGGGAAGGAAACCACATAAGGTTTTGGGATGATATCCTCGAGTACTGAAGAGTAGTATTTAAGGCAGGGGTGTCCAAACTACGGCCCGGGTGCCAAATGCGGCCCGCGGACCATTTTGAATCGGCCCTCAGCAAATTCAAAAAGTATAATGACTTAAGTATAATAAACTAGGCTTTTCTTATATTGTACTACTTAAATATATATGTTCAAAATATATTACATACTAGCATTCATGTGTTAATTAATAAGCGCAATTTTCCAATAAATTCAGTCAATTAAAGTTGAAAACATGTTCTAACATATCTTAGTTGATAAGAAAAAAGCACAATGACTTATTTATATAACAAGCTTGAAATACACCCTTCATATTTCTCCTCATTATAATCAATCTGAAGCTTCTGTTTTAATGGATGAGCTGCTAACAAAATAAATGAAACCCTATGGAGAGCTGTTTTTTTCTAACAGCCTTTTTCAAGTATCAAGAATAATTTACCTACATTTGATTGACTTTTCCAACTTATAACTGAACTTATGAGGCAATAAACCTCTCCTCTAGTGAGTGGCCCAGCCCTTCGTATATGTTTCTGTATGTGGCCCTCGGGGAAAAAAGTTTGGACACCCCTGCTTTAAAAGTGGGGTAGGTAAGTTTGAGAAACCGGCTCGAGATACACTTTGTGTTATATTCCATGGAATGCTCTTAACATCCCGATAGCAATGAATATCTTAAGTGCTTTGACAAAAAAATCCATAAAAAAATGTCATCTGTGGAAGCCGTAGTACTGTAAAAAGCACGACCAATCATCTGAGCCGGCCCGGCTAAAATAACTGGAAGGCCTACCTGCCTGTCAGCCTTCCATCTGTGCACAAACTTATCTCGTGCCCTCATTGGTCATGTGAGCGTTCGTGTGTGTTGGAGGAGGGGCTCTGTAAGGAAGTGGCAGATTTTTTCCGGCTGTGTATTTTCAAATTCTAGCGCACTCGAGCTGGTTTCTCAAACTTACCTACCCCACCTTTAAGGAATGAAAGCATATTTCCACTGAAGTCAGTAAATGTAGTGTTACCTGACGGAGGCCTGAGGGATGGTGTCGGGGCTCGCCAGCACCTGAACCCCCTTCTCCCACTCCTGCTTCCAGGTGTCAGCCAGCAGGTAGTAATCCTCCGGAGACACGTGGTGCGAGTCAGGAAGCTTCATGGCGCTGATCAGGTCTTTTCTGAACACCTGAGAGGGGGGGGGGGGGGGGAGAGGATCACAATCAGACATTACAAATACATGTTTATTCAGTCCTGTGTTTATTGACTTCTGTTGGTTTTAAAGGTCCCCTATTATACTGTTTTTCATCAATATATTACAGGTCTCAGATATATACAGAACATGTCTCTGATTGGCTGAAACACCAAACAGATCATTGCAGCATCCCATAATCCCCTCTGTTTCAGCCCTGTTTCAAAAGTGCTGATTCTCTGTCTGTTACTTTAGATGAAAATAAGGAGCCCCTCCCCACGCCCCTCTGAGAGATATTTGGTTAAAAGAACACAATGGTGCTCTAGGAGGAGATTCAGGTGATAAGGTGGGGGGGGCGGTTACCCTGGTTGGTGATTGGCTAATGGTTACACAAGCCAAAAAAACGTTATGACATCATAAAGTGGCCAAAATCTGATCAGCTCATTTTCAGACAGGTTTTTATAAAAATGGATCAGGACAAAAAGAGAGAGAATCTTTGTTCCTGAAACTTTCAGAGTCTCTTTACACAGAGGGGACACATGTTGATGAAGAAGAGACATGAAGAAGAGGGGACACATGTTGATGTAGAAGAGACATGAAGAAGAGGGGACACATGTTGATGTAGAAGAGACATGAAGAAGAGGGGACACATGTTGATGTAGAAGAGACATGAAGAAGAGGGGACACATGTTGATGTAGAAGAGACATGAAGAAGTGGATTTTGCATAATAGGTGACCTTTAAGGAATGTGTTGTTCAGTACTTGTGGGTTATCTGTCGCCACTTTTTTAGTTTTTTTCACACTCTCTAAATAAATACCCACTTTTTAAGAGAGGGTTAGGGATAGTATATTTTTGTGAGAAAGTGGTGACAGATAACCCACAAGTACCTGTTGCTATTTTTTAAATAGAGGAAATAAACGTACTTCAGCCGGTTTCTTCGGGACGGCGGCGGGGGTTTCAGGTTTGCCGCCATATTTGTTTGAAGAGCAGAAAGAAGTAGAGGGACCTAAAGGAAGAAAGAGGGTGTGAATAAAACCACATAACCTTTTTAATAGTTCATGTTATGTGTTTAGCAGAAGACTTACTCTCATTGTCAGAACTGTCGCTGCTGCTGGAAGAATGGAGACGTTTCATCCTGTAACATCCTGACGAAGAGAAAGAGAGAAACATGTCAATTTCAGTTTTATTGGGAGAAAGGAGTCTTTTTTATGATTATCAGGATCATTGACGGGGAACTTTCATATAATGCCATGCCTTCACATAATACATTTAATTTTTATAGTGCTAGTGAAAGACGCTTTACAAAAGTCACACATAACAAACACAGACGGAAAAAAATAGGTACTTTTCCGTTAAGATAAAGTCACTGTTTTGGAATCAGATGCCAATGTGGGTTTCCGTGAACATACATCCCTTTTGGGGCTGGATGCCCATTCCACTTTATTGTGAAACATTTCAGCATCTTATAAATCATAAAAACTGAATTCTTAGTGGTTAATGCAGACACATTTTGATTGTGTTCTGGTTTTATGTTTCAGTATTTGTAAGCAACTGTGACTGAAAGAATATTGCTTTTATTACCGGACTTTGACCGGTAAAATATACTGAAGACCGGCAAATCTAAATCTCTCAGTCTCCGGTCAAAATGTCCGGTCAAAATAATTTCCCCTTAGCGCAATACCGCATCAGTTGCGCCACTTATGTGACAGACAAGAATAGTATGTGACAGACAAGAATAGTAAATTCTAATGTCTAACACTTAATGTGGAGAAAGAGATGTCCTGTATGGGTTGATTGTGCGTTGATCTGTTGGTAATGCCTCGGGGTTCCGATGGGCATGTAAACAAATGCATAATGCTGCGCTATACTTTGTGGCCTCACCCGGTTGCATAGCGACGCTTATTGTTTAGGTGTCTTTTAATAAGCAGGTAGTCATATCATTAGCTAGAACTAGCTAGATCTGATCGATATGGACATAAACGTGAGTGAAGTCTAATCTGACAGGATAGAGAGATCAGCTGCTGCTGACTAGTCGACACGCAGCTCTGCATGATCACCTACAGCGGTGAGCGGAGCAAAACACACACTTCAGGTTAGAAAGTCACACGTAGCTATTTTAATTACCTCTCAAACTACCTAAACTAGTTATAGATATGTTTAGTTTTACTGTAGAGTCACTCATTACTGGATCCGCGAGCTGCATGATACTGACGGGCTGTCAGGAGAAGGAGAGAGCTCTCCGTTTATTATTCCCGTGTTATTGTAAGTTACTGTACACTTTTGAATAATGTAGTTAATCCACTATAATTAGTTTGTTTAATATCGAATCATATCAATTTGTTTTAAAGCTCAATAAATAACAAAGAAGACCTTTGACCGGCACTTTTCTCATTTTGTCCGGAAGATTTCAACTTTAACGAACATGTTGACCGGCAAAAAACAATTCTAACGGAAACTCTGGCATGCTCTATACAAAAAAATAAAAATAAAACAACCAGTCAGTATAAATGTACAGGTACAGGTTTTGTAAAGTGTACATGTTCTGTTTTAAAATAACTGCCATGTGTGGAATAAACAAATAAATATGTAAAACTGAGTCTCTCCGGAAAAGAATCCTGCAAAAGCACCACTTTAAATATTGTGTTGACAACAGATATGATCAAAAGTTGAAAATAAACTAAGCAATAAAGAAATCTCAGTCCGTAACGACGACCTGAATGAGAAGCAGCTTTGGTGAGCAGACAGAATTAGAGTCTAGCTTTAGAGAGGGAGGTAAAGCAGTCTCCAGCCTCCTGAACTGAACTCATTGAAGGTTTTAAATGCTGCAGCTCTGAATACAGTTTCTGTCTCACAGACAGGACATGCCTCACATTCCCCATGAGGACAGGAGGGGTCGGGGGGGCAACCCTCGCTGTACGATAAGTCAATTACACCAATGCAAACTGTTCGGAGAAACAGCAGTCTGTTAGCGGTTAGATAATACAGTGTGTTCACCAGGGAGGGTTACTTTTAGATCACTAACTTCACTTTTTAAAGGTCCCATGTCATGCTTTTCTGGTTATTACCCGTCCCCTTGTGTGTTATGAAGGTTTCTCTGCATGTAAACGGTCTGCAGAGTCACAACCCCTCAAAGTACACCCTGTAGCGAGTAAAACTCTAACACAGAAAAGACCTGTCTATGCTGCCCCAGAACGCCTCGTTGGAGATTTCTCTTTTTCTTCCTGGGTACAGTGACGTGCCCATACCCAAATGGACCAATCCGTGGAGCCGTTGCGTTACGTCCGCGGACTGGTCCATTTGGACTTCCTCACACACTCAATCTTTTCTCAGCTGCAGCTCCGCCAATTTCTCCTCCCTGAGACGGCGGGACGCGGCGAGGCTGTGAGTCTGTGTGTGAGCACACACACAAACTCCCAGCCAGGCTGCGGGTGTGTGTGTGTGTTCGGGCTGGGTTTCGCTGTGTCTCGCTGTCTCGCAGACGGCCACTGGGCTCATAGGGAGGGGGGGGGGGCAGGAGCTCCAACAAGCCGTTTAGGACAGAGAGTGAATACACATACTATACAGAGATGCTGTATGAGAAACCAATGTGAGTTTGGAACATTGCACAATGTAAATCTATTCTAGTAGACCTCAACAATGGAATTATGATCAGTAGAAATGGCCATGACATGTGTTAGAGTCAGTATTTTTGATTTTATAAGAAAGGCCACCTAATTGTGACGTCTGTAGTCAATGCACTATAAAAGGACTACAATTCCCACGGCGCCTGCACTAAAGCCACAGTGATGGGCAACCTGTTGAGAGACACCGTCGAGGAACAGTTTTTAACCGTACACGTACATACAAATCGTACAAGTACCCTTTAAGTTATACAAGCATTATCAAGAAAGAAAGAATACCTAAGTTGTTTGTTATTTTATTTGAGTTTTGCCTATTTCGTTTGAATATTGTAAAGGCCTATTTTCTTTGTTGCATGTGCAAAGGTTTGTTATTTTATTTTGAGCAAACGCATCGCAACATCATCTAAACCATCGGAGGCCAAGCAACACTTCAAACTGTGAGTAATTGAAAGGAAAGAAACGAGTTAGAGCTGTCTGTTTAAGGCGTCTAGTGGCTTGATGGAAAGACAAGGAAGGAAGCCACGACAACATGGGACCTTTAAGACTCTTGAAGCATTTATCATCACATCTCAACGTTGTTTTTTAATGCAATGGGGAAATTAAAATGTAGAGAATTCCTTTATAGCTCCAGAAATCAATGTTTTTTTATACTAGATGTTCATTTTAACTGTGATGGCATGTTTTCATCAGGTTTAGACCGACTTAATGCGTGTTATTTTCCAGGTTAAGGGATCAACAGTGGACTTCAATGAATCATTAGAGAAATATCTTTAAGAAACAGCATTTAAAAATCATTAAAACACGGCTTAGTTTAATACTTGATTCTGATTGGTCAATTTTGAATATTCTGCAGTCTGCTATTTTTTGCTAGCAGACCGTTGCTAAGGAGAGCAGACTGTTGACGATCTGATCAATGGACTATGTGCAACACTAAAGAAGACAGGAAGTAAACACTAACGGGAACAGCAGAAGAAGACAGACAGGAAGTAAACACTAAAGGGAACAGCAGAAGAAGACAGACAGGAAGTAAACACTAACGGGAACAACAGAAGAAGACAGACAGTAAGTAAACACTAAAGGGAACAGCAGAAGAAGACAGACAGGAAGTAAACACTAAAGGGAACAGCAGAAGAAGACAGACAGGAAGTAAAACACTAAAGGGAACAGCTGAAGAAGACAGACAGGAAGTAAACACTAACGGGAACAGCAGCAGAAGACAGACAGGAAGTAAACACTAACGGGAACAGCAGAAGAAGACAGACAGGAAGTAAACACTAACGGGAACAGCAGAAGAAGACAGGAAGTAAACACCAAAGGGAACAGAAGGCTGCAAAATACTGTATCATCAGACATTGTGGGGGTAAAATGTAGCAATAATAATTTTTTTAAAACACCTCAAAACCCCCTCAGTAAACTCTGCTTGGAGTTGTATTTATAGAAAATGTTTTTTTTGTTGTATGCAGCGGGGAAAGAGTAGTAGCATGATGTTTTTAAGGTAATTTATCTGGCATTGCACGTCCTGCGATGCGAGTATTGTTCATGTATTGCAACATCAATGCTGGAACAACTCATCTGTTCGAAAACAACAACGACAAAAGATTAAATAAACAAAATGATCAGATCATCCTGGAGGAATTTCTACATGAGGACGAGCTCATTGAGATGTTTTCAACAGTATTTGAAACATTCAATGGTTTTAGGTGAGGGTCTTTGTCGAATAAACAGCAGATTACAATGAATATAACACACTGTTCAAGGAGATCTCGGGCACATTTCTAACCCTTTTCCCAAAGTTTCTAGACTTGGTTCAAACCCTGCTGGGTGTTTCTGGACTGAATCTATTTTTAAGATGAAATCACACACAGAGCGCGCTGTGTTTCTCTGCAGAGCGGCATGTGTTCCTGACGTGAAGAGCGCCTCTCCCGCAGCAGCAAACAGCGCTCAGGTCGTCAGGACGGAGGTAAACGATGAATGAAGACACGTCTAAAAGCTGCAATTCTTACAATAAAAATGCAGAACTGGATCAACCTAAAAGTTATGCATGCTGAGACTTTTCCCCTGTTGCTATTCAGCGTTTTAAGTCTTCTTCAATTTCAATTTTGTGTTGTTAAAAACTATTAATTGAGTGACAAATTATCTGTTGATTTTTTACCCATAAAAAGTAAAATGCCTTTGGACAATTTCTACTTTTACATTTTCTGACATTTTCTGGGTAAACTAGGGCTGCAACTGTATTATTATTTCTGATTATCTGTTGATTATTTTATTTATTGATAGTTTGGTGCATTAACTTCAACTATAAATCCATCATGATACTTTTAAAGGTAGGGTAGGTAATTCACTTCAGAAACATTGTTATATTCCATGGAATGCTCTTAACATCCCGATAGCAATGAATACATTAAATGCTTTGACAATAAATACATAAAAAAAATGTAATCTGTGGAAGCCGTAGTACTGTAAAAAGCACGACCAATCATCTGAGCCGGCCCGGCTAAAATAACTGGATGGCCTACCTGCCTGTCAGCCTTCCATCTCGTGCACAAACTTATCTGGTGCCCTCATTGGTCATGTGCGCGTTCGTGTGTGTTGGAGGAGGGGCTCTGTAAGGAAGTCTGAAGGAAGGGGCAGATTTTTTTTTTTCGGCTGCGTACTTTCAAATTCTAGCGCACTCGAGCTGGTTCCTCCATTCTTACCTACCCTACCTTTAAGAAATAATCATTTAGAGTAGATCCTCGACCTCGACATGATCATTTAAATAGATTTTTGCAGAAAATGTGTATTTCTTTAAATCTTATTGCAATTGTAATATAAGTTTAAATATGTTTTCTAAACATGAAGCCCTTAAGTATTATAGGTATAGACACCCAGCAGTGTATAAAGTACTTAACATGAGTGCCAGCTTAACAATAAAGTGATAAACACATACAGGAATCAGTAATATAATGTACTACTTCTTTCTTGTGTGTGTGTGTGTGTTAAAGGGCTTGAAGAAATACTCTGTTAAGTGCTTTCATGTACTCACATTACCACACACACACACACACACACACACACACACACACACACACACACACACACACACACACACACACACACACACACACACACACACACACACACACACACACACACACACACACACACACACACACACACACACACACACACACACACACACACACACACACACACACACACACACACACACACACACACACACACACACACACACACACACACACACACACACACACACACACACACACACACACACACACACACACACACACACACAAGTCAGGGTGCTCAGTAGTGGGTGAATTGGGAGCTTTTTCAAACATAAACCCTGAACCTGCTGCCCTGCCCAAAGAGCCGAGTTGGCGCCAAACACACACTGAAGTCAGCTTCCGGTTGGGCAGTTAAGGGGAAATGTAAGGGGAAGCTTAATTTACAGTACTAAGGGTAGGATCCCAGCTTCTTTAAGCATCATTTACATGTTAGACATTGTATTTAAAGGCTGTCTGAAACACACTTTAACATTGGAAAGATTTATATTTATGTAATATATTTTTGTTTTTGTTTACTTAAGACTGGCTTAGATTATCACTGAGAGGCTTAATATTATTTAAGACAGATTCAGATTTGTGGACTTTATTCTATATGTAAAAATGCAATATTATAATTAAAACTATTTAAAAAAAAGGTAGGTTTTATTTTTCTTTCTTATTCTATACCATTTTATTAGTCTGTATTTATAAAATCAGATTTGTATCGCACCTTTTATTTCTGCTCCACACTACCTCTTTTTAAACAGGTTATATTTTGTGTAAATATTGTCTTTATATTTCTAATTTGTAACAATAGTCTTTAAAATAAAGACTGTTTTTTACACTATCTTTTGCTCCTTTCTTTTAAAAAAACATTCTTCTTCTCTGTGTGTTTGTAAGAAACATTTACACCAAAGCAAATTGCCCATCTGTGTAAACCTACTTGGTAAAATCTGATTCTCATTGTTATATAAAGTGTTTTTTTAAAAGAGACAATGTGGTTAAATAGGAAAAAAGCTGTTTAATCTCCCTTTTGTTACGGAAGGACTTTAACTAAAAGCTTTTACAAACAGGCTTTAACAACAGAGGAACATAAAAAAAGGAGAATCTGTCCTTTAGAAATGTTATATGAACTTTCCCCTTAAGTGCCCCTATTGTAAACTCCCATCCTGAGTCTGACTTCAGCGCCGCGGCCTGCAGGCTGTGGAGAAATCAAACGTGGGCGCCACCATCACACAAAGATGTCACTTCCTTCCTACACACATTAACACAAAGTATTCCGCTCACAAACACCGGCTCCATTATCCACAGAGAGGGGGACAGGAAAACACTCTACATTAAGAAACATTAGCGGGGTGAAGCAGCCGAAATACAGGCAGGAAAAGGGAGCAGGCCCCGGCTAAATCCTGGAACACATATTGTTTCCATTCCCCCCATTTTACCTTCAGTCCACCGGCTGCTGTCCGCTCTATTCCTGCCACTTTTCAGTCCGGGTCAAACCTCCAGAATACGGGGTGATATACACGGAGTCTCCGGTGATTTTAGAGAGGGGAATTTGTTTTTTTTGTATCCGAACCACAGAGGGAGATCCTGGGCAGCAGTCTGTCCACCACCACGGCACAACAGCTCTATTGTACCGAGACGCCCGCACGGTCCTAATGCCCGCCGGATTCCATACAGCCGGGGTGCGCTCGATTTACTCACCGGTATTACCCCCTATCTTTTAGACCACAATGGGGAGAAAAAAACGTTATTTATTTTTTCTTTAACAATTGAAAATCATTATTTGCAAACTCCGTGTATAATTCAATGTATTTATATTTTACATATTAAAATATACTTGAAAATCAATGACTTACTACACCACAATTGTACAAAAATAATCAGGTTTTTTTTACATTAATGCCTATTTTTACGTTAACTTATCTTATCTTATTTTAGTATATATTATTTAATTTTGTAATAATTGTGTCAACTCTAAGTTCCCCCGCTGCTCTCTAAAAAAAGAGATGGGCAGAAATAGAAACTCACAATAGAGTCAATGGAAAATAAAACGCATTTGATAAAATATGATTAAAAATTAGATTGAATTAATAAATACAAATAAAATGGAATGATATACTTCAAATGTGTAACATAAGAAGGAAAATAAACCCTACCTAATAATAAAAATTATTATAATATTTCACATTTCCCTCATCCCCCTGACAGTAACCATGTCATGGGAAATATCGCCCAAAAAAAACAGTCTTACGTTCTTTCTTCTAGTTTGATATTGAAATTGGCTTCTTTTTTTTTTAACAACTTACACTCCATGAAGTCACTGAGAATTGAGAAAAATGTTCCTTTAAAAATCGTACATTTGTGCAACTTTAGCACGCTTTACTCTGCTTTCATGCCATCATTTGAAAACCACCGTTATTAGTTATCATGTTCATTAAGTCCTGAATCCGGAGTATTTTTCATCACACAAATCAAATCATGAAATACAGAAAGGTTCACATCTGTCCTCGACATTTATTAAAAAACAGTGATATGAAATAAGCAGTCAGTGTCCATTGTGTTTTCTTAGATATTCTAAGCTTTTAATGTAAAGACAGGGTGTCAACTTACAGACAAATTGTGCATTCATAAGATAAATAGCTCTAAAAAACCGATGCTCGAGTACAAAAGATTTACAAATACAAAATCACAGAACGTTCCTATTATATACTTCTTAAAGGCAACTGTACAAAACCGCTTCAACTGAAACTGCCTTTTGTTGCAGGTTAAAAATGATTACATGAATAATACAGACGGAGGGATGTTGGCCATCGATTGGAAAATCATTATCAAAAGTAAGTGTTTTTAAAGTAAGTGGAAGTGAAAGCTGCTTACTGTGATCAAACAGAGGAAGACGGCTCTTTGAAACATCACGATTCATTGAGATTGAATGTTTTAAAACCAAAATCTGTGCTTCTTTAACAACATGAAGGAAAGTAATTAACCTACTTAATGAACTTTGATTCCAGGTTAACACAAACAGGATTTACATTTACAGCTTGTTCAAAAACATCAAATCGCACAAAATAATCCTTTTATATCAAATACCTTAAAGGGGACCTATTGTGCTACATCTCTCGGTTCATATTTTGGACGTGTCTCCATGCTTTAATGTTCAAAAAGCTCTCATACTGCCTGTATCTTTTCACCCTCTGTCTAAAACCAGAGCCCAGTCTGCTCTGATTGGTTAGCTGGCCGGCTCTGTTGTGATTGGTCAACCGCTTAGAGATGTCCCGCCCCTTAGCCTATCACGTACAATGTGTTGGAGCGCTAGCCAATAGGAGCGAGATGTCACTATGTCCCTGAAGTAAACAAACAAGTCCAATGGAGACGTTTCTCATTTTTTTGGTCCTTCGTTCATGAGAATATCACAGGGGCCTTTTGAGAGTGATATAATCCTTTACAATTAAGTAGTTTTGCAAATATCAGTAGCGAAATGAACCCAGGAAGACAGACTATTTACCCAATTGTTCATAATGTATGTCTTTTAATGTGTGTCCAGCATCACTGCTTCTTCCAACAGTGTTTAAAAAGCCTCGTAAGAAAATAAAGTCAGACGTAACGAAACGTTTTACTAAAAACAATGATAAAGACAATACATGTGTTTCCATACAAAAACATTCAGCAGAGTATAAAACAAATATCACAAAATAAAAATCACATGTCTACATCAACCAAAATGCAGACGTTCATGATTAAACTTTGGCCTAACAGAAACCAGTAAATATGTGATAAACATCTACTCAGCATGTCTCAAATATACATTCATAACAAGTCCATTATCTAATACACAAATAAATCCTTGAACAAAATAAAAATATGGTTTATTTATATAAAATGTTTTCCCTCAGGCGTTCGTGTGCTCATGGTTTTTCTGCAGCGACATTAAATTAAACATTTACAGCAAAGCTCTACATTCACAATCGATAAAAGCGACATTCATAGAAATATAAATATTCACCGCTCGCTCCGCTTCGAGCGTCGCGGCTGCAGACTCACGGTCGGGTGAACTGCAGCCTTTCTGGATCTCTGCAATATTTGTGATTTGCTATCTCGTTTTCTGGGGCCAATCCAATCCAACTGGAGCCGAGCTGCAGGCGTTTCGCTTTCTCACAATCCCATCTGCATGTCGGCGAAGTTGAAGAAGTTGTCGACGTCTCTGGAGGAAGAGTTTTTATTTTCAGAGACGAAAACCTGCAAAGGAAGAAAAACAACTTGTTGAAGTAAACAACAACAGCCAAGTAAACAACAACAACAACAACAACCATTACTTTTGCTCAGAGGGGGAAGAAGTACTCAGATCTTGTTCTTTAGTAAAAGTAGAAGTACTCAGATCTTGTACTCGAGTAAAAGTAGAAGTACTCAGATCTTGTACTTGAGTAAAAGTAGAAGTACTCAGATCTTGTACTCGAGTAAAAGTAGAAGTACTCAGATCTTGTACTTGAGTAAAAGTAGAAGTACTCCGGTCATGTACTTGAGTAAAAGTAGAAGTACTCAGGTCATGTACTTGAGTAAAAGTAGAAGTACTCAGGTCATGTACTTGAGTAAAAGTAGAAGTACTCAGATCTTGTACTTGAGTAAAAGTAGAAGTACTCAGATCTTGTACTTGAGTAAAAGTAGAAGTACTCAGGTCTTGTTCTTTAGTAACAGTAGAAGTACTCAGATCTTGTACTTGAGTAAAAGTAGAAGTACTCAGGTCATGTACTTGAGTAAAAGTAGAAGTACTCAGGTCTTGTACTTGAGTAAAAGTAGAAGTACTCAGATCTTGTACTTGAGTAAAAGTAGAAGTACTCGGGTCTTGTTCTTTAGTAACAGTAGAAGTACTCAGATCTTGTACTTGAGTAAAAGTAGAAGTACTCAGATCTTGTTCTTTAGTAAAAGTAGAAGTACTCAGGTCTTATGCTAGAGTAAAAGTAGAAGTACTCAGATCTTGTACTTTAGTAAAGTATAAGTACTCAGATCTTGTGCTTAAGTAAAAGTAGAAGTACTCAGGTCATGTACTTGAGTAAAAGTAGAAGTACTCAGGTCATGTACTTGAGTAAAAGTAGAAGTACTCAGATCTTGTACTTGAGTAAAAGTAGAAGTACTCAGATCTTGTACTTGAGTAAAAGTAGAAGTACTCAGGTCTTGTTCTTTAGTAACAGTAGAAGTACTCAGATCTTGTACTTGAGTAAAAGTAGAAGTACTCAGGTCATGTACTTGAGTAAAAGTAGAAGTACTCAGGTCTTGTACTTGAGTAAAAGTAGAAGTACTCAGATCTTGTACTTGAGTAAAAGTAGAAGTACTCAGGTCTTGTTCTTTAGTAACAGTAGAAGTACTCAGATCTTGTACTTGAGTAAAAGTAGAAGTACTCAGATCTTGTTCTTTAGTAAAAGTAGAAGTACTCAGGTCTTATGCTAGAGTAAAAGTAGAAGTACTCAGATCTTGTACTTTAGTAAAGTATAAGTACTCAGATCTTGTGCTTAAGTAAAAGTAGAAGTACTCAGATCTTGTGCTTAAGTAAAAGTATAAGTACTCGGATCTTGTACTTTAGTAAAGTATAAGTACTCAGATCTTGTACTTTAGTAAAGTATAAGTACTCAGATCTTGTGCTTAAGTAAAAGTAGAAGTACTCAGATCTTGTACTTGAGTAAAAGTAGAAGTATTAATTTCTTGTATTTGAGTAGAAGTAGAAGTACCAGAGTGTAGCAATACTCTGTTACAAGTTGTTACAAGTTGTTACTCAGGTTGGAAAGTACCAGCATCAAAATATACTTAAAGTACCAGAAACATGTAATGTGTTTGTTTGATAGGTAAAACTAAATGCATGAGTTTGTAGATGGTTTTTAGTTGTGTATTTGTAAAGTGTGTGTTAGTGAATCGTAGGACATGTGTAAAACATGTTGAGTTTGTTTGTGGAGTTTCAGCAGGAAATGAGCTCCATCCTTTCTGTATGTATCTTTCAAAGCGGTTCACCTTGGTGCCGGGGAACACCTGGTCGGCGATGCTCCTGCAGGCGTCCACCACGCCGCCTCCGCTCAGCTCCAGGGCGATAACCGGACCTTCAGAGGACAAACAGGATGGGACGGATTCAGATTTATGGGAACATTTCATATTACGTTTTACTAAGCATTAAACCAATACAAATATTTAAACGTTGTATTTGACAAATATTTTATTTAAAATATGACCTTTTTGTTTGTTTTTACTTCGTACGTGTACCTGTGTAGCACTGATGTCAATGTCTTATGTGTATATAATGACCGATGTTCATATGTTTTTTGAATAAATAATGTTGAGACAATAAATAAATATAAGTAATAATACATTATATTTCAAGGTGCCTTTCAAAGCACACCGTACAATTCATAATATATTCTAAAAAGGGTTCAAAACAGTTCAACAGGACAATAACAGGGAACATGTAGCGTGTCATACGGTCTGCTTATTTCCATAAATGTAACATCCACTTCCTCCCCCCGTCCCTCACACCTCACAGCACCAACTCACCCTGCAACCCTCTCCTCTTTGGTCTCCCTCTCAAGTCCATCCACAAACTTCAACTGGTCCAGAACTCTGCCGCCCCGCCCCGCACCATCACCAGACCCACCCCCCCCCCCCCCCATTAACCACATCCCTCCTGTTCTCCAGCAGCTCCTCTCAACCTCTCCGACCTCCTGCACATCAGCACACCCACCCGCACCGTTAGGTCTTCTGCTTCCATCACCCTCACTGCACCACCACTTGTGATGTGTCATTTTGTAAAGCACTTTGAGCTGCATGTGTTGTATGAAAAGTGCTGTATAAATAAAGCTTTATTATTACTCCATTCTGCACCCCTCCTCTGGAGCTCCCTCCCACCTGACATAAGGAATATTGACTCCCTCTCCATTTCAAATCACGTCTCAAAACACATCTCTCCACACGGGCATATCCACCCTGATCACATGACACGTCCTCTGTTCTTACTGATTTCATTGTCTTGTTTTTCTGCTGGTGTTTGGTTTTTGATTTGTGTTTTTGTATCTTGTACATGACAGCCATATAAATAAAATGCATTATTAAGTATATTAAACAATCTCTCTACCACGACAATACTTAATTCAAAATGTATTCTAACTCGTATTCAGCCTTTAAGAAATACTGTGATTCTTGCATTTTGGATATAGTCTATGTTGTGTTTTGGATCAAATGTACCACCCTACCTTTGGTGATCCAGTCCACTAGCTCGTCTGCGCTGTTCTGGAAAACCCTCTTCACGTCTTCAGGTCTCATCGACACCTCCTTGGTCTGGACCAGCACGAAGCTTTTAGCCGTCACCTGAGCGAACGAGAAGGGAAACGTGATTTAATAAAAAATCAGCAGGTTTGTAGAGAACTACTTCAAGACTCCTGCGGTGTTTGCACGGAGGAGATGAACTGGATTACAGCGCGCCTGCTACACATGCTTTAGTGATGGAGTCATGCATTTTTCTGGCAGCAACACAAACATCACAGGAATTTTAAAGCAGCTGAACAGCAGGCTTCACATACTGAGTAGTACTAGCTCAAAGTCAGATCGAAAAGAAAGTGATTAAAACATGTCAAGATCAGGAAGAATAAAACACATATCAAAATGACATTTGATCCCTCCTTTCAACTTTGCATTTGTAATTATCTATATTATAAATTAAACAATAATTAATGAAGTCAATATGTTTCAATTAATAAATAACTATGTCACAATCTGTATTTAAAAAAAAAGGTAGGTAGGGTAAGGTAGGTAGGTAGGTAGGTAGGTAGGTAGATGTCACAATCTGTATTTTAACGTCATGTTCGCATTACATTTTCTTATAATATGTTATATGTTGTTAAAAATCCTGCAGGCTGTGCTGGTTAACACTGTTTTTATTTTTATTTTAATTAGTTGTGTAACCTTTTAAAGAAGTGGCTGAGTGCACCCAGATGTTATCGGTGTATTATCAGCAGGTCAACTCTGATACCACCACCACCATGTTTCCATGTACGTACTATAAACACTTCCTCCATTTGTTTAGCACTTCATATCTAGTGGTAGTAAAAGTCAGTGTGATTATAAATACGGTTTTACGAGTAACTCCTACACAGACCTACGGTAGTTGAATAAAGGATTTCTTATTCTGATTTCCATCAGATGAGACCAGGGGCTATTTCAAAAAGAAATGTAATTTTACCTTGTGGAAAAAGGGAGTTGCTGGAATACCGATGCCTTTTTTCGGTAAGTTAGATTGTGTAATTGTGTGACTTTGGTGTTTTAAAGCGTTGATTCAGTTTTACCAGTCACATTATAACCTGTATTTTAATTAAAAAGATAATTATAAGGGTCATAAAAAATGGGAAAGAAAACTATTAAACAATTATTAAAACTGTCATTACTTTATGTAGTAAAAAAGAAAAAAGGAGAAATTTCACCAATTTATCTTGAAAACCTTTAAAAATGTCACAGAAAATGTAAAATAAACATTTAATTAAAAAATCCTAGTATAGTATGAAACAAAAAGTCTTAAAAATGTATAAAATATTGTTAAAAAAGTACCAAAAAGGATTCAATACATTTAATATTAATCTTCTGCAAAAAACATTGTAATAAAGCGTACACTTAAACTAATAGTTTTTTTGTACATGTCTAAAAAACATCCACAGCAGGACAATAGATAGGTAGGTAGGTAGGTAGGTAGGTAGGTAGGTAGGTAGGTAGGTAGGTAGGTAGGTAGGTAGACAGATTGGTATTCTCCTCACCTCATCGATGAGTTTGCGGGCGTTAGCGGTGGTGTATTCTCCGGCGAAGAACACAAAGAGGCAGGACTCATCGCTGTCCTTACGCCGGCCACCTTTTGTCAGAGGCACGATGCTGCGTTCAGGGTCGCCCGAGATCCGAACCGACTTGAATTCAGATTCTGGGTCAGGGACGGGCACAAAATCCAGAACCTTGGACGACTCCGGCAGCAGGCTCCAGTTGTTCTCCCCAGAAACGGGCGTGAAGTCGTGGATGTTGCTCCAGTTGTTGTTGAAGATGCTGAGGCCGGCGTCCTTGAAGTGGAAGGCGAGATCGGGGTAGAAGTATTGGAAGCAGCCAAACTTCATCCCCGTGGACGCCTCGATGATGGGCTGTGTGGCGCAGCACAGGAACACCTCCATCTTTTTACAGTCCCGCGTGCGAAACTGCTGGCAGGCCACCACGCACTTGATGTCCTTGCAGTCCCTGAAGAAGACGCTGCCCTTGATGGGGCCCAGCATGATGCGGCAGTTCACGCAGTCGTCGATGGTGATGGTTGCCGCGTGGTCGAAGACGAAGATGTTGCAGTTCTCGCAGTCCTGGATCACAAACTGCTGGCCGTTCAGTTTGCCCGGATGCCGGCCCACCGTCACGTCTTTGAGCCCCGACAGCATGTAGTCTTTGGGGTCAACCTGAGCAGAGATAGGGGGCGCCATCAGTCAAAGGAAAATGGACAGTATTTACAGAACAGTATCGGATATATTTCAACTTGATCATCTACTTAGCATGCAGATATTCTTGTAAGCGTCAGTAGAAAACATTAAAAAGGCCTTAATATGCTTTTGGGGTTTTTCCTTTCCAGTAGTGTACTGTAGGTTTTTGTGCATGTAAATGGTCTGCAACGGCTAAAATCCCTGTGTTTCCTCCCTCACACCTCTCCCCCCCCCACCCTGCCTGAAACGCCTCAATTGGACTCCTTTGTTTACTTCCTGATCATAGTGACACCACTATGTAACACTCGCACTTGTATTGGCTAGCACTCCAACACATCGTACGTGATAGGCTAAGGGGCGGGACATCTCTAAGCGGTTGACCAATCACAACAGAGCCGGCCAGCTAACCAATCAGAGCAGACTGGGCTCTGGTTTCAGACAGAGGGTGAAAAGAGGTGCTGCAGCACAGGCAGCATGAGAGAAATAAAGGGCTTTTTGAACATTAAAGCACGGAGACACTAAATACTGATATGAATAATAGGGACCCTTTAAATCCAACTCATGTAAGGGTGAATAAGCTGCTTACATAATAAAGCTCTGTTGTGCAACCAGCTACATTTTAAGTTTAATTTATTATACTTTCTGGATAATTTGATACGTTTCTTTACACACCCTTTGAACCGTGTCCTTGATTTTGCAGTTCTTGAGTTTTGTTTTTAAATTTGAGATTATGCTCTCCATTAAAAAAATGTACTTAGAGCTCCCATTTTAAAAACTGCTTTACAAATAAATGTATTAAAATCAAACCATTCATTCATCGTATCTTCTCTTCTTTTTGTTACATTTCACTAACATTTCAGTAGTTTCTCTTCTCTAGAAATGAGTCATATTTCAGACTAAGTGAACTTGCAGTTGGCATTAAGCTAGTTTTAGACAACACACCGGATACTGATGCGTAGTGTGTTATTTTGGTGAACCACTGTTATAAAAAGGGTGACATCCTAAAAAGGGAAGTGGAACCACGACCTTGTCCGTGCCTACATAGTCTGAATAAATCATGCTCTGTGTGTTCAGCTGTGAACAGTGTTGTAATCCCATAATGAGATAACGCCGGCTGGATACATGGGGGACGTGTGCAGAGCGTTGCGTGCATCTTAAGCAACCGTCGACACGTAAAGCTGAATATGTTGAGACTGGGTGATGTAATAAAACACTGCCGAGCTTGGCTCTGTTATGTAGACAGATTCAGAGCCAAAAACGGATTAAATAAGACAAATATTATCAATAGGAATTACACTTACAAATTAAAAAGCTTTAAAGCATATGTATACAAAAATATATCGGCCCTATTTACATTTGCTCCAGGACACTAATGCCTTTCACCTGGTTAAATACATGGAGATGTGGATTGGTCTTTTTCTTCTTTTTGGTATCTTACATTTGCTATTAAAATACTCCATTGTGAAAATATTTTAATTATATTTATCATATTTTCGGTGAATTTTTATCAATTTTTCATTTTATAATATATATTTCTTTATATTTTTCTTACAAAAATGATCAATACTTCCTCACTTTGACTTCAATGTATCTAACCGTGTATATAGTAATACTCTTTCACTCTTAGTGTTTATTTTGTTAAGTTAAGGATCTGGAAACTTCCTCCAACACTGAAAAAAACTCTGGCATTTGTAAACATTTAATACTCAGTTTACAAACATGTAAACTGAGTATTTGTACACTGTAGTACTGTTAGAGTACCTCTGCATACCTGTAACAAAAAGCGTACATTTGAATGTATCTTAGTGTTTACATTTTCACAAACAAGACAATATCCTTGTAAGTGAAAAACCTATTTTTCTTTATTTTGTGTCAATGCAGCAATTTAAGGTTGTGTAACATATTCAATTATATTTTATTAATGTAAAAGGATGTACTTCATTGCATTGGGTGGATGTTAAGCAATGATCTCAGCATGTACAATAAACATGTGTTGCGTGTTAAAAGTTTTTTTTAAAGGTATTTTAACTGGGGTATATGTGCTTTATATGTGCTGCAATCGTGAGTTCATTGTGCTTATATGTTTTTCATGTGCTCTTGTATGTTTTCTTTAAATGCCTTCAACCTGCCAGGGACCTCAGATGAAAATTGGCCTCTCTGGCTACAGTTAAAGAATGTGCATTGTCCCTTCTTAAAATAAATAACTACAAATATTTCCATCTAAATGTAACTCCCTGTGTTTATATGCACCAACACACCTGAGAAAATCCCTTGTATGTGAGAACCTAATGAGGTTTTTTTTCTAAATTGCTACCTGGAAACCTCCTAATAACACAACATAAAAGACGTTAAGTGTCTCATACTTGTTAGGTAAGACTTCCAGGAATCAAAAGGTATAATTTCATTTAATTGTATGACTGTATTGAGAATGTAATGACGTGTTCACCTTTTCTCTCTTGTCCCAGCTGTAGGTTACTGCTATCAATTAATTTGACAAAATATGAATGTCCATAGAAGGGTTAAATATTGTATTTTTTCAGTGTTATTTCCCCATCTAAATGTATCTCCCTGTGTTCACGTAAGCACCAATACACCTAAGAAAACCCCTTGTACGAGAGTTGTTTCTAAATAGCTAGCTGGAAACGACTTAATGACACAAATGAAAAGGCATTAAGCATCTCACACTTGTTGGGTTTTGTTAGGTAAGACTTCCAGGTGCCAAAAGGTATAATTTCATTCATCTTAATGATTTTATTTAACGTTAAATGTCATGTTTTCACCTTTTCTCTCTTGTCCCAGCTGTACTGCTTCGGAGGCTCCTCGCTGTTGTTGCCAAGGGGAACCGAGCTGTTTGTCGTCGTCGTAGTTTCAACGGTCGTTGTTGTCGGCGTACGTTCATCTTTTTCCGAGGACTTCCTTTTGGATTTTTTAGAGAAGAAGCACCCCATGTTGCTTGGAGTTTTTCGTTAACCCGTAACGAAGGAGAACACGATCAAATGTGAGAGAGAGTGAGAGGCTTACGAGCTCTTGAGTTGAAAAGATTTTTTTTCTTTGGCTTCCTGTTTCTCTGCTTCGTTTCGCAACCAATCGTAACCGTCCCAGTCGTGTGAAGAGCCAATCACAAGGCTGATGTGGAGTGACTGAGTGACGTAAGAGAGGCGTGAATCCCATGAGGCGTTTGGGGACAAAACAAACTTCCGCAGGTTGCTTTTATTATAAACATATTTTAATAAGTATTTATTGAACATAAATCAAAACAGAGAAGCACACATCTATCTACTGGTGCATGATGTATTGAATTCAAGTTAAAGTATGATTACCTGCACATTTAAATGTATGTTTAACCTTTATACATATCTGTGTATAACTCATGTCATTGTTGTCATTTCTATTCATACTATTACTACATGTTATTCTTATTTTATTTTGTATTCTTATTCTTATTATCCCATGTGTACTATCTGTGTTTCTGTCTTGTTCCGTTGCTGCAACAACACCTGCATTTCCCTACAGGGATCAATAAAGGTCCATCTTATCATATATTATCTTATCTCATACCATAATAAAACACTCCTGACTCCACTACAAGTAGCTCATAACTATGCAATCAAGATCTTACTCAAGTAAAAGATACACATTTTTGCTTAAAGGGGAACATGTAATAGGGGGGAACATTTTACCTTTAGTAGCCTACTATGCAATCTAAATAAACAATCAACAGTTATTTTTAATACAAAATATAATGTAAGTTGTGGTTGCAGTGTGTTGATATATTTATATTTTTGACCTTCTCTTACAACTTATTTACTTGTGTTTTTATGTTTGCACCTGCATACACCAAAGCAAATTCCTTGTATGTGTAAACGTACCTGGCATTAAACTTGATTCTGATAATAGTGTATTCTTCAAATTAACTATTGTATTATATAGATATTCTCTAGCAATATCTCTTATCCGTGTTGGTATGTATATTTACTGTGTATTTTTTCACTTCTGTGCAATACTTTTGTTTATTTGTTGACATGAAATTCCTATATGAAAGGTGTTTTTTTTGTTGATACATATACTCACTATCTCACTCACTATCAAATAGTGCAGTAAAATGTACAATATTTTCCTCAGTAGCAGAAAATATAAAAAAAAGTACCATCAATATGCACTTAAGTACACTACAAATTACCTTGCAGCAACGTTCAGGAAAGAGGTTGTAATTTACCAGCCTACCCTGAATGCACCGTTACACATTGAACACACCCCTCTGGTCGGGGTGTTGTCATACTACAAAAAGCTCATTATGCAAACTTGTTAATTACATATCTTATATCATAAAAACTATAATATTATGCTCATAATATAAAGGGAAATAACTGAAAAGAGTGCAGAGTAAAAAAAAAAGGCAATACAAATGTAAGTGTATGTTTATTTTTTGAACACCAGGTTTATTTATTTATACTATATATTGTATATTTACATCTCACTCAACAACAAAACCACAAATAACTTGTTACATGTCGGAGCAGACTTCAGATTAGCTAGCACCTTAAGCCAATAGGCCACGCTAATAATAGGTAATCTCCCATCATGCATCTGTAAGAGATGCTTTGAGGAAATGGCCTTCCTGTACGTCCCTTTTTCACCCTGCGTTACCTCATGATGTTATCTGTTGAAATACCTAAAGGGCAGAGAAGGTAATGTATGGTAATGGCTTTATTAAAGGAGCAGTGTTTACTCAACCTGCTCTTAAGTACACATTTGAAGTATTTGTTCTTTACTTAAGTATTTCCATTTATTTATACTTGACTTCATCTCAGAGGGAATATTTTTACTCTATTACATCTATTTGATCACCTCAATCACATTGAAGATTAGGATCAAAAATACAAAATACAATCAACCAAAATAAGATAAATAGATTAGTAGAAGGGATTAATAGAGATACATTGCACTTTATTGATACCTTTGTGAGATTCACAAGCTGTAAATGCAGTACAAATAAAGTCTAATTAACATATTATGCTCATTTTCATGTTCAAATGTGTATTTAGTGTCTCTACTGTGACATGTCTCCATGCTTTAATGTTCAAAAAGCTATTTATTGTTCTCATACTGCCTGTGCTGCAGCACCTCTTTTCACCCTCTGTCTGAAACCAGAACCCAGTCTGCTCTGATTGGTTAGCTGGCCACCTCTGTTGTGATTGGTCAACCACTTAGAGATGTCCCGCCCCTTAGCCTATCATGTACAATGTGTTGGACTGTTGAAGTGTTAAATAGTGAGGTCACTATGTTCTCGAAGTAAACAAAGGAGTCCAATGAGGTGTTTTTGGTGGGGGGAGAGAAACAAAATACAATACTAAAATGCTTTTAGAAGTTAAAAAACAGTATAATAAAATAACCATAATAATAAAATACTGGGAAAAGATATGTTTGTAATTCTACTTGAGTAACGTTTGGAAATTAGGACTTTAACTTGTAATGGGGTATATTAAGACCATATATTTGTACTTTTACTTAAATAAAAGATCTAAGTACTGTCAGGGAATAATTCTGTATACATGTTTATCTTTTGCCCTCTGACGCAGATGCCCAACCTTGGGCAGCAGCTATCTCCCTTAAGGAGGGGCTGCCCAAGCATTTTGTTGTTGTTACCAGTTTATGACAGGGCAACTCTCTGTCAGAGATAGTTATCGTTGTGGGACACCTGGAACACAACCTTCTCGGGGTGTAGATGACCCAGAGCCATAAGCGACAACAAATGTGATTCAGTGTCCTCAGCTGTTTAGTCTATCTATTGAAGAATGTTGATTATTACACTCTGAACTAGTTAAAACCTGGAGCTACAGGAGGGTCCTTCAGAATTGATGTGGCATCTCAACCGTGTGGTCTGATCGTGGCCCGTGACATGTCTTGTGAATTCTCCGGCCGAAGCTCCAAATAAACCATCAGTGTTTGCCATCAAAGCTCCAGCTCTCCTCGTGTCTCTCTGAGTCCTGACTCTCCAATTGCTTCAGAAGTTTCCCCCACAAGTACTTCTTCAAACACTGAGTAGAGGTATATTTAGCACAACATGAAAACACTACTTTGTTAGTTCCCACAACTTGCATTCCACTACTGCTTTTTAACGACCAAACCCAGTCCCTGTGCACTTCCGGTTTTAAATCCTCAGCTCTGCACATTCATCAGGACCTGCTGACCGTGACTCAGGGGGTTTAGCTTTACCTCTGCTTCATGAGTTCAAAGGTTTTATTGTCATATACACAGCTACAGTCATGCAATGCAATTCCTAAGTCACAGGCTCCTCCAACAATGCAACATAAACAAAAAAAAACAACAACAAGAAAAACTGTACAAGAAAAAATAGAGTAGAAATAAAATACTGCAAGAGTGTTGCAAGACTAATGTACAAGTGAGGAAGTTAACTATATGCAAGTTAATAGAAAAAAATGAGCTAAATATAAAATCAGAGGCGGGAGAAGTACTTCTACTTGAGTAAAAGTAGAAGTACCAGAGTGTAGGAATACTCTGTTCTGAGTTAAAGTTCTGCATTCAAAATGGTACTCAAGTAAAAGTACAAAAGTAATAGTATCAAAATATGCTTAAAGTACCAAAAGTAAAAGTAGTCATTGTGCAGATTGGTCCATTTCAGAATAATATATATGATATGTTTTATAATTATTGATGAATTAAAGTGTTCTCAAAGCTGGTAAAGGTGCAGCTAGTTTGAATGACTTTGTATACTGCAGGGTAGCTTGTGAATTTACTCCAGGTGGAACTAAAGTCTGATTTAAGAGCTGATTATATTTCACATCATTCATCCAGATCTGTAAAGTAACTAAAGGTATTCAATACATGTAGTGGAGTACAAGTACACCATTTACCTCTGAACTCAAGTGGAGTAGAAGTACAAAGTAGCAAAATATACTCAAGTACAAGTATTTCAAAATTGTACTTAAGTACAGTACTTCAGTAAAAGTTACTTTCCACCACTGCGCATGCGCAACCTGAGAGCGGCGGTGTGATTTCCTCTCCAGCAGCAGAGCAGCAGTGTGTCTTTAAAAGGCTGAGCCTGCAGCAGCCAGCAGACCCTGGATCTGTTTCCTCTCTGCGAGCACCGTGCAGTGACATGGCATCATCATAGCGGCTGTCAGCAGCAGCAGCAGCCGCAGCATCATGGAGCCTCTCCGGTCGCAGAGGCGCACCGCAGCCCGGGTTCTGGACACCTTGACGCCGGCCCTGATCCTCCTGAGCGCCGGGGCAGTGACGGCGGAGGACGGAGGAGCAATGGAGGAGCTCACCACGGAGAAGGAGGCTGAGGAAAGTCACCGCCAGGACAGCGTTAATTTACTCACATTCATTATGCTGCTGACCTTAACCATTCTCACCATCTGGCTCTTCAAGCACAGACGGGTGCGATTTCTGCACGAGACCGGGCTGGCGATGATTTACGGTGAGATCAAATAAATAATAACAAATAAATATATATATATGTTGCACGTACATACAGCCAGTGGCGGATCTAGACAGGATTTTACTGGGGGGGGGGGGCCATGCTGGGGCCAGTTATTTTATCAGATTCAAAGACTGAAAGCTTTATTGTCATATGCACAGCTACAGTTTAGATATGGGAATGGAAATCTTAATTCCTAGGATCCTCTAACAATGCTACATAATATATATATATATATATATATATATATATATATATATATATATATATATATATATATATTATATATATATATATATATATATATATATATATATATATATATATATATATATGACATAATTTCCAAGAAAAATAATATGACTCCATAATAGTAACAACAAACTATTAAAGGAAGATGCAATAAAAAAAATACAATGAATATATATATTAAAATGAGAAAAAGAGGGGACACGTCACCAGCAAAGATAACGTTTTTGTTATTATTTTGATAATAAATTCATTCTTTTCATTCATTTTTAAATCAGAAATGGGGAAATAATTCCCACATTTTCTGATTCCAGCCTTTCCACTGACAGGATGTCCTGCTTTTTCTTTATTGATATCATTGTAAACTAAATATTTTTGGACTTTTCTGGAACAAAACAAGACATTTGAAGACCTCACGTTTGGCTTTGTAAAGATGTGATCGACATTTATTGACATTTTAATAGACTAACTGGTATTGACTGACTAGAATCAGCAGAATAATGAATAAAGAGGATAATCAATAGTGGCTGTTCTCACCCTGCGTTTTAATTGGCTGTTCAAAATCTAACAAACATCATGCATCTTATAAAAATGATGATTTCCTTAAAAACAACATAATAAGGAAAGGTAACGCAGGGTTGTCATCAGCTTCATCTATTACCTGCCATTTTATTCCTATGGTGACAACCATATGAGCACAGAATAATCCCTGTTGACTGTTTAGACTAATCCCACTCTTCGTGAGAGCTAATTATTTCCCATTTCATGACGTGTTCAGCCACCCTTAGATTTTTTGTGGCAATCATTTTTCCAAAAGAAATTGTATTTTTTATCTACTCTTCAAACACCTTAAATTAAGATTACTCCTTGATTGACTTTTAAAAATATGTATCTTAGCCAGAAGAATAGTTGTATTTATTAACTGTGTGCGGTCTTCATCTAAAAGCCCAAATAAAATATTAAAGGGTGTAAATGTAAATTCAATATTTGCCGCCAAATAATTTGCTAAACATTATGATTTGTGTGGAAACATTTCATTATTAAGATTTATTTTTTATTTTAACCTCTTTCCTTTCTCTTTCATGATGCTCCTTAGCAACGGTCATTGCAGTCCTTGACAACGGTCTGTTGTACTGGATTTACAACGTGTCACATGTTCTGAATCGACCAATCAGAATTTTATTTAGCCTCCGTATTGTTTATGGTTGAATGTGGGCAGCGAAAACTATTTTGATTCTTAAGTGGGCCCTGAGTTGAAAAAGGTTGGGAACCACTGATCTAGACTAATGGTTTGCAATAGGGCTGTGCGATTATGGCAAAAATCATAATCACGATTATTTTGGTCAATAATTGATATCACGATTATTACAAACGGTTATCCATTTACTTGGAAAACATCCATTTATTGAAAAAAATGTTTTGAACAGTATGTTTTGAACAGTTGATTACCCTGAACTTTAAGTATAATTCAACTGAAAAACCAATACAAAAAATAATAAAAAAATAAAAATAATTACATTTTTTTTCTTTTTAAATAAAAATAATAATCGTTTTATTTCGATTACGTTGTTTTCGTAATCGTTGCAAGCCAAAATCGTAATCGAGATTAATATACGATTAATTGCATAGCCCTAGTTTGCAATATAAAACAACATTATAATAGTGAAAATTGTCACTTTATATGGTATTATAAAGAGAAAAGCAGCACATCCCCACATTTAAGAGGCAGATTTCCGCATTTTAGGTAAATTATGGCATTACATATTACTTTAACCTTTAATCGATTATCAAAAAAGGAAAAATAGGGATTGTTTTTCTGTTCTTCAACAATAGGTAATGCATCCAAGCAGATATACACCTATGGTATTGGGAAATTAAAAAAAGTATTTTACCCTCCGACTACATAATCCATTTATATGAGTAGATTTTCCCGGCTAATGATTTATTTCAGTCTCATCTGTGTTTAGTGTCTCTTCAAATGTCAGTGATTAACCTGAGATTATCACATGAAGGACAAACTTTGAATTGTTTTTCTTGATTAAAAAGCAAACTGTGAAATGACAGAAAGTGACATTTATATCACAGCACATATTTACTTTTTACTCTACTATGGGAACATCATTTTTTCCCATTTTTTTTTTTTTAAGTTGGTTTAATTGCAGTTTCAACACAACTCCAGAATGATGGGATGTTTGTGTATTTTTCTGGACTGTCACCAAAAGTGCTGCCAAGTGGAACCATGTCAAATATTGATTTTCTGAATAAACAGCTGGCTCCACAGAAACTGTTTGCAGGTATTGTGGGAGTGTAATCGGGACAAATCAGAATACTTTAAGGCCAGATTTTGGTCGGACAAATCAGGCAAAACAAACAAGACTGTTTGCTTAACATTTTAAAAGGTCCTTGGGAGGTAATTTTAAAATAGGCCCTTGAACCTCAGACTATGAGTGAGCAAGACATTACTGTATACACAAGGCCTTATAATTTAAATATCTAAATTTAAGGTTATTTCCCACACATTATTAGCTGAGACTGTACGAGTGAATACATGTGAACACATATTTTTTTAATGTGTTTTTCTCCCCCTTTTCTCAGGTTTGCTAGTGGATGTGATTCTCTAGTGCTAAACGTTTCATATATGATTTATAATTGATTTTCACACCTTTCTTTAAGTTTGTTAGTGCATGAGATTCTCCAATGCTCCCATTTCCTATAATATTTATCTCCCCTTTCCCTAGGGTTTGCTGGTGGACTTGAATCTACACTTATACACATTTTATATATTGTGTTTTTATTACTTTTCTCTAGGGCTGTGCAATTATACGTATTTTAATCTCGATTACGATTTTGGCTTGCAACGATTACGAAAACAATGTAATCGAAATAAAACGATTATTATTTTTATTAAAAAAAAAAAAAAAAATTGAATTTTTTCTTTTTTGGTTTTTCTGTTGAATTATACTTAAAGTTCAGGGTAATCAACTGTTAAAAACATACTGTTCACATTTTTTTTTCAATATATGGATGTTTTCAAAGTAAATGGATAATCGTTTTTAATAATCGTGATATCAATTATTGACCAAAATAATCGTGATTATGATTTTTGCCATAATCGCACAGCCCTACTTTTCTCCGTTTCTTTTTTACCCAGGTTTGCTTGTGGAGGTTATTCTTTGGTACTGCATCCCAGCCTCAAGCAACCATTGTTCTCCCTTTGCCTCTGGTTTGCTTGTGGGTCTGATTCTACAATGCGACACAGTTTATACATTACCTTTTTAAAATCCTTTTTCTGCCTTTTGATCCTGCAGTACGACATCCCGGCCACCAGCTACCATTTTCACCCCCTTTCCCAGGTTCGCTGCTGGTCTTGAATCGACATATAACATTTTTTGAATTATTTTCCCCCAGGTTTGCTGGTGGGGGTGATCCTGCGGTACGGCATCCCGGCAACCAGCTACCACAACAAGACCCCCCCGAGCTGCTCACTGAAGGAGGGGCCGGTCAGCACCGTCCTGTTGAACATCAGCGGGAAGTTCTTTGAGTATACGCTGAAGGGAGAGATCAACTCCAGAGAGATCCACAACGTGGAGCAGAACGACATGCTGCGCAAAGTAAACACCACACTCTCGTTTTTTCATTCATGTTCTTACTTTTTCTCACATTATAGACATATACATGCATACTTTACCTACTGAATGTTGAACAGGCATGCACTTTCCCCCGTATCCTCATAAAATCCTACACCTTTAGAAACATTTAGTCAGAACTTTCTCTAAAGACCTGTGAAATGTAATGTTAAGTGTTAGGGAGTAGTGACCTACATTTAACAGTTTAACTATATTTTGCGGTAGCTTTTTGTTTAATTCTTCCCTATTTGCATAGTGATTCAGGTATTTGTGTTACTTTTTAGATTTTTGTGGCGTAGATATGACTGAAACCCCGAGCCTGATGCTTAGATTTTCTTACAAATAAAAGGATAGTCTGATGAAGAGCAGTTGTGCAGAAACACTGTAGATATGTAAATGCTTTCATTGTCTTCTCCCCATAACACAGGATGTGCTAAGTATACCTTCAACTTAACAGATGTGTCCATTTTATTATGTCTATGCTGTGTAAAAAGGTGAAAGTTGAAGACTGTTTTAGGTGTTTAGATTGTACAAATCACTCGCTAAAACACCGACGAGTACAACAACAGACGGCATTTCTATTGTTTTCAATTTAAACATAATACTTAATTTTGCATCTGTTTGAGCCAATTGTTTTGTTTTTGTAAAAAGGTCAAATAATATTGTCCCCTAGTGGTAACCTCTGTAGTCAAGGGAATATAAAAGACTGCAAATCTCACGGCGCCAGCCTTCAAGAGACACAGAAATGGGCAACCTGTGTGGAAGACATTACATTACATGACATTACATTACATGTTACTTGTTAGACGCTTTTATCCAAAGCGACTTACATACTGTGGACAATCCCCACAGGAGCAATTTGGGGTGAAGTGTCTCACCCAGGGACACAACGACATGCTGACTGCAGTGGGGTTTGAACCTGTGCTCCCTTGATCTGAACACCAACGCACTATTCCACTGCACCACACGCCTCCAGACGCAGTCAAGACAATTTTAACCGTTAAATTATATTATGTACAACATAATAGAAAGTTTCTTTATCATTTTATTTTAATTTGGCACCTTTGTTTAGATTTTTCCTACAAAAATCTACTAGTACTGTTGTATTGTATATTTATGTAATGTATTTTTTCTCAGTTGAACCTCACATTTTTTTAAATGTGCAGATAAAACATCAAATTCATTTCCTAAAATCTTTTCCAGGTGACATTCGACCCTGAAGTGTTCTTCAACATTTTGCTGCCTCCCATTATATTCCACGCTGGGTACAGTCTGAAGAAGGTGAGTGCGGCTTGTTCAAATCATTATATCTAATGCTCAATGTGTTTCAACTTGCTGTAACGTAATATAATGCATATTATGACACAACAGGCCCAAAACACTCTACTATAGCAGGTAGGGATGCCAGAAACTGACCATGATCAAATTCGAAAATTGGACAGCCCTGGCAAATATTAATCGATTATACCACCCCCCCCCCCCCCCCCCACGGGAGGGAAAAATAAAAAGTTTCCACGAGGAACTCTTCTTTGAACGAGCCGCTTTGTTCCTCTTTAGTTGTGTTGCACGTGTGACGGAGAGGGGGGGGGGGGTCGGTGTCGGTGTCGGTGTGTAGCAGCCTGCGCTGCTGGCTTCCTCCAAGTTTACAGTAAAACAAACTGGTGGTGTGACCAATGGCCATTTACAATTATTAATACTATTACTATTATTAGCATTAGTCTATATTTTGGTTGAAACTAAGCCAGGAAAAAAAAGTAAAACATAAATAATAATAAAAATATATATAAATAAAATCGAATTTTAAAAATATTTTTCGATTTTCGAATAATCGCTGGCATCCCTAATAGCAGGACACGCACACTTTGACACACTATCTGTTGTTGTTTTGAGGCTGTTGTCTCTTTGTAGTCATTTTGTGTCTCCTCGTAGCTTTGCAGTGATTTGAAGTCTCGTTGTGCAGTTTTTATAGACTTTTTGACTAGCTTTGTAGTCATTGAATGTCTTTTTGTTTCAAGTTTGTAGATATTGTTGTGTCTTTGAGGTCATTTTGTGTCTCATTGCTGTATTTTTAGGCTTTTTGTAGCACAGTTTCCTCCTATTTAAATTACAAGGCCATGTTTTGTCTTTTTGTAGTCGTTGTGTGTCTCTTTGCAGTTTTTGTGTCTCTTTCTGTCTCTTTCTGTCACATTGAGTCTCTTCCTGTTTGGGAAATGCCTCCTTCAGTGATATTTAGTAAGATAAATCCAGAGGGCCCTTCAGCTTGTGGCCCTATCATTACTTGCCCTGTAGTCAGGTGGATATCTGATTCTGCTGCCACTTCCTGCTGCCTCTCACACACTGAGTGTCTCTGAGGGGAACTCCACTGCAGATGTCTTTCGTTTCCTCTCTGGCTTTTACAACAACAAAAAAACGTCTGACAGTGAAAATATGAGCCGGTTCTGCTTCCCATTGTTGAGCAACAGTAGTGTGGTGTTTAGAGACGGATCATCATTAATCCATCACCATGTTTACAGTATTCAACTGCAGCAGCTGGTGCAGTTCATGCATGAGGAGTTTTCTGACTAAATATCAGACAATTATTTATAAGCCCATTCCTCCTATACTGCAATATATGTTTTAAACAGCATTAAAAAAACACATTTCTTTAAGTGTTCTTCTTGCACCCCCCGTTACAATGGGCATGCTTCACAGGCTTTTTTTTATAAAAATGTATTGTTTAGCATTTTTGCCCAAATGTAATAGTGTGGAAATTGGGTGGGAGAGACAATTTAAATTCAATGGCATGCGCTTTTAAATGACCTTTCATGCCTTTTTCTTAAGTTTATTTTTGTATTATTTAATATCTTAAATTTCTGGCTTTCTGATTCATTTGGCCTTTTTATTCTTTTTTATTATATTTACCTGAGGATGCCAAGCTGTACAGAGTTTCTAAATAATGATACTGCTATAAAATGTCAGTTTTTCCTTTTTACAAAAGTGATAAAAATGAAGTTTTATGGATTGTCTTTCTCCTAAAATTGCAACTAAAAATCTTCGAAATAATTGGCAACATATATTTGTTTTAAGTATGTTACTGAACGCCTCTTGCATGAACTAACAACCAACAACACTCATATTGCTATGTAGCAAAGGCATAAGAACACATTACATTACATGTCACTTGTTAGACACTTTTATCCAAAGCGACTTACATACTCAATACTGTGGGCAATCCCCACTGGAGCAATTTGGGTTTCAATTTTTTCTTTTAAATGTACCCTATTGCACAGCTGGTTTTAAATAACCGTCAGAGTGATGTCAAAACATTCTTAAAGTAAAGTGAGAACTCCGTTTTTTGTTTTTCCGGTGAAATTGTGATTAAAGCTGGAATTTGCTGAGTCGGATCCTAAGGAACAGGAAGCAGGAGGTCATGTTGGGAGGGATTTTAAATGGTGTGTGTGTGTGTGTGTGTGTGTGTGTGTGTGTGTGTGTGTGTGTGTGTGTGTGTGTGTGTGTGTGTGTGTGTGTGTGTGTGTGTGTGTGTGTGTGTGTGTGTGTGTGTGTGTGTGTGTGTGTGTGTGTGTGTGTGTGTGTGTGTGTGTGTGTGTGTGTGTGTGTGTGTGTGTGTGTGTGTGTGTGTGTGTGTGTGTGTGTGTGTGTGTGTGTGTGTGTGTGTGTGTGTGTGTGTGTGTGTGTGTGTGTGTGTGTGTGTGTGTGTGTGTGTGTGTGTGTGTCAGGGGAGCACAGGTTCAAACCCCACTGCAGTCAGCATGTCGTTGTGTCCCTGGGCAAGACACTTCACCCCAAGTTGCTCCCGTGGGGATTGCCCACAGTACTGAGTATGTAAGTCGCTTTGGATAAAAGCGTCTAACATGTAATGAAACGCCAGGCTTTCCAGGACAAGTATATCAAATACCAACCACTGCTCCATGTCATAACCAGCTTTGGGTACAAGTGTAGATATAGCATACTCATATTCGGAAGTCTTGGCCATGTATATAAATACACCATGATTGGTCTGAGAATTGCTGGAATGTCAAAAAGAAAAGCCAAACAAATTGCCAAATATTGCTCTGTTTCAGCTATTATTGGCAGCTTAGCCGTGTGGAGAAGGAGATGCTATGTGTTCCCTTAAGGCTGCTGCTTAGCCGTGTGGAGAAGGAGATGCTATGTGTTCCCTTAAGGCTGCTGCTTAGCCGTGTGGAGAGGGAGATGCTATGTGTTCCCCTAAGTGTTCTGTGCTGCTTAGCCCCGATATATTTGATTCCCTGTCTTATGTAATATAATTTGTGGAACCAAATAAAGTATTCAAATGTGTGTCAGTCAGGGGAGCACAGGTTCAAACCCCACTGCAGTCAGCATGTCGTTGTGTCCCTGAGACACTTCACCCCAAGTTGCTCCCGTGGGGATTGCCCACAGTACTGAGTATGTAAGTCGCTTTGGATAAAAGCGTCTAACATGTAATGAAACACAGTATAGTAATTAATAAATCCTGAACACAACGTGCTGCACACTTCTTCTTTCTCTTTGATAAATTAAGTTCTATTTGACATAAATCACTCCTCAGTCACTGAACCCAAGGCACTTTTCATCGGAGTCAGTGTTTTTGTTTCTTAGATCATATAGAAGGAAGGAGTAATGTGGAGACTCAGATCAGCAGAATCAGTGTTTGTAGTTCGACAGGATGTTCCTCCCAAACATGCCGCTGCTACTGACCTTATACCTCTATGGAGAGTGTTTATAGACTTTGGTTTGTTAAAGGAGAGTTAAATAAGTTCAGCTTGGTAGCTTTGTCATGCTGACTTTCTGCAGTGAAGTTTGTACACTTACTTTCTTTAAAAAATATATATTTGTATGTACATTTTGCAGTGTTTACAGAGCATTTCCAACAACAATCTTTCAAAATGCCTTAAGAAAATACACAAAACAATCAAAAACAGACGCAAAATGAATACAAGAAGCTACAAAATGACCACACGGAGTCATAGATATTGACGGAAGCAGGCATAGTTAGTAAAAAGGGACCAAAAAAAACTACAAAGACACACAAAATGACTGCAAATAGATGCATATGTCTACCAAGAGATGAAAAAAGTCTACAAGGAGACGCGCTATGACCATAAGGACAATCTAAACTCCTATAAAGTCTATGTTTCTTGCTGTAGGAGAGGTCTTATTGTCTCATATGTTCCCACAGCAGCAGTTTGTCTTATCGTCCTTTTCTCTTCGCAGAGACACTTCTTCAGGAACATGGGCTCCATCATCACCTACGCCTTTCTGGGCACGGCCATCTCATGCTTCGTCATCGGGTGAGTGGAAAATAACTAAGTAGATTGTACTTAAATGTCCATTTAATGCTTCTTTATACTTCTAAATAATGTATTTTAAACCACTGCATTTATTTCAAAGCTTTAGTTTCTCTCCAGATGAAGATTTAGCATTAACACAACATGTGATCAACCTTTAACATGATGCATCCTCAGGTGTTGCTATGCAAAAGGTTAAGACAAAAAAAAGTGCTCAACATGAATGCTTAATATATCATGTGTCCACAAACGCAGTACAATGATACTACTACTACTTCAAGTACATTTTTTTTGATAATGTACTTTTCCTTAAGTGAGATTTTGAAGTTAGGACCTACTGTATATTTGTAATGGAGTGATTTGACATGAATGTATTAGTACTTTTACTCTTAAGAAATGGATCTGGATACTCCTTCCACCTCACGTTTTTATTCTCCTCTTATTCGCTCGTGTGTCTGCAGGAATCTGATGTACGGCGTGGTGAAACTGATGCAGGTTTTGGGACAGCTGACGGACAAGTTTTACTACACAGACTGCCTCTTCTTTGGTGCCATTATGTCCGCCACAGACCCAGGTACACACACACAGACAGACAGACAGACAGACATCCTAGTAATCCACCATTTTTAGAAATGAAACAGTGATCTGATTACGCCTTTTTTTTATTAAACTGATTGAATAATCCAGTTACATGTAATCCATTTCTGCCCAAGCATCTGGAAAGTATTCATACCCTTTACTTTTTTCACATTTTGTTATGTTACAGCCTTATTTCAAAATGGATTAAATTCCTTTTTTCCCTCAACATGCCACACACAGTGCCCCATAATGACAAAGTGAAAACTGTAAGGTTATGTGTGTGTGTGTTTGTGTGTGTGTGTGTGTGCGCGCAGTGACGGTGTTGGCCATCTTCAACGATCTGCACGCTGACGGGGATCTCTACGCTCTGCTGTTTGGAGAGAGCGTGATGAACGACGCTGTGGCCATCGTGCTCTCCTCGTACGTTGATGATTTATGATTTATTATCAAACTCTGCGCCAAATAAAGTCTCCCTCTCTGCACTGAGATCATTTTGACTCCTGCTGATGAAATTCCACAGTGAGGTGTGAGACAGGTCTGTGTCTGCTGAAACACACACTCTGCCTCCCTCTACTGGCAGAATTACTATTAATCCACCAAATTCTGTGTTATTCCTATTTGTAGTATAGCGTACACTACTGCATTGTCAGTGAAAGGGAAACAAAACCATTCACATTTGATCAAACTAACATAAAATACTTTATATATTTTGGCGTCATTGGAATCCATATAGGAGAGTCCCTCTAAATAAATATATTAATTGAAATTAAATAAGTGTCTTCTTATCTCATAGTCTATTTTATCCACATTTGTAGTTTCCAAATTGTCTACTCACACTTATACATATTTGTATTATAGCGGACACCATTGCTTTATCAGGGAAAAATACTTTTCACATTTCACAAACAAAACAATTATAATTTAAAAATCATTGCATCTTGTGAATCCACATACAGAGGTGTCACAAAAAAACAATACAATTATATAAAAAAAAAATATATATATATATATAATATATATTTGTGCAATAACTAACAGTTAATATCTAAATAAATAATTAAAACAATAATATAAATATTATTTTTTATAATCGTAATAATAATGATATATATATATATTATTACGATTATTATTAATTAATTAATTTTTAAACCGAAAAATAATATGCATCAGGTAGAAGAGATTGCTTCTATAATATGATAAAATTAGTGGTATATTAATGTTCAAAAAGACAAGTATGTCGGTATGAACCTGTCTAAGGAGGTGAATCCATTCAAACAAACAATGGAACATCTTTTAAAAAAACACTGAAAATATCAGGTGGGTTTTTTTAATCCCTGTTTTCTCTTCTGTGTCTCCAGCTCCATCGTGGCGTACCAGCCCAGCGGAGCGAACACTCACATGTTCGACGCCGCCGCCTTCTTCAAGTCCGTCGGGGTCTTCATCGGGATCTTCAGCGGCTCCTTCGTGATGGGAGCCGCCACCGGAGTCGTCACCGCTCTCATATCCTCACACTCAAGTCTCAGAATGATGCAAGTTTTTTTAGAAAATGTTTGTTTATATATATATTTTAAAACCAGACTGTGCTGTTGTGTCTTTAACGTCACTCTCACGTCACCAAGTTCACGAAGCTGCACTGCTTCCCGCTGCTGGAGACGGCACTCTTCTTCCTCATGTCCTGGAGCACCTTCCTGCTGGCCGAGGCCTGCGGGTTCACAGGTGAGCTGAAGGGCAAATAACAAAAAGGTAGTAGGCTTAAAACAGCCGTGGTGAAGAAGTCTGCAAATTCAGAAGTCATGTCAGAATTTAATTTATCAACAATTGTTGTCGCTGAGGTCATGGTAGATGTTAAAATGCTGTATTTTAGCTATGTGGTTGCACAAAACCAATTTATATAAATCCAGATAAAGTTTACCGTACTTATTATTTTGTACCTTAATAGTATTTATTACTTCAGCTGAATATACATAGTATTTTTGAGTAGATTTCACTCTTATTTTATGATTAATGGTTATTTTTTGGTTTCATTTCTTCATAGCTTTATTTAACTGAACATTATTAGCCACTATAAGTATTTTAAATGTCAGTATATTCAAATATATCAAACGTTGTGTGTTCAAAAAACTCTTACTTCATTATCTCTAATAAAATCATCCATCCAAAATAAAAAGTACCACTAAAACAAGATAAACAAGATGTGCCAATTATCAGGGTTCTTACGGTCATTACAAATCTGGAAAAGTCATGGAAATACAAAATGCTAATTCCAGGCCCTGGAAAAGTTATGGAAAACAATATTTTTCCCAAAGTTTTGGAAAAGTCATGGAAATGTAACTAAAGTTGCATCAAATATAATTTATATTTTATCTAATCGCCGAAATAGTAATACTATAATGATAATACATACTGTATAGTAATGAAACATAAAATGGCATTTAACTGACGAGGTATTTTGCTGGTGAGAGAGTTGAGTTGCTTTAGCGTGTAGAAGCTAGTAAGCCTATTTGATTTGTTTTAGATAGGCACAACATGTTTCATATACAGACCTGATTTTCATGTTCAATGTTAAAATAAACCATTTTCAGTGGTACCGCTGAGAAAGAGTCATTTTTTTGGTCATGGAAAATTAGGTAAAGATCATGGAGAAGTCATTGAAAGTCATTGGTGAAAAAGTGTATGAACCCTGAATTATAACAACACAAACAAACCCATTTAAAAACCACCTGATGGTGTTTAAATCTTTTACATGTATTGTATCTTTAGCAAGTCTGCCTTAATTACAAGTTTGAAATGCAGTGAAGGACATTTACCCAAGTACTGTAGTTAAGTACAATTTTGAGGTACTTGTACTTAACCTGAGTATTGATTGTGTGTGTTTTCCTGCAGGTGTGGTGGCCGTACTGTTCTGCGGCATCACTCAGGCTCACTACACCTACAACAACCTGTCTGCAGAGTCCACTCAGCGCACCAAGCAGGTAACAATGACCACTTCCTGTTCCTTCATTCTGTTTCTGTTTACAGTCTCACCCCCCCGAAATGCGACCTGTAGTCGAAGGTTTTAGCGCGGCTCGCCATGGCTCGGTTCACCTTTGTTCGGTTCGGCTCACTTTAAGCTGCGTTTCCATTACAGTTAGTAACGAGGGTAGTAACGAGGGTAGTAACTATAGTAACGACGCAGTGTAGGCGGGGCGATCGGCTGGGTTGTCGAACATACATTTAAGGATAAAATAGGCTTGTTTGTTAGAAGTGAGCTTTACAATAGATAGGGACACAATGCTTTCAAGCAAAGAACAGAGCGTTAGCAAAAACGTACCATCCTGCATGGACTCCAGCCGTTACAGTTCTTATTCTGGCAGCTGTGGCTCAGTGGAGCTGGACTTCGAATCAGGGGGTAGCAAGTTCGAGTCCCACTGCAGACAGCATGTCGTTGTGTCCCTGGGCAAGACACTTCACCCCAAATTGCTCCTGTGGGGATTGCCCACAGTACTGAATGTATGTAAGTCGCTTTGGATAAAAGCGTCTAACAAATGACATGTAATGAATTCTTTGGATAAAAGCGTCTAACAAATGACATGTAATGTAATGTCTTCCGCCGTCAAGCTCTCACTGTATTTTTTCATCTGCAACGAGATGGAGGATGTCTGTACCTCGTCCAACGACCACGGCATGCTTTTTTTTACTGCCATTTGTTTATGGATTTGTTGAAATTAAAAATACTTTGTTGAAATTAGAAATACTTGCTGACGGTAGCTTGTCTGTTTTAAAAATTGTGCTTATGCAATGCTTGGGGACTGTCTCGCGCACGAATTGTGACGATTCTCTCTGACCAATCAGCGGTCGGCAGTGTTTTACGTCACTAGCTAAGCATATTTTCAGCTCACTTGGAACCTCGACTGAGGTGGTTCTAAAAAAAGTACCAGTGAGGCGGTACTACCCTGGTGGAAAAGCAAAAAGAGCGAGCCGAGCCGAGCCTTGCTAAAACCCTGTAGTGGAAATGCGCCGGGGCCAGATGGTGAGCTTAATCTGGGTCGATTGAGGACACAGGGGGGGGGTCATTCAGTCTGTTGTCTCCAGATTAAACACACAGACAACACACAGCGGGAACCTTTAAATATCTGTGATACAAGTATTCAAGCTCCTATTTCAAAGAAAGACACACATTGCTAAAAAGACAGGAAGACAGGAGGAGGGTTTCTGCAGGTGCTGGAAATCCTTAAAACACTTCAAAGGTTTCCAGCACCTGTAAGAATTGGAATGCAGTGTTTCCAAAGTTTGAAAAGTGCTTTGATTGGAAAAAAGTGCTTGAAAATGCTTGACATTGTACTGCTGTCTACTTACAAACATGCAACACATTTTAAAGCTGGTTGTATTTTACCTTACTTGTGATTTGATGTTAAGATGATGTGAATTAATCAGTATACTGCAAAAAATGTAAAGGCCATGGAAAGCGCTTGACTTTGAAAGAAGTGTATGAAAAATAAGGAAAGAAAGAGACTTGAATTGAAATGTTTTTGTTTGTTACAGAGGATTCAAGTCTTCTTACAAACATGGGACACATTTGTTTTAACTTAGATTTGTGTTTACTTTGTCACCCTTCTGTATATTTGCCATCATTTTGGTTATCAGTAGCATGATAAATGCACCTTAAGAGGGCTTGAATTTGAAAATACAAATCGGATATACATTTTGTGCATAACACTTTAAAATACAGACAAGCAAATTGAGATTTGAAAAAAGTCAATCAAAGTCAATCTGTAAAAAGTACAATGGCCATGTTCGAGTGCATTTCAGTGCAGTGCATTGTGGGAAACGTTCTGCAAAAAACTCCTCTTGCTAGACCTGAAAATTAAAACTTTTGCTGTGGATTTTTCACTGTATTCTCTCTGCAGTAATATATAAATCTATTTCCTGTGCAGCTGTTCGAGGTGCTTCACTTCCTGGCGGAGAACTTCATCTTCTCCTACATGGGCCTGGCTCTGTTCACCTTCCAGAACCACATCTTCAGCCCCATCTTCATCATCGGGGCTTTCGTATCCTTCTGAACAAACGTGCACTTATAAATAATAATAATAATAATAATAATAGCTTGGATTTATATAGCGCCTTTCATGAGACCCAAGGTGGCTTTACAAAGAAGAACAGGAGTAGGAACAAACATAACAAAGCAAAAGGCAGTCAGACAACCAGTCAGACAGACAAAACAACAAATAGATTAGGGGCCAAAGGCCTTAGCAAACAGATGGGACTTGAGGGCCCTTTTGAAGGCGTCAAGCGTGGGGATGTCCAGAGGGTGGGGGCTGCCACACTGAAGGCTCTGTCCCCGAAGGTTCGCAGGTTGGTGCGGGGGGGTGGTTAGCAGGCCAGAGTCTGAAGACCGCAGGTTCCGGAGTGGGGCATGTGGGCGGAGGAGGTCCAATAAGTACTAGGGGGCATGGGCATGGAGGGACTTGTAGGTGAGGAGGAGGACTTTGTAGGATATGCGGGACTTGACCGGCAGCCAGTGGAGGTGGATGAGGGTGGGAGTGATGTGCTGCCACGGCTTTGTATGTGCGAGTACCCTAGCAGCACAGTTTTGAACATACTGGAGCCTGACCAGGGTTTTGTTGGGGACCCCAAACAGGACCCCAAACAGGACCCCAAACAGGACCCCAAACAGGACACCATTGCAGTAGTCCAAGCGGGAGGTGACAAAAGCATGGACTAGGGTTTCTGCAACCGACTCCGAGAGTGACGGTCGGAGTCTGGCAATGTTCCTTAGATGGAAAAAGGCCGATTTGGTAACAGACTTGACGTGGGAGTGAAAGGAAAGGGTGGAGTCAAGGATGACACCCAGGTTGCGGGCTTCAGGAGATGGGGAGATGGAGCAGCCAACTTAAATCTACTTCCATTCGTAGAGTTAAGATATTCCCTCCCCTGCAGGAGTGGCTAGTGATGCTGGGATGATGGTTTGCGCCGTCTTAAAATGTTCCTGCTTTACAAACAAGTTATCTTCCATGTTTTACTTTAAATTCATATTAATAATAATGATGTCATTTATACACCACCTTTCATACAAGGGGGTATATTTGTATAGTAAGGGCTTTACAATAAAGTTAATGTAAAAAAGGTACAGATACAAAGCATAAGAGTCCAACTTAATTATAAACATATATTCACTCCACCATCAAAAATATACAGTATAATACAGACACCACTAAATATAAACCGATATTGACATTTTAAATAATATGAGGTCACTCATCAAATTCAGTTAGACACTGGGTATCCAGGCGGGGGGAGTTGGTATATGTGCGGGTCGGGGATAAATGACAGTTTCTTAAATGCGATTGAAAGATAAGGAGCACAAGTAAAACCTTTTGTAAATGATCACCCCAGCTCCCTGAATCTTTGCCGTTTTGAATCCTGAACACCACCGTCAGATTTCCATCTTCATCGGCCGAGCGTTCAACATCTACCCGCTGTCCTTCTTCCTGAACCTGGGCAGGAGGCACAAGATCAAAGGGAACTTTCAGCACATGATGATGTTCGCAGGTTAGATTATATTATGACGTCCCTCCTATAATCTACTGATATTATGCAGCTCTAATATTCAGTTAGTCTGTCTCATAACTCTAAGTGTTTGTCAGTATATTTGAAATGACTAGGTTAGCTACGTTAGCTAGCTAGCTTACAGCAGATCTGCAGTAATATCAGAAGGAGTCATGTGATCACATTGTTAAAATAAGCCCATAAAACATTTTAGGTAAGTTTCCAACAACAGAGACAGTTGTCCAATTTTATAATCCTGAACTTCACCAAGCGCTCCGATCCCAGCTGTGTGCGTCACTTTTTAGTGTCCCCTGGTTTCAGTTGTGTTTTGTTTATGCAGCGCTTTTTGATGAAATGCTGCTTATTGTAGTAAAAATAAATATGTGGGATGCAAACAGATGAATGCTTCACTTGCAGATATTTATTAATTTGCAGATGTTTTGGCACATTTTGTGTGTTTTTTTTTTATAGTATTTGCATCGTTTCTGAACTTGAACCATGTCGGCCACCATCCTCTAATATGATTGGCTGATACATGTTTTTTTTTTTAACATGACGTTCTGCAGGTCTGCGTGGAGCGATGGCGTTCGCGTTGGCGATCCGCGACACAGCGACGTATGCCCGGCAGATGATGTTCACCACCACGCTGCTCGTCGTCTTCTTCACCGTCTGGGTGTTCGGGGGGGGCACCACGCCCATGCTGTCCGTCCTGCACATCAGGTGAGACATATTGTTTTTGTACATCTGCATCTCCTTTGCATTTGGATAAACATCTTTACAATTAAACTTTTTCCAGCTATGAAAATGAGCCTGGAATCTCAAAATAAACCCAGAGTGTTGCCTCTCTAGGAGATCTGAGAGATGGTTATAAACAAGTGAAAGCTGATCAAGGGATATTTAGGTTTTTTTTTATTTGCTAGGGACTAAACACTTAAAACAGTGCAGAACACACAACATTGAAAACTGTGATACAACAACTCATGGAGAGAGATACAGTAATGGAAAAAAGATTGAATAAACGCAGATATACACAGCAAAGTATAAATAACTGTAGACTGAAAAATTATACTTCTTATAAAATAATGTTCTTAATAATAAATAAAGATGAAAAAAAGTATAAAAAATACGAAATATATCACTTAATTTTATTCTGTTACAGTTGCAGTATTATTTTATCATAAAATATTAAAATAAAATGTGCACATTGTACTGGTGTTTGTGTCCAGGAGATGGAGCCAGAGATCTGCTTTAAACCACAGCGCTTAGTTTCATCTTTTAGGAAATATCTGCATTTAATACAAGGTGTGTGTGTGTGTGTGTGTGTGTGTGTGTGTGTGTGTGTGTGTGTGTGTGTGTGTGTGTGTGTGTGTGTGTGTGTGTGTGTGTGTGTGTGTGTGTGTGTGTGTGTGTGTGTGTGTGTGTGTGTGTGTGTGTGTGTGTGTGTGTGTGTGTGTGTGTGTGTGTGTGTGTGTGTGTGTGTGTGTGTGTGTGTGTGGTGTGTGTGTGTGTGTGTGTGTGTGTGTGTGTGTGTGTGTGTGTGTGTGTGTGTGTGTGTGTGTGTGTGGTGTGTGTGTGTGTGTGTGTGTGTGTGTGTGTGTGTGTGTGTGTGTGTGTGTGTGTGTGTGTGTGTGTGTGTGTGTGGTGTGTGTGTGTGTGTGTGTGTGTGTGGTGTGTGTGTGTGTGTGTGTGTGTGTGTGGGGTGTGTGTGTGTGTGTGTGTGTGTGTGTGTGTGTGTGTGTGTGTGTGTGTGTGTGTGTGTGTGTGTGTGTGTGTGTGTGTGTGTGTGTGTGTGTGTGTGTGTGTGTGTGTGTGTGTGTGTGTCATGGTAACGGGGACATGTGGTGCGTGGCAGGCGGTGAATGGGCGCTCGTCTGTATACATTTACATATTTGTACACTTTTATGGGAGCCCTGAAACATAGTGGAACATCAGGTTACATCAATCTTAGGTTATACAATTACAAATATGTTAATTGTATTAAATATAATTAATATAAATATAAAGAAAGTGGGACTGAGAGCTTTGCCTTTGGGCTCAGCTCTCTTTTCATCACTTCTTTGTTCCTACCCTCATGATGATGGATGGATTAAAAAAAACTGCTGACGTTAAATCGACGGGACTTCTTTCTGTGGATTGATATGACTGCACATAGTCCCTTGATCAGAGCATCCTCCTTGGCAACGGTCTGCTCTCCTTAGCAACAGTCTGCTAGCAAAACAATCTCAGACCTCCAGAATGTCCAGATTGACCAATCAGAAAAGAGTATTCAACTGAAAGAAAATGACAGTTTGCTGATAACAGCAGACGAGCGGTCATAAACAATTAGAGATTAAACCAGAGAAGCTGTTTTTGACTTCTCAGTTTAGAAAGCCGTTTAATCGCCATTTGGGTTTTTGTATTATTATATTTGTTTGCCTGTACATCTCCTCTGTGCCAAGTCTGAGGATTAGTGCATGTCCCATATTCAGATCATATTTGTCCAACTGTGTTTCAAATTACTGGACAACCATGTGATCATTAGGCAAAGGATCTGAATACTAGATTTTATATTTAATCTTGAATGTGCACGATGCTGAGTGTTTATGATGTGGCAGAGTTTGTGACAGTGAAGCTTTGCAGGAAGAGCGGCGGCAGGTGTCGTATCTGAATCTGTACGAACTCTGTACAGTAACTATACCTGTTGCTGGGAAACGGTTTCACCTCTTCTATCTAAACTTCTGTTTTTCTGAAGAAGGGGAACTGTGTGGCTTTGGTTTAAAGGTCAACAGAGAGGGTTGAGAAATGTAGATTCTTCACAATTTAGCTTCATGGCATGTTGTCTTTCAGAGTAGTGGAAAGAAAACCTTAAGCAAATCCATATTTTGGAGTTTATTTTATTGTCTGTTTGTGTCAGTAGAGTTCTCCTAAATTTGCCAAAAGTTACCATTACATAATGCCTCATTTGCATATTTAAACATAACATATTAAGAACTTGAAAAAAATTATCGTCTGAATAATGAACTGGGGAAGTCTAATGCTGATATCTACTAGTTACATTATTTACCCTATTCTCCCGTAGTGCTTCCAAAATGTAAGAATTGTATGACACTTATACTTTAACGGTCGGTTTATCCAAAAGACATGTATCTCCTCCTCTCTCAGCAGAAAGGCTTTTTGCACACATCATTCACAGCCTCATTTATACACTTTTCTTACCCAAATCATGCAGAAAATGCTTTTTTTATGGCAGTATTTTCTAATTGATGGCATGTTACAAGGAGATATCCCTCTGTATACACCATTTAGATTTAGTCTAATATGTCAACAAGTAAAACAAAAAGATTGAACCTGGCTTTATGCAATGTTCATGTTCTGGAAAAGTATGCAAACGAGCACACGTGTATTAACATAATGCATAATTTGCATATTTAAACATAATATGTGAGAAAACTTGTAATAGAAAAAGTAATTGTCTTAAAGTCAGTAATGAACTTGGGAAGTTTCACAGATATCTGTTAGATAAAAATGCAACCACATTCACCTGTAGTGTCTCCATCAAATATTTTACCAACTACTTAATGTGTTACGTATGTGTGGACCAGCTTCTCACACAGCGGTGCAAAGAACAAATCACACACACTGTTCCAGAGTGTCAGAGAAGCAGCTGTGTGTGTGTGTGTGTGTGTGTGTGTGTGTGTGTGTGTGTGTGTGTGTGTGTGTGTGTGTGTGTGTGTGTGTGTGTGTGTGTGTGTGTGTGTGTGTGTGTGTGTGTGTGTGTGTGTGTGTGTGTGTGTGTGTGTGTGTGTGTGGTGTGTGTGTGTGTGTGTGTGTGTGTGTGTGTGTGTGTGTGTGTGTGTGTGTGTGTGTGTGTGTGTGTGTGTGTGTGTGTGTGTGTGTGTGTGTGTGTGTGTGTGTGTGTGTGTGTGTGTGTGTGTGTGTGTGTGTGTGTGTGTGTGTGTGTGTGTGTGTGTGTGTGTGTGTGTGTGTGTGTGTGTGTGTGTGTGTGTGTGTGTGTGTGTGTGTGTGTGTGTGTGCAGTTCATTTAAAAAAAACTCTGAGCAATGACATTCAACTCATCTTAGTTCTAGCATCATAGTTTTATACAGTTTGTCCAATGCTCATGGACACACTCACACACAACCCAGTAAATGATATGTTAACGTCCATGGAGCACCTGAATGCACCATGGGCCTTGTTGTGGAGCACCTGAATGCACCATGGGCCTTGTTGTGGAGCACCTGAATGCACCATGGGCCTTGTTGTCCTCTGCCTCTCTGGTTTGAGATGTGTTCATGAGAGGATCTGCAGGATTACACTCTGCTTGGAATTAAAATCTGCTGGTGTGGGCTCTAATCCCTCTGTTAGTAACAGACACAGGGGGGGGGGGGGGGTTATCCAGCTATGAAGGCTGAACATATGTGCTGCAGTAATTTAAAGTTAAGTTGATGAAGCTACAGTCAGCAGCAGCAGCTGGTTAGCTTAGCCAGGGCCGTCCCTCCCTACAGGAAGATCACGCAGACTGCGTGGGGCCTCACCTTGCGGAGGGGGCCTCATCTTGCGGAGGGGGCCTCATCTTGCGGAGGGAGCCTCAACTGAGTCGCAAATGCGGCGCAATTAGTGTGGCGCGGCACAGTGTCGCCACTGCGAGGCTCCACTAGCACCCCCGCCCCCCCCGTCGACGGTCGCGAAACAGAGGGCCTCATCATCTAACTTTGCGTGGGGCCTCAAATTAGCACAAAGAAGAAGAAGCTAATGTGTGAGTTCTGGGCTAGCTTTAGATTCATATGCTAATACCGATATCTCCTCTAGCTGGAAAGCTTGTAAGACTTTTACTAAATATTTGTATTACTTAATTGATTTATTATAATTGTATTTATTATGCTTTTTTCATTCATATTTAGTTTGACTTAGGTTATAAAAAATGTGGTTTGGTCCCAAAACCCCCTTTTTTATTATTATTTCTACTTCAAACTACTTTTTATTATCACTACATTTACTTCTGATTATGTGTAAATGTTTAATATTCCAATTAGTTTTATTTTTTATTTGGTTGCTGTATTTTAGAAGAAAAGCCAGTCCGTCTGCATCAATAGTCATCTAATAAATAGTATATATAAAGACATTTTTCATGCACATAATGTACAAAATCCTACACTTTCAGTTTTTATTTGTTAATATATAAAACATTTGCACTATTTCTATCGTAACGACCTTGCAGAACACTTGTATATAGACTTATTGAAATCTTACTGTTGCTCATTTGTGCTTGTTATATATATATATATTATATTATATTATATTCCTGCAACAGTCTGTTACATACTTGCACACATAATGGTATATTCTTTATTAACATTATTTGTGCAGCTTTGTTGTCCTTGTTTTTAGCTCTTTTCTGTTTGAGGACACAAAAACTATTCCTGGGATGTCTTCACAGATTTGAAGTCTAATTTGATTTATGTGACAATTATAAAAACGCAGCTTGTTTTTCATGCGTCACACTTAACCATTTCTATCACATGACAGTTGTTTTAGTTCTTGCATGATGAACAGTGTCTCTGTTTGGTGATTTTACCGCATTTATAAGGATGTGGTTTTCTCTTTAGGGTCACGAGCCAAAAAGTTATTTAATATAACTAATTCCTCCTACGTCTGCTCTACACAAACCGTGTAATGAGCTTTATCTTATCACTGTTGTTCTGTGTAATGTTGTCTCACGGCAATTTTCAGCATTTGTCACCCTTTTTAAAGGTCAACGCCATCGGCCCTTTTACATGTTTTATGTGTGGGCTTTCTAAAAACCTACTGGCGCAATAACAAATCATGCCATTTGTCCACAAGCCACAGAAACATACACGGTTGTTACTGTGTTACAAACGATAAAGAGGTTTCAAACAAACAGAGGTAGATCCTTTGCTTAAGTTGAGTAAAAAATACTCCATTACAAGTAAGAAATCCTGAATTTAAAATGTTATAAGTAGAAGAACAGATGTATTATCAGGTCAATGCACTAAAAAACTTTAAGGTCCCATGACATGGCCATTTCTACTGATCATAATTCCATTGTTGAGGTATACTAGAATAGATTTATATTGTTCAATTTTCCAAACTCACATTGGTTTCTCATACAGCATCTCTGTATAGTATGTGTATTCACTCTCTGTCCTACACGGCTTGTTGGAGCTCCTGCCCCCCCCCCTATGAGCCCACTGTGCTCTGATTGGTCAGCTCGCCCACTCTGTTCTGATGAGTCCACCACCGTTACAGCGGAACATCAGTGATTATGTGTTACAATGGCGTTAGCAACCAGAAAATGACAAACAGATGAGAATGCTGCGTGGGGTCTGGGTGCCGTGTTGGCGGGACGTTGCGCGGCTCGCTGCTGCGAGGAGCGGACAGTGTGAGCTGGGTTCATTTCCTGCTTGCTGCGTGGGGTTTGCGAGACAGCGAGACATCGCGAATGGACGCGGGAAGGGGGGGGGGTGCAGCACCCCCATCTGCGAGGCTCCACTAGCACCCCCCCCCCCTAGAGCGTCACAGTTTTGCCGCTGAGAGAGTGTGTTTGTGTGTGAGGAGCTCCACGGCAATGGGTCCATTTGGGTATGGTCACGTCACTGTACCCAGGAAGAAAAAGAGAAATCTCCAACGAGGCGTTTTGGGGCAGCATAGACAGGTCTTTTCTGTGTTAGAGTTTTACTCGCTACAGGGTGTACTTTAAGGGTTTGTGACTCTGCAGACCGTTTACATGCATAAAAAGCTACATAACACACAAGGGGACGGGTAATAACCGGAAAAGCATGACATGGGACCTTTAAAGGTTAATGTTTTCACGGTACTATTTCATCATAGAATATTACATTATTCTGTCTTTATCACTAACACATACATGTAAGAGCATTTTGATATTGTGGTGTGCCAGTGTGGAGGTAATATTAGCACATGTGTTTTTTATATGTGCAAAGAAAATGTAGTGAAGGTAAAAGTGTTATATTTGCTAGGGCTGCACTATTAATCAAAAATGATATCTTAGTAAGGGCTAGTGCAATATTGAAATTGCAGTGATTGTGGAGCTGCAGACAAGAAATGGTTACAGACTTAATAGAAAAAACAGTTTGTTACAGATCCTCTCAAAACATCTACATTTTGCAATTGCCTTTAAAGTAAAAGTACTTAATTACTTTGCAGCAAAGTGGCTGAAAGATACTGCTGATTGGCGTCAAACACTCTGAGTTACTTCAGTCATTTTTATTGCATTCTTCATGAGGTGTAAATATTGACTTTCTCTTGTTTCAGGGTGGGTGTGGACCCGGATCAGGACCAGCAGCCGTGCACAGACAGCTTCCAGGTCCTGCAGGGGGTGAGGAACTATTTTATTATTCATTATAAAGAAATATACATACATATTTTCCTTTCACCTTTTAATGCCAATTAAACCCCCTTGATGTAGTTTGAGAAATGGCAGAAAGGGAGGGGAAATATTTAGATTTTAGGGCGCACACTTCCTTTAAGTTACTGCTGAAACTCTTTTACTTCTGCAATTTAAAGTTAGAGTCAGCAAGTCTGAAGTAACCCTTTAGTGTGTCGGATACAAATCACATATTTTCTGAGAGCTATTGATGTAATATAGTTTTAAGATGAGAAACGGAACCAAGTAAAGGAACTACATTTACAGTATTGGAATGACTGTCGTGATCATTTCAGTCTGTTAATTCATACATATCCACGTATCTACAGTATATAGTATTGTTCCATTTTATTCTATTTTATATTTATCTATTCCTGCAACTTACTTATTACCTGTTTTATTGCACTATTTTAGGTCTGTTTCATTCCATGTTTTTAAGTATATTTAAGGTTGCACTGGAGATTTTTGATTTGTTTTGCCAAAACTGTGCTGTAGCTTTTGTGCATACAACAAAAAAAGCCTTTTAATATTTTTTGTTGAATCAAATCTTCAATATGCATGATGTATTTCCCACTGTGTGTCTGCAGGACGGGCCTCAGGCTGAAGGACAGAGTAAAACCAAACAGGAGAGCGCCTGGCTCTTCAGACTGTGGTACACCTTCGATCACAAGTATCCTTTCTGTACCGACTGTCTTTTAAAGGGGCCCTATTCTGGTGATGTTCAGGTGTATATCAGTATGTAGTGTCTCTACTTTAAAGAGTCCTCTCCTGCTGATGTTCAGGTGTATATCAGTATGTAGTGTCTCTACTTTAAAGAGTCCTCTCCTGCTGATGTTCAGGTGTATATCAGTATGTAGTGTCTCTACTTTAAAGAGTCCTCTCCCGCTGATGTTCAGGTGCATATCAGTATGTAGTGTCTCTACTTTAAAGAGTCCTCTCCTGCTGATGTTCAGGTGTATATCAGTATGTAGTGTCTCTACTTTAAAGAGTCCTCTCCTGCTGATGTTCAGGTGTATATCAGTATGTAGTGTCTCTACTTTAAAGAGTCCTCTCCTGCTGATGTTCAGGTGTATATCAGTATGTAGTGTCTCTACTTTAAAGAGTCCTCTCCTGCTGATGTTCAGGTGTATATCAGTATGTAGTGTCTCTACTTTAAAGAGTCCTCTCCTGATGATGTTCAGGTGTATATCAGTATGTAGTGTCTCTACTTTAAAGAGTCCTCTCCTGCTGATGTTCAGGTGTATATCAGTATGTAGTGTCTCTACTTTAAAGAGTCCTCTCCTGCTGATGTTCAGGTGTATATCAGTATGTAGTGTCTCTCCTTTAAAGAGTCCTCTCCTGCTGATGTTCAGGTGTATATCAGTATGTAGTGTCTCTACTTTAAAGAGTCCTCTCCTGCTGATGTTCAGGTGTATATCAGTATGTAGTGTCTCTACTTTAAAGAGTCCTCTCCTGCTGATGTTCAGGTGTATATCAGTATGTAGTGTCTCTACTTTAAAGAGTCCTCTCCTGCTGATGTTCAGGTGTATATCAGTATGTAGTGTCTCTACTTTAAAGAGTCCTCTCCTGCTGATGTTCAGGTGTATATCAGTATGTAGTGTCTCTACTTTAAAGAGTCCTCTCCTGCTGATGTTCAGGTGTATATCAGTATGTAGTGTCTCTACTTTAAAGAGTCCTCTCCTGCTGATGTTCAGGTGTATATCAGTATGTAGTGTCTCTACTTTAAAGAGTCCTCTCCTGCTGATGTTCAGGTGTATATCAGTATGTAGTGTCTCTACTTTAAAGAGTCCTCTCCTGATGATGTTCAGGTGTATATCAGTATGTAGTGTCTCTACTTTAAAGAGTCCTCTCCTGCTGATGTTCAGGTGTATATCAGTATGTTGTGTCTCTACTTTAAAGAGTCCTCTCCTGCTGATGTTCAGGTGTATATCAGTATGTAGTGTCTCTCCTTTAAAGAGTCCTCTCCTGCTGATGTTCAGGTGTATATCAGTATGTAGTGTCTCTACTTTAAAGAGTCCTCTCCTGCTGATGTTCAGGTGTATATCAGTATGTAGTGTCTCTACTTTAAAGAGTCCTCTCCTGCTGATGTTCAGGTGTATATCAGTATGTAGTGTCTCTACTTTAAAGAGTCCTCTCCTGCTGATGTTCAGGTGTATATCAGTATGTAGTGTCTCTACTTTAAAGAGTCCTCTCCTGCTGATGTTCAGGTGTATATCAGTATGTAGTGTCTCTACTTTAAAGAGTCCTCTCCTGCTGATGTTCAGGTGTATATCAGTATGTAGTGTCTCTACTTTAAAGAGTGCTCTCCTGCTGATGTTCAGGTGTATATCAGTATGTAGTGTCTCTACTTTAAAGAGTCCTCTCCTGCTGATGTTCAGGTGTATATCAGTATGTAGTGTCTCTACTTTAAAGAGTCCTCTCCTGCTGATGTTCAGGTGTATATCAGTATGTAGTGTCTCTACTTTAAAGAGTCCTCTCCTGCTGATGTTCAGGTGTATATCAGTATGTAGTGTCTCTACTTTAAAGAGTCCTCTCTTGCTGATGTTCAGGTGTATATCAGTATGTAGTGTCTCTACTTTAAAGAGTCCTCTCCTGCTGATGTTCAGGTGTATATCAGTATGTAGTGTCTCTACTTTAAAGAGTCCTCTCCTGCTGATGTTCAGGTGTTTATCAGTATGTAGTGTCTCTTCTTTAAAGAGTCCTCTCCTGCTGATGTTCAGGTGTATATCAGTATGTAGTGTCTCTACTTTAAAGAGTCCTCTCCTGCTGATGTTCAGGTGTATATCAGTATGTAGTGTCTCTACTTTAAAGAGTCCTCTCTTGCTGATGTTCAGGTGTATATCAGTATGTAGTGTCTCTACTGTGACATGTCTCCATGCCTTAATGTTCAAAAAGCTCTTTTTTTTTTACTCTTTTCACCCTGAAACCAGAGTCCAGTCTGCTCTGATTGGTTAGCTGGCCGGCTCTGTTGTGATTGGTCAACCGCTTAGAGATGTCCCGCCCCTTAGCCTATCACGTACAATGTCTCGGAGCTATAGCCAATAGGAGCGTGAGTGTTCCATAGTGATGTCCCTATGTTCTGGAGGTAAACAAAGGAGTCCAATGGAGGCGTTTCATGTTTTTGGGTAGTCAGGGAAACGTAAATCTCAGTGCCCCGTGATAGACGGTAATCAAAGAGCATAGGCATGGAGAAGTTGCTTTCATATACAACATCCCCATATAGTATAGAAAAAGACATAAAGGCTGCAGCCGCAGGTCCCTATGTGGCCTCGGAAGAAAACAAGACTTGTTTCTAAACTTCCATTTAAGTTAACAGGAAAAAGCCAAAGCATCTGTCTTGAGAATTTACAAACAAAGACAAGCACTAAATAGATAGCCTCTGTTTTTACTACATCTGTTAAATATTGTGAGTTGTACTTTACCTCCTGAGAGTGAATCCACCCTGCTCGCTCCAGCTGCATCTGCTCGTCAGCGAGAAAGTCTCGGGTGTAAAGCACAGAAACAGGAAAACAGGAAATGTGCTAAACTCATTAACTATAGCCTGTTGGAGCAGAGACAACAAACACTTAAAGGAGAGGTGTCATGCTTTTCCGGTTATTACCCGTCCCCTTGTGTGTTATGAAGGTTTTTATGCATGTAAACGGTGTGCAGAGTCAAAACCCTCAAAGTACACCCAATAGCGAGTAAAACTCTAACACAGAAAAGACCTCCCCAAAACGCCTCGTTGGAGATACGTCATTGTCCATTTGATTCTTCCGGGACGGCATGATGTCAAGCCGTACCCGGAACGAAATGGACCAATCCGTGGAGCCGTTACGTTACGTCCGCAGAGCCGTTATGTTAAGCCCCCGCTGATTGGTCCAAATTGACCAATCCACGGACTTCCTCACACACAGGCAGCTCAGCTGATTTCTCCTCCCTGGCTGCAGGCTGATAACAGACAGTTGGGATCGCGGCGAAATTCTCTCTGCAGACCCATTCTCACAGCGTTTATCAACCTTTTTCTTACTCAATATCAAGCCACACTTATTGTTTTTACTTCGGCTGTGAGTTTGTGTGTGCTCAGGATGAGTTTGGCTGTGTTTCGCTATGTATCCTAAACAAGGAAACAACACCTCCACGGAGCTCAGCGCGATTCACAACGTCCCGACCAATCAGAGCACACTGTGCTCACAGGGAGGGTGGGGGCTGGAGCTATTGGAGCTACAACGAGCCGTTAAAGGCAGAGAGTGAAATTCAGTGAATACACGTAGTTTACAGAGATGCTGTATGAGAAACCAATGTGAGTTTGGAGAAATGCACAGTATAAATCTATTTTAGTATACCTCAACAATGGAATTATGATCAGTGGAAATGGCCATGACACCTCTCCTTTAATGGAACAAACTCCTCGAGACTCCCAGAAGTCTCCCAGTTTGTCTTTCAGAATCACCTATTTTCTTACGCCGGATAAAACCAGCAATGTGGTGTTTTTTGCAAACATGTAATGCAGGTACAAATATTCCCAAACTACCAATTTGTATTAGAAATTGCGTGTAAACAATCCTGCTAACCATGCTACGCTAACACAGAGAGCAGCAGCCTCTTGACGGCAACCGGGAAAATCCCCCAAAATCACCAACATCATATCTTTCCAAAACATATTTCCTTCTCATTTCTACCTCTTATTAATTTCTCCCGTATGTTTGTAATTAATCTCACACTGATGCAAAATGTATAGCTGTTTTCCTCAACACCTGCCCAGTTACCTGAAGCCCATCCTGACGCACAGCGGCCCCCCCCCTCACCTCCACGCTGCCCGCATACTGCAGCCCGCTGGCGAGCTGTCTGACCAGCCAGCAGGCGTACGAGGTGAGACACACTTTTGCAGATCATTTACATGCAGACAAACCTATATGACACACTACAGGAAAGGGAACACCTGGAAAAAACATAATTATGCCGCTTTAAAGGTCACCTATTATGCAAAATCCACTTTGTCATGTCTCTTCTACATCAACATGTGTCCCCTCTGTGTAAAGAGATTCTGAAGGTTTCAGGAACAAAGATTCTCTCTCTTTTTGTCCTGATCCATTTATATAAAAACCTGTCTGACAATGAGCTGATCAGATTTTGGCCACTTTATGATGTCATAACGTTTTTTTGGCTTGTGTAACCATTAGCCAATCACCGACTCCCAGCAGCTTCTACTGAAGCCTTCCGAGTAAATCGCCAGAACGCCGACACCTCCTCATCACTCCACCGCTCCCATCTTTTTTTTGTGTTGCCATAAGTTGGTCTCTCTCCGTTGGTGCTAATGCTAATGCTAATAATGCTAATGCCAGCCAATACAATGGCGGCTTCACAAAACTTTTCGGAGTTTTACGGGGCGTGGTTTGCAATCCGTCCAGCCAATCAGAAATGGGAACCTTTTTCTCCCATGAAAGTACCTGCTCTCTAGCAGGGACTAAAAAGGGGGTGAAAAGGTTCTCATGAACTAAGTTAGTACCGGATTTTCTTTGTGTGAACGCAACATTTCAAGAACTATCGGAACTATACTGGGAAAAGTACTCCGGTGTGAAAGCGCCTATTGTGTTCTTTTTAACCAAATATCTCTCAGAGGGGCGTGGGGAGTGGCTCCTTATTTTCATCTAAAGTAACAGACAGAGAATCAGCACTTTTGAAACAGGGCTGAAACAGAGGGGATTATGGGATGCTGCAATGATCTGTTTGGTGTTTGGAGCCAAACACTTCAGAGACATGTTTTGTGTTTATCTGACACCTATAATATATTGATGAAAAACAGTATAATAGGGGACCTTTAAATGATACTATAAAGCATTTGTTATCTTGTTAAAATGTGTTTTTGTTCTGCTAAGGTTTAAGATCTAAGAGCTTTATTTTGGATATATTTCAAATTGGCTTAAACTGAAGCGCTGAATGTGTGCCTCAGGAAGTCTCTCTGTGAATACTGAAAGCTTTTCTCTCAGGAGAATTGTAATACCGTCAAAGTATTCGTCGAGCCTGCCAGTAAACGCACAAAGCACCGAGGCCTTCAGCGAGAAAAAGGAAATGGACAGTGGAGAAACCTTATAAAGGGACACAAAAGGCTCTTTTACAGCGCTTTGAATAACACTCTTATATTTAAACACTGACGGGTGGTCACACTTCTCTTTTTCATTTTATGTTGAAATACTTTCATGTCAAGGCTTTTGCTTTCTCGACTCTCCTCTCACTTTTAGGGTCACTGTCTGGTTTCAAACTGCATTTAAATTAGATTTTTAGAGAGTCTTTTAGCTCTGCATCCATACATGTTTTGCTGCTGTTTGAGTTTAGGATGTTGTTCATTTATCAGCAGCGCTCAGAGCTCTGTGCTGCCAAGTGAGCAGAGACGGGATTAAATTAAGCTCTGATTCCTCTACCGTTATGGATATTATAAGAAGGGGGAGGGAATATAAAAAACAACAACCAAAAACAGGATGTTGGTTCACATTGACCTCAGATTGACCTCAGATTGTGTAACATTTAAAATGCTTTTTGAAGGAATTTATTGCTACATTTCAACATCAAGGCAATTCAAAGTGCTTTACAACCACACATTGAAATCATTAAGATATGTTCAAGAAACAGATTTGAAAGTTACATTTAAATACAAAAAAAATACAGGTATAAAATATAAAAAGAAAAGTAACAGTGTGTGCAATTCAAATACATTCTTATTAATTATTATATTTATTTTAAGGATTATTATCACCATTTATTTAATAATATACATTTATAATTTAATTTAAGTATTTATATATATATATATATATATATTAATTTTCATTATTTATTCACTTTTTTTTTCACTTACAGAAAAATACTTGTGCATGTTTCTTTGTTTTGTTCAAACTGTATTTAAAGATGTATGAATTAGTTTGTTCACATGTAGTTCCTTCAAAATGCTGAGTCTATAAATACAAATAAATAGATGGAAGGCCCCTAAAGTCAAAAGAACAAAAACACTGGGCATTATTCCATATTTTTCTTATTGTCAACAAATCCCATTTCAGTCAGATAACTCACGTGTTTCTTAATATGTTTATTAGAAGCAGCATATAGTTTGAGTTTGGCGTCTAGGCTCGGGCCTCATCACTCCACAGATTTACAAAGAACATTGAGTGATGATTAGATAACTATCCCCCGAGCCTACAGGTGGAAGCTGGGGTGGAAGCTGGGGTGGTGGTGGGGCAGGCAAGCAGCAGCAACATGAAACACAGCAGCAGGAACATGAACGTAGCAATAGCAAGTGAACACAGCAGTGGCAGCAGCAGCATAAGCGAGGCAGAGGCAGGAAGACCTGGCAGCTTAAATAGAGCGGCATGTTTAAGAGAATGTGTTTGGTTGGTTGTAAGAGGGACGAGGTGCGTCACGTGTTAATGTATCATTGGTGCTCGAGTTGACTGCCTGAACTAGCTCGCAGGCTTCGCCCCATATATGGGAAAAATACATGCCCCTTGGTTCCTTCTGAATCTTTATAAACAGATTACAAATATAAAGTTACTTTTTTAAAACAGGCGTAACTATTTCCTTTAACAGCTGGGGAGTTTAGTGTTCAGCAAACTCAAACAGAAATGCTCTTGTCAGGGACTACTTTCAACGGCGGATTAATACCCATTTGGTGCTCTAGTGAGGACGGCTTAATTCTATGACAAAAAGAGAAAATGTCTTAATATTTTAACTTCATTATTTATGTTTATTTTGACTTATCCTCATGTGTCACTATTTTAATTAGAAAGGACCTCTTTTGAGGAGGATTATGTAATTTATCCCAGTGCCTCTCTTTTTTATATGTCTGATCTGAGTAATCCCTGCTGACCCGACAGTAACTCGTCCTGTTTTGCCCCGGGACACGAGCAGAGTATTGATCGTCAGCCGGTCAATTAGGGGCAGGAGAACCTCATGCTGCAACTGCAGAGCTATTCATTACTTACCCAGCATGCAATGTGTGCTTTTAGACAAAAGGCAATACAACTTCCTGGAGAGAAATGTCTCATGTCATCGCTGACATAGTTTCATTTAGATCATGCATGTTGTTACAAAGTGAGGTGCAGGTGAAAGAACGATCAGAATACCTTTATTAGTCCCACAGAGGGGACATTTGCATTGTTACAGCAGGAAAGAGCCACAGACAGCTTAATGTTACATATGTTTAAAAAAAAGTACTAAGTTATGATATGATACAAATATAATAAAATACAAATAAATACAAATAAAACTAAAGAAAAAATACTTTTCAAAATACAAATCATTTTATTCTTAGCCTTCCACATTATTCCACAGAAACAAAAACTGCATGCCTGGTGCTGTGTTCACCAGCAAGGAACAAACACCAATGCCCCCTTCCCCTCTCTTCCCAACCACATTTATAGGAGACTGCCCGCCTTCCCAATCCAACCTGGCCAATCAGGTCATGGATCTGAAAGGGGGGTGAAGGGTTAAATACAAAATTAAACACTGTGGTCTACATTTAATAAAATCCTAAAGGCTTAAGTAAATTCATAATTGCATCAACATAAATATTGTACCTTCAAAAACAACAAGGTCTGCTTAAAACGGATAGTTTTTAACCTAATTGACACTCATAAAATCACACATTTCCTGACCAATCACGTCCAAGACTCCGCCTACTCATACGGCACATATAAGGAGTACTTTGGTACAGCAGTGAGCAGTGGCACAAAATGGCTTCCAGGTCTGAACAAAGGAAATGGTGATTACTTTGTGATTGTGTGTTTTACAGACTGACAAATTAATTTAGATGCACTTTATTAGTTTTTCTATGTAAACTGTTTTTATAACTTTAACTGAAATAAAGACAACTCTGAAGAAACATGTACTACCTTTCTTAACAAACAAATAGTTAAGCCAAAATGTTAGTGAGGGAGTGTGTGCGCTTCCTCACACATGTTCTGACTTAACAAGTTAATGTCATTCAGTATTGATTAATTGCATCCCCTCAGTGTAGGGTGCATTCACACCAGCCTTTTATAGTCCGGTTGAATCGAACCCTGGTGCGTTTAGCCGCTTGGTGCGGTTCATTTGGGTTGGTGTGAACACAGTCCGAGACCTCTGAAGTGAACTAAACAACCGGACTCTGGTCCGATAAAATAGGTGGTCTCGGACCGCTTGCTAGTGAACTCTGGAGCGGTTCATCGCTGGTGTGAACGCAGTCCGCACCAAAACATAGGAAGCGTAGTATTTACGCGTCACAAGAACGCGGGTGTCTTCATTTCTTTAGTGAAAGAGTGAAGCAGAATGATGTGTTGAACAGTGTCGTGTAAAGTAAAAACAACTATCAAACTAAAAACTATACATAAAAGTCAGAGCCACCTGCCGTCGGTGAAACCCCCTCCTTACTGCAGAACGTCTCTCATTATATGTGTTATAATGTTTTGTATCGCACGTTGTCTGATTATATAATCATATGCGCCGTTGCTGTTGATATGCTCTCCAGATTAACAACAGCATGAAAATAACCTACCGATGCTCCATGGCGGAGGCTCCGGTAGAAATTGCCGGGATTTGCGTTTTTACCCCCTTAAAGGTGGGGTAGGTAAGTTTGAGAAACCAGCTCGAGATATACTTTTTGTTATATTCCATGGAATGCTCTTAACATCCCGATAGCAATGAATATCTTAAGTGCTTTGACAAAGAATCCATAAAAAAATGTCATCTGTGGAAGCCGTAGTACTGTAAAAAGCACGACCAATCATGTTAGCCGGCCCGGCTAAAATAACTGGATGGCCTACCTGCCTGTCAGCCTTCCATCGGGGCACAAACTTATCTCGTGCCCTCATTGGTCATGTGCGCGTTCGTGTGTGTTGGAGGAGGGGCTCTATAAGGAAGTGGCAGATTTTCTCCAGTTGTGTATTTTCAAATTCCAGCGATCTCGAGCCGGTTTCTCAAACGTACCTACCCTACCTTTAATGTCTGACCAATTGTTGAACAGCATTTCCGAACACATGACTTGTGTTTAAAGTTTATAGTCCGTTTGAATTTTGCCCGTGTGAACGCAAACCTAACCTTCTGAAAAATGAAACAATGTAACAAACTGTGGTCTGGTGCGCACCAGAGAAGCGGACTATTAGGTGTGAATGCACATTCTATAATGTTTTTAATGTTGTATGTGTTGCTGCTTCTAACATCTTGGGACCACTTTTATCCTTATATTATTTTGTAAATGCACCCAAAGTCACAAAATCTAGGTATTCTTTCAAAAATTCTATGATATTTTCTTTTTTTTCATATCCCTCAGCCTTTCATCCATAAATAAAATCAATCACTCAATGTTTCCACTGTCAGGATATAGTCTAGTTGACTTTAGGGTGAGTCACTTCACTTCTGTTAATCAAGAGTGTCCCTTATGTCCCTTAGGTTAGCTGTTGTGATTCGCTTAGAGATGTCCAATCACGTACAATGTGTTGGCCAATAGAAGCGTGAGTGTTCCGTAGTGACGTCAGTATGGAAGAAGTAAACAAAGGAGTCCAATGTAGGCGTTTTAGGCGGGGGGGGGGGGGGGGGGGGGGTGAGTGTGTGGGAGAGAAACTCCCTCTGGAGGACACACAGGGATGCACAAACGAAAGAACACACAATAGGGAAGGGACAACTCCAATGTGTTCAGGACCCTTTAACGTACATTTGATCTGGGACTACATTCTGTATTTAATTTGAGGGTTGAATAGTGCAGTAAATGGTGCTTCAGCCTAACATTATACATTGTGGGGCCCTGTATCTCAGATTTGGTGTGTGTGTGACGCTCTTAAATCACACTCATGTCCCCATTTTGTCTCTTGGTGTGTATGTGTGTGAGACCTCCATCCTCTCCACCCCCTCCTCATGTCTCCTCTGTGTGTTTTCAGAACCAGCTGAGGGACGACCCTGACTTCATGCGTGGCGACGGCGGCGACCTTTCCTTCACGTTTGGAGACACCACGATCACGGCCAACGGGGCGTCTGGCAGCGGGGGGGCGGGTGGAGGAGGAGGGGGGGGAAACAGCCGGAGCGTCGGGCTGGAGCATGAACGGCAGGAGGAGCGGCAGCACCTCGGAGGAGGCGCTGGAGCGCGAGCTGGACTCCCGTGAACAGGAGCTGCTGAGCCGGGGAACTCGACTTGTTTTCCCCATCGAGGATCACATCTGACCGCCATGTTTGTAGTCCTTCAGAGATGAGAGGTATTATAGGAGGATAAGACGGGAGAGTGCCCCGGGAGCAGAGCTCGAGAAGATTTTCATGCTCCAGGAGACGTGCATCCTCTCCATCCACCTTCACTGATTGTTTCCTTGCATTATCAGAAGGACAACAAATATCACCATGCCAGATTCAGGCTGTTTTTGAACATGTGACACTGTGCGTGCAGCCGAAAAAGAAGAAGACTCATCCTGAGATCCGACCAAAATGCTTCTTCGCCATCACGCCCCATCTACGCCCTGAAACCCAAACTTTGATAGTTTATAATTCCTCTTTGTACCATTCATCCGAAGCTGCTGACAGTGTTTGGTCTGTTTGTGAGGATGCCCTTTTTGCTTCACAAACACGCTCTTGTGTGGAAGGGATTGTGGGGACCGTGAATGTGTTCGGCCGACACCGCTCATCATGGGTGAAGCAGCGCGGGTGGAGAATGTAAATAGCTACAATGCAGAGCTTTGTTCCCGCTTCTTGTCAGTGCATTTCGTCCCATGACTGTTACAAAAAGCGTCTGTTGTCCAAGTGTCTGAGCTGGATCTTTGTCTGTGTCCCGGTCTGGTTTTCATTACAACAACATGGACGAGCTTTGATGCTCATTGTCTCTGCCAAGGCACAGTTTGTCCATTCGTCTGCAGAACAACGACTGGCCCGATTTTCATGAAACTTTAAGGTTGCAACACGAGACCGAGAAGAACACATTTAAATTAAGATTGAATCTGTATAATGGGGTTGAACGCAATGGAAGATCAAGCATTAATGCTGCTTTCATGTAGAACGGTGGTAATCATAACACATGAGTTATTCACATAAAAGTTTAAAAAGCAACACTGAAAGTCAGGGAGCATTTTGGTACGCATTTTATATCTTACCCGATTCCTCTGCTCCCAACTGTTATGAATAAATACTGGAAACACTAAAATAGGCCTTCAATACATCTTCTTTTTGGAATCAATGTTCTTTCCCCATTTCGATTTTAAACTCATGCACTCTGCCTTGGTGGGGGTCTGCATCTTCTAGCTTCCTATTACCATGTTGCACTGATGATGGATTTCCGTAGGCTGAGCGTGAAGTTAGCATCACAAGGGCTCCCTCCACAAAAACCGAAAAGGATTTGGATTATTGCAGAAAATAATCTCGGTTTCAAAATCCCATTTATGATACTTACACATTTTGCTCAGCAGGATAATCTCCCCATATTAACACCACTTGATGAGCATTCAAGTAAAAAGCTAACGTTAGGCTATAAAGATAAAACAGCGTGGTCACATGACTTCACGCCACCACCGCTAAGCTAAAGGCGGCTAATGTAAGGTGTGATGACGTTCAAATCTCTTCAGCTTGTGTTAACCACAGACCTTATTTCAGGTTAACAACCAAAATAACATAAAAAATAACCCTTGACTTCGAGACAAGGGAACCGAAAATGCTAGAATGAAAATAAATGTCTGATTTATTTCTGCACCACTCAATGAAGGCAAATTCAACATTATAAAAGTAAAGAGCGCAGACCTCTAAATACATCTATCTCAAATTAGCTTGCTTCACCTTTACACTAAGTTTCATGAAGAGTGGGTTAGTCGTTTTTACGTAATCCTGAACACAGTTAAACAAAAAGTAAGCTTCTTGGCGTAGTTGTTTTTTTTCATGCATCAATTTGTGTTCGACTTTAACTAACGTTTTCATTATCAATTAATCTGTTGATGATTTTTCAAATGTTATGGATTTGTTGTTTAGTTCATGAATGAGAGAAAATAGTAAAACATCTCCATCACCATTTATAAGAACTTGTTCAAATCGCTTGTTTTGTTCAAAAGTCTTTCATCAAATTCTCCATCAATAATAATAAGAGTTATCCAACAACTTCAAATGTAACTGTTCTAACTTTCTGAAACCTATAATCCCAAATAAAGAAGAGCAGCCACTTTTAACAAATACTGACCATGGTGCCAAGTGCTCGAAAATGACCTTATAATCAGCGTTATTTACGTTATTTCCCCCCATATAGAAATACACGGTAATAAAGACACTTCCGTAAGCTCTGATTACATTAAACCTGATTCCCCATTTATCTGATAATGCACATAATAAGTAGAAACACAGGTTTTCCTGTTAAGCGCATCTTGATTCTTGTTTGAATTAAGTTACAATATTTCTCCCGCAGCAAATCTGAGCAGTTTTTAATGAGACGTTAGAGAGCAACCTGTGCAGGAGTCTCTGTATTCATTTGAAATGTTCTCACAACTGATCAATATGGTTTGCATCCTCACTCCATGTGAATTATTAATTATTTATACTGCATATTTGACCTGATTACACAGGGTTTCTGCAGGTTTCTAAATGTTTTGGGGTCAAACGGGCACAAGGAAAATTAGTATGAATGAAAATATGTCCTAGACTAATTTACGTACATATATATATATTAAAATCTGTCAATAAAACTATATTAATTGATTGATTGTAAGACCAAAAAGCTCAGACTTCTCTTATACTGTAGGTTAGTCATGGGTTAAAACAGTTGAAGCAATGTTTAATTGCAGTTACACAAAACAGTAAAGCATTCAAGATAATCTGACCTACTAAAACCTACTTTTCAATAGAATTCATTATTCTATTAAGGACCTGCAGACGCCCTGTTTCGTTTCCTCAATTTTTGTTGGGAATTCCAGCTGCGCAGCATGATTTTGAGGTCAGATTTTTATATTTGTGACTCTTATCCTATAATGTAAACAGTAGCATAGCAACTGACTAAACCTCCAAGGGTTTGGGAGGTTTTTATTTCGTTTTTATTTGTCCGGACTCATGTTGTGTTCCCTTGTTTTACCGCGTCAAGAGTCTAGACCCGTTTTAAATGCACCACAGAGCACGTGTCGCCTTTTTGTTTTTTTTACATTCTTTAACACAGTGGCTGCTGCATTAATGTATGAGTGACCCCCGAGGGCAGGTGTGAAAGACGTGATTGTCAAAGTGCAGCGACCGAGGACCTCCGAAGTGGAAATGAATCTAGTTATGTAAGCTGTTGCCAAGCTGCGTGCACTGAGGGTCATTGAAATTCTTGATGGAGTGAGACGCTAACGTTTTCTTTCACAGTCTCATGATAGGGGAGCTCCTTTTAGTCTCAACAAACTGCCTGGGCTGCGGTCGAATAGACCCAAAACATTACGTACTGTGTTTCCTCAACTCTTATTCTTGCAATACATTATTAAAAAAAAGGAACAGTGACAAACTCAATAAAGCTCAAGATTCATGTCCAAAACAGAATTACATCGTCTTAAAGAAAGGATGTTTCCAAAGTGCACCGTCAAACAGAAGCGTTCAATCTTTTAAAGCCTTATTGCTCTAAACCAGGGGTGTCCAAACTACGGCCCGACGGCCAAATGCGGCCCGTGGGCCATTTTGAATCGGCCCTCAGCAAATTCAAAAAGTACAATAAAATATGGCCCACAAATGAAACTTCTGCTCGTCTCATATTGTACTTTTTAAATATATATGTTAAAATATATTACACGTTATTCATGTGTAAACGCAGCCCAATTTTCAAATAAATTCCATCAATTAAAGTTGAAAACATTTTCTAACAAATCTAAGTTGATAAGAAAAAAGCCCAATAACTCATTTACATAACAAGCTTGAAATCTACCCTTCATATTTCCCCTTATTATAAGCAATTGGAGGCTTCTGTTTTAAGGGATGAGCTGCCAACAACATAAATGAAACCCTATGGAGAGCTGTTTTTTTCTTAAAGCATTTTTAAGTATCAAGAATCATTTACCTACATTTGATTGATTCTGCTGACTTAGAACTGAACTTGTGAGGCAATATACCTCTAGGGAGTGGCCCAGCCCTTCGTATATGTTTCTGTATGTGGGTCTCAGTTAAAATAGTTTGGACACCCCTGCTCTAAACTCACATGTGGAGCCAAAGCCCTAATTATATATAATAAAGGTTGCTTAAAAGCGGAACAAGCTTGACGTGTATACAACTTCCCGGAACTTTTGGTGATCCTCCGGTTCCATGGGAGACTAAATAACTTTTGGTTTAGCACTGCACATAACTTTATTGAGGATAAATATATAACAATGTCATGCGGCTCTCCAAATGTTATCCGCATGACTGGTACAAATTCCCAAATAATTATCCACAGATGTACAGTTGTCTCTTTCCTTGGTGTAATAGTCTAAAAACGTTTTTGGATCCCATGTCATCATGTGATGGTCCCTTTTAGTTTTAATTACACGGTTTGAACACTATTTCAAATTGGCTTCAAAGCCTGGTGCTTCTCCTGCGGGTTCATTTAAAAATATTCCGGCTGCAGAATATCGTGGGCCAGCATTATCCCCTTTATTTTGGATAAAATGTGGTGCATAGGCTATATTCGAATATGAATGTCCTTAAGACCGGACGAGGCAGGCTTGTAAACAAATACAAGTAAACGTAGGATGTTTTTCTGGATAAATAGCTCTATACATTCAAAATGTCTTTAGATAATTTGTTTTTCTATCCATGGTCTATGATCTAGGTCAGTGGTCCTCAGAGTTACTGCCCGATTTATAGTTGGATATTATGGATGGTGGATGGATGGATGTTTTTTTTAATGTTTTTCTTCAAATACTAAAATCTATCTGAAAATACATATTACATGAATCAAAGATACTATAAACAACTATAACATAGTCTTTCTGTAAAAAACATGAATCCACCAACATTGATAATTGTCTATTACCCAGGAGTCCTTTTGCAATCACGCTAGCTAGCTAAACTGTGCTGAATCACTGCGCTTCACCTATTCATACATGCTAACGAGTTAGCTACAGCAACGTTTTACTATTTCCATAGTACAGTATGTTTTATATGCACCATAAGGTCTGTTTATATATTGCACTTGAAGCTGCCCCATGGTTATTGTTGTCCCATTTTAATAAGCAACACACACATGTGGAAAAGCTAAGTTTCTTTCATTGAAAACCCTGATCAATATGGAGTGATGTTAAGATATCAAATATAATCCAACATATTAACAAGTACAAAACAGCCGTGTATAAATAACACTCAAATCATCCAACATTGATGATAGTCAGCTAGCTAAACTGTGCTAAAAAAACAGTGAGACACCTAGCCATACATGCTAACTAGTTAGCAACAGCTACATTTTACAATTTTTGAAGTACAGTATGTATTGTACGCACCATAAGGTCTGTTTATAAATGTTTGGCAATTTAAGCCGCTCTATAGGTTATTCATTTTAATATAACTTAAGTTTATTAAGCAATTGTATACTGTATGTAAAAGAGGCTCTGTGCTCCCTTTTCTCTTTCAGTGGAAACCGTGATTTATGTGGATTAAGATATTTTAATCTTTTATCCAAACTTTTGTTGAAAAACAATTCTGCTTCAGGGTTCATGGATCATTTTGGTAATGTGTCTATGGTGTTTCCTATGCTAAGGTCGATAGCATTGAGCAGCTTTCATTAGCATTTAGAGAACTCAACGAGCCAGAAGACACTTGAAAAAGACTATTCCACGGCAGCCTTGGATTCATGCATGTTTCTCTTGAGCATTATTGAATTGTTACACAGTTCCTACATACAATTTATTCACAGCAGATCATGTTTCCTACAAAAAAATGTAATTTCTGACCAAGTACGTTAGAGGATTTCCTTATAATTCTGGCTGCATCTACTAACAACATGCAGAAAAAGACCCTCACAGATGAATGAACCCTGTTGGCTGCAGATAAATAAAGACGCCGAGTTTTTGGCACTTTACCTCGAGCAGAGGACACCGGCGGGACGTATTTAACCTTCATGTGTCTCCATCTCCAGACTGTTGTGCTGTCAGTTGTCTTGCTGCTATATTTACATGCACTCTGTACCTGATAAATATGAGATGTAGCTCAACTGTTAATGTGTGCACCTGTTGTCCTTGCAGCAACTGGCTCCACCTACCATGGTCTGCATGTCGACATGTCAATAAAAATTGTCAAATTATGAGCCACCCGTTTGGGATAATATTTGTTTTGCATTCTTTACGGTTGAGGGGAGAGGATAGGGTTAAAATGTACCCAAATGTATCACCGTGAAACTTTCCCACTCCATTACTGACATTAAGACAATTCTTTCTGAAATAAATAGTATGTATACATTTGCAAATGAAGCTTTTTCTAATGCTAATTTTGTGAATGTAGGAGAAATCTACAAACATAAATAGACATACTTAGTCAAATAAACTCCTAAATGGGTGTTTTGAATGTTTTCTGTCCACTTGCATGTATTTTCTTGCCCCAGAATGCAGTATTTAGTCAGATTGCAGTTACACTCATTTACATTCAAACCTTTTTTTTTTTTTTACTTTAAACTATAAGGTGTTAATACTTGAATTGAATCCCCGCAGGCCTGTATTGTATTTATATCACAGCCGGTGTGCAGACTATACATTCACATTTCGAAATAGTTACCCATGCATACCAATCAACAGTGAAAGAGCCATGTAACCCGAGGCCCTTCTATAACTCAGCCAATACATCAAAAGATAATATGAAACATGTCTGCATTCAAAACGACTAGCCGTATGTTATATATTTAGTAGTATTGTATAGTTTCAGTGAAAGGAAGGTAACGTTTCCTCTTGTCTCCTGTACTGGCATTGTTTTCCCTTTGAGCATGCTTCAGCTGTCAGAAGATTTCATAAATTGACTTTTAATATCCAGATTTTAGCCACGACTTTACCATACACACTTTGGTGCTTTTAATCGAAAGAAGGGTTTTAATCTGAGGAGCTAACTGAGCAAACGCTAGCCTATAGCTTGTAGCGGTTCTCATACCATAGCATATTTGTTTTGCAGAGTAGAAGACCTTTAAGGGGTAATTTGTCTTCTGATAAAAAACCTCAATGACTTCTGGATCTGTAATTATAGGAGAAATTAGCTGCAAAAACGTCAGCAGCGGCCGAACAGCGTCAAGGGAGACACTCTGATTTTAAACATCAAACTGATGTATTTACTACTTTTACCGCTTTAAAACCTCCTTAACCATGAAGTAGTAAAAATAAGTAATAATCTAACGTTTGGCTATAAAGAAACGACACCACTGCTAAGCTAAATGCAGCTTATGTTCGGAAAGATCTAATTTAGACACTTTTTGGCAACCGCCGCTCTTAGGACACAGAAGCTTCAGCGTAAAGCTAACCCACAGACCTAATTTCAGGTTGTAACCGAAAAAAACATTGCTTACAGAAAGCACTTAAATGCTGACTCATTTCAGGGTTTTTGGACTCATTCCTGCCCCACACATTACATTAAAGGTGGGGTAGGTAATTTTGGAGAAACCAGCTCGAGTGCGTAGAATTTGAAAATACACAACCGGAAAAAATCTGCCACTTCCTTACAGAGCCCCTCCTCCAACACATACGAACGCGCACATGACCAATGAGGGCACGAGATAAGTTTGTGCACAGATGGAAGGCTGACAGGCAGGTAGGCCATTCAGTTATTTTAGCCGGGCCGGCTAAAATGATTGGTCGTGCTTTTTACAGTACTACGGCTTCCACAGATGAAATTTTGTTATGGATTTTTTGTCAAAGCACTTAAGATATTCATTACTATCGGGATGTTAAGAGCATTCCATGGAATATAACAAAAAGTGTATCTCGAGCCGGTTTCTCAAACTTACCTACCCCACCTTTAAATAACAGAATATTAGTGTGTTTAAGGTTTCCTCCCAATGAATAGCAATAACACACATTTTTCTCTTTTCTAGTTTTTACAAACTCTTTATTGAGGTCAGTTTAAATAATCTAAACATTATTTCTTGCAGGTTTTCCCCCCAGAACCATTACAGAACCAACTTCTGAAGTTGAACACGTGGATGCTGGAAAACGTCCTTTAGCTTGTAGCGGTTCTCATACCATAGAATATTTGTTCTGCAGAGTAGGAGACCTTTGCGGATAATTTGGCTTCTAATAAAAACCTCAATGATGTCCAAATCTGAAGTTATCGGAGAAAACAACTGTAAAAACGCCAGCAGCGGCCGAACAGCGTAAAGGGAGAAACTCCGATTTTAAACATTCAACTGATTTATTTACTGTCCTTAACCATGAAGTAATAAAAACAAGTAAAAAGCTAACATTAGGCTATAAAGAAACGACACCACCGCTAAGCTAAAGGCGGCTAATGGTCGGCAAGATGACGTTTAGTTGTCTCATTTAGACACTTAGACACTCTTAGGACACAAAAGCTTCAGTAACGCCAACATGCTCAGGGTTTTAGGACTCATTCCTGCACCACTATATTGAATTGATTGAGAGAAGATTACATATTGTTTAAGGTTCCTCCCAATGAATAGCAATAACACACATTTTCTCTTTTCTATTTTTTACAAACTCTTTATTGAGGTCAGTTTAAATAATCTAAACGTTATTTCTTGCAGGTTTTCCCCCCAAAACCATTACAGAACCAACTTCTGAAGTTGAACACATTGATGCTGGAAAACTTCCTCCATCTTTAACCCAGAGGCATGTCGCAGCATTTTGAAAATATTATAGATAAAAACTATAAACAGTAAGAATCAGTACCGTGTGTTTGTGAAAACGTTGCTAGGAAAAGTTCCTCCAGACACGTCCGTGTGATATTAGAGGATTTCACACTCTCGTGAGTGTTTTGTCAGCGGGGTGCTGCAGCTGTCTGGATTCCTCAGGGGCTGGGGGGTGAGGGGGGGGGGGGGGACAACGGCTCCTCAGTCCGGCCTCTTTTTTCCACACACATACTGTAGTTTCTTCTTTCAAAGCATTTCATTGGCATTGTTAGAGAGCCAGCTACTGTGAAGTGTCAGTAATGCTGCAGATTACCACACTGTCTGCACGATAAGCCTCGCAGGTGAGAGAGAACCGACTCTCTGCACCCCCCGCTCCGACGTCGCCATCTCGGGCTTTTTATGGCACTCGGCTGCCGGGGATTTGAGGAGGATTAGTGCTACTCAAAAGGACAGAAGGGTGGAGGCTGGCCAGCGTTTATTCCCCCTCCCACACTCTCTCTGTCGGCATGGTGTTAAAAATGTAACACTGTCAAAATAAGCGGCCTTCTCCCCCGTTCTTCAGTTCCTCTGCTCCTGCTCTCCTTGTTTTCCCTGCAGTTCGTCGAGCCTCCTCGTCTGTAGGACTCGACTCTCCCAGCGGAGCACATTCCTGCTGCCTGTTTTCTTATTCCACCTTCTGCCTTCAGCGCTGAACACCAGGCCCCTGCAAGAGAAAATAAAGAGTCAACTGAGGATTTAAATACATTCTTTAGGATATAGTTTACAGCTGCACACTGAAAATAACTGTCAATATGATTGATGAGTTCCATTATCTCCATCAATAGCTCTATCAGTGAGTCTAAAGCTGGAACAATCAGTTATCTTCATAGATTTAGTCATTTTTCAAGCAGATACAGTGAAGAAAATGCAATATTCTCCGATCACAGCCTCTCAAATTAAACAATACTATTCTACTCTTGGTCATATGTCATTGTAAACAAAACAACATGTGTGATTTTGGCCATAACAAGTTTTACTGTGAAATATGTACGGCCATTTTTAGACGTTTCATTGACTAAACAATAATTAAATCACTTGCTGCTCTTCTTTTTGGGATTGAAGTTCTACAAATAGAACAGTTTGAAGAAGAAATACTTTGCAACCTATTATTGTTTTGGGATTTAGTCTAGTTTGGACAAAACGGGCACATTTGACATTTTATAGACCAAACAACAGCCTGATTTAAAGGAGAGGTGTCATGCTTTTTCCGGTTATTACCCGTCCCCTTGTGTGTTATGAAGGTTTTATGCATGTAAACGGTGTGCAGAGTCAAAACCCTCAAAGTACACCCTGTAGCGAGTAAAACTCTAACACAGAAAATACCTCCCCAAAACGCCTCGTTGGAGATACGTCATTGTCCATTTTGTTCCGGGTACGGCATGATGTCAAGCCGTACCCGGAACGAAATGGACCAATCCGTGGAGCCATTACGTTACGTCGGCGGAGCCGTACGTTAAGCCCCCCGCTGATTGGTCCAAATTGACCAATCCACGGACTTCCTCACACACAGGCAGCTCAGCTGATTTCTCCTCCCTGGCTGCAGGCTGATAACAGACAGTTGGGATCGCGCGAAATTCTCTCTGCAGACCCATTCTCACAGCGTTTATCAACCTTTTTCTTACTCAATATCAAGCCACACTTATTGTTTTTTACTTCGGATGTGAGTTTGTGTGTGCTCAGGATGAGTTTGGCTGTGTGTCGCTATGTATCCTAAACAAGGAAACAACACCTCCACGGAGCTCAGCGCGATTCACAACGTCCCGACCAATCAGAGCACACTGTGCTCACAGGGAGGGTGGGGGGCTGGAGCTATTGGGAGCTACAACGAGCCGTTAAGGCAGAGAGTGAAATTCAGTGAATAAACGTAGTTTACAGAGATGCTGTATGAGAAACCAATGTGAGTTTGGAAAATTGCACAATATAAATCTATTCTAGTAGACCTCCAACAATGGAATTATGATCAGTGGAAATGGCCATGACACCCTCTCCTTTAAGATTTTTGACGATGTCCCATTAGATTTTGAGGAGCTGTGTCTGGAGCTGGGCAACATATATGAATATCTAAGTGATATTTAATATGCAACAAGACATAAACTTGATTTGATCATATAGTAATATTTTCTAAATTGTATTTTCTGGCTTTAAAAGTTGCACTACAGTCATTATTTGAACTGAAAACTATTGAACTGTACTAATATTTGACTTCTACCCACTTAAATCCACATTACTGAAGCCATTTCCTTTAACAGACACATTGTCCTGTACTTTGCATAATGTTGCTGAAGTGCCAAGTCTGCAAAAAAAAAGAAAAAAGAAAAAGATCATATGTGATTTCCTCCATACTCTCAACCATAGTTGTTTGGCAATTTTGTTTTTTGTCAGTATTTGCAGCACTATCAGAGTCATGGATGGGGCAGTGAGACATGAATCCCC